TAAAGATAATGTAAGCATACCAGTGGTAAGTCTTGAAGGCTTATTACTATGAAGTTCAGATTGTGTATGAAAACATCGGTTTAATGAAATTTATTTCTTTCAAGATTCTTTAGATGTTGTTGGTTTTTTAGATGAAATCTGTATTGAAGTTTCAATTCTAAATGGTTATAGACAATGATTATCATGTGTTTTTTATGTAGGTTTGTTCTCTGAACTGTATGGTTTGGTCATAGAGCTTTCATCGTCCTTCTGAACGACATAATCAGCACAAAACTGCAGGTAGAAGTGACTTCAATTGACTCATGATTTCAACAGTGAAAATACTAAATTCTCCACAAAACCCCCTCTGATCTATAATTAATATTTGCCAGAAAATGATGAATGATGTAGACAAACAAAAACAACATAAATCATTTGAAATGTTTATTATTGTAAATGAACAAATAAAAAATATACTTGTCAATCAGTTAAGTAATCATCATTACGTGTATTGATGTATTACGATTGTTTTCTAGCACTGTCATTACAAACTATTCACAAATAATCAGAAGGAGTTTTTGTGTGGAGATTTCAGTATTTTCATAGTTGAATGCGTGAGTCAATTGAAGCTAGATCACCATCGAAAACCTGAAAGCACTGGACGGCCGTTTCATTCTATTGTGAGATTCATCAGCGGTGCGTATCCACGACTTCTCCTCGCGAGATTCAAACCCATCATTTGCTCATTAGTGACTGACTTCGGGAGGTAAATCGTAGAGTTCTAGTAAGAAGCAGTGACTAGTGGAGTTCAAATTTCGTCTGTTGTGTGATATGAACTCACGGTTGCTTAACTTCATCGATTTGTTGGAGTGAGATATAAACACCGTTCGATGTCGACCAGTTCATTGGCCTATCGGTTAAGTGCTCTGGCCCGAGACTGGTAGTTCCTGGGTTCGGATCTCGAGAGGCGATGTTTTGGATTTTCAGTGCTGAGGCCTCTCACAATAAGTCGAAACGGCCTTAAAGCAGTGCTTCCAGGTTTTTCCTGGTGGTCTAGCATCAATTGACTAATGCTTTCAACTATTCACAAATAGGTTTTTAAACAATTATATTATTATATTTATCGAAATGGAGTTTGAGAAGATTGTAGTACTTTTGATAGTTGAATTCATGAGACACTGTACGCTAGAATATAATTGAAAACCTTGAAACACTTTATGGCCGTTTCGTCCTAATGTGGGACTCCTCAGAAATGTACATCCACGATCCCGCACATGAGATTCGTACCAAGACTTTCGATCTAGTGCATGAACACTTAACATTTAGACCAATGAGCCGGTATCTAATGGTGTTATTGTCTAACTTCAACCAATTCATAAAACTGTGTGACTATCTTCCATTGTCTGAGGCAGATATCTGTCTTCACCTAACACGGATGAGCTCCATTGGTCACGACATTTCCCTAGAACTCCGAGAATTACCTCGCGAATCTAATCACTAATGAGGACATGGTAATTATCAGTATGCGGTTGTGGAGTTCGATTGCGATAATGAATCGTTCAATGTTTATCTCTTTAGGAAAACCAATGAAAGTAGATTTCACGACGATTATGAAAATTCTGAATCATGCAGTCAGAGTACATGTGTACATGTTCTCTTACTTTTATTGTAATACAACTTGAAGATTGTCACATCGTTTATTATGAAAATTTAATGCTTAAAATCAAGATATACTAATAACATTTTATTCTGAACACATCTATTGTTCATCAATATAATAAACATCTTCCTTCATAAGACATGTGTATAGCGTTTTCGAGGTATATTACAATTGTAAGGATGGCTCGTTGGTAAACTCTAAGAAGCTTCAAGATGTCCAGAAAGAGCCGAAAACATTACATCCAATCACTGCTAAGGGAATATCCTAGAATGTCGACGAGTAACTTCACCCAGTGGATGGATAAGAATGACCCCTTATGTGCCTATTGGTTGACCGAAATAATGATTTACATTCAGCCAATAACTATAAATACATAAGATTTCGGTATTATATTTTGACACTGTTTTTGGGAATAAACTTCTACTCACTAGTCTTCTCTTTTTTGCGACGTTGCGGGTTCGATCGTTCAAGTAGTCTAGTAGTACGCGACATAGTAAGAATCAAGGCTCTAGATATAACAGCGGATAATTGTGAACACACATTCAATCGGAAAAATGAAGAGATTCTGTATGGAAGGAGCACTAAGAATGACAGAAAATTTTCGGAAGCTTGACATTCATCTCAACCAGTAATCCACAGGCACTTAAAAATTGATTCTATTCCTTAGACAACTAGAAAAATCAATGATAGTTCTATAGAACCAAGAATCAGATTAAAGGGAGATACAATCAAAATGAAGAGGAATATAATAATCCTTGGAAGCAACTGAAAAGGAGAACCCAGAATAGAGTTGGTTTGACATTTCTGATCGACAGCCTATGCTCCAAAGGATTAAGAGTTGCAACTTAACATGAAAATTAACCTGTTATACATTTTCCTCATTTGAAATAATCTTTAATAAAGTGGCCGTAATTACAGATTGATTTGAATTGTATTGCTGTTGAGATTTAGGGTGGGAGGTTCTGGAAAACTGTGTGATTATTGTAGGCGACTTCATGGCAGTGTGTACCTATAAATCTGTAATGTCGGTTGATATACTAAGCCAATACACTTTATTTTAGCTTCTCGACAAGCCAATTTACCTATCCATCTTGAGTCCTGTTTCGACCTTGTTAATTATTCACTTATTAACCCTGACTATTTTCTATATGAGCTCATGTTTGTGTACACTTCTTATCCTATTTATTACATATCTGTAGCTTGTTCTTGTTTGACAACAAATATTGATTAGCGCTTGCTAAAAGCGAGTTGGCTTACCCGTCATCGCCGATGTGTGTCATTTTTGTTTCGCTCGTTGATATTTACTCATGTGCTTATAACTTTCTGGACTGTGTCACTTGCCATTAAAATTGTAGCTGCCGCTTCTCTTTGCCTTTTGATTTTATTCACCGTTAAGATTTGTATTATAGCGGTTATCAAGGTGAACAATTAGCGAAGCATGACACTACAAATCTACTAGAACTTAAATCTATGATCTTCCGGTCTCATTTCATGCTTTTAAACACTTGAATTATTGAAAAGGTGTTCAGTGATACGCTTATAATGTAAATTAATTAAAGATGTGGTATGACGAACATTTTGTGCCACTTCTGATGATTGTTTCTTTTACTTATTTGTAAGAAATCTATTATTTACTAATTCTCTTTAAAACAATAGAAACATTTTGGACTAAATTCACTTAGTGTTGTTTGATCGAATCTTCCCATTAATGTTTAGAATTATAATTAATCAGTCTCTTTCTTACTGGCATATGTGCATACTGTGCGCATTATCTCGATATAGCCACAATTCACAAGTTTTTTAAGTAAAGATGGATAGTGGGTAGCAGTGGAATCCAGTTTGACGCACGTTTCATCCTATTTGCGATTTGTCAGCTGGATGTACCTGCATCTCAGAGTTGATGTTCAGGACTTAGTAGCTGAGTGGATAACGCGATGGCGTTTGAAGTGAACGGTAATGGGTTTGAGTCTTAGAGTGAACATCAACTCTGAGATGCGGGTACATCCAGCTAACGAGTCTCAAACAGGACGAACCGTGCGTCAAACTGGATTCCATTGCTAGTTACTATTCATCTTTGCTTACATCTTGGAGTAAGTTACTAAAATGTTTTCAATTATTGTTTTTGGTCAAAATGTTTGAACTGTTGAAAAGCTCTATGCTACAATGAAACAATAGCTCAATATTCTCTGATTTCGAATCATATCTTCAGTATCAACAATCTATGTTAAATACAATCTATAAATTCAAATCATTCCAATCTAATTGTTAAGATTAATCTATTATCTAATTCATATTTATATAGTTGAGATCATGAATCAATTGAAGCTAGATCACTGTGGAAAACCTGGAAGTACTGGACGACCGTTTCATCCTATTGTGGGACTCCTTAGCAGTACACATCGACGATCCCGTCTCACAGGATTCGAACCCAGGCCTTCCAGTCTCGCGCGCGAGAGATTAACATCTAGAACCACTGAGGTGGTCGGCATCCAAAGGTGTTAATGTCTAACTTCAGCCAATCCACGAAATTGAGCAACCATTCACCAATGTCTTCAGTCAATTGATATCTCACAACAGACCTGGTTGAATTCTACTGGTCACTGCTTCTTACTACAACTCCAGGAAATACCTCATGGAGCTAGTGACTAGTTAGCATATGATCATATTTGTTTGAGATCATAGAAACTAAACCGTATTTTTGTTGTTGAAATTCTCAAACTCTTTGATATTCTCTTAGTGTCTATCATTAACTTATTCATTAATTGAATAAATATTATTATTCATATGGAAATATAGAAATAGAAATCAAATGAAATTATACTTTAAATGAATGTAATTAAGTGTATATATATTCATGTTTAAAACATCCAAAATAGAAATTATGCATTGTTCAATAAAGTGTTTCTAACTTTAAGATAACTGTTTAGAATACTTTTTAAAAAAAACTTATAATTACAAGAAACTGGAAGGAGAAGAAGAAAGAGAGAATTCAGAAGAATAAGCGAGGGTTAGAGAGAGATGGAGAGAGAAAGAACGCGCGTGCAGAAGAGTACCTGTAATATAAGAATAAGCGAACGCATGCGAAAGGACAAGCAAGAGATAAAGAGAGAGAGAGACAGCGCGTGCACAGAAGGGTAGACAAACGCATGCGGAAGAATAGGCAAGAGATAACGACAGAGAGAGAGAGAGCGATAGTATTCTCATTTTCTTTTTTCACCGGTAGTGAAAATTCTAATTCAAAATCTTCTACATCATCGATCACATATATTGAATAGGTGTATCAATATAGGTATCAATATTACTAACCAACTATCATAATATGATTTGTATTAGAATAAGTTATGTATAAGGTTTCTAATAATCATATACAATTAACTGTTTGCCAAAATTGTCTAATTAAATATTTTGGTAATATAAAATCAAATAATTTATTCTTATTAATATGTTGATCTAAATCATTTGGATTGATTGAAGATTTAGCTAATTTATATATATATAATGCTAATAGGATTTTATTGAAAAAAGAAAACAAAAAAGATAAAAGAAAACAAAAAAGAAAAACAAAATAAATAAACAAAAACGAAAAAAAACACAAATAACAACTAACATTTACGTAACACAAATCTCGTTTGATCTGTGTTTGGGGGTATGATACTGTCCGGGTGCCCAAATCGAAACAGGTGGTTATCTTAGTGGACCAGACTCGAAGCCTTTGACCTAAGGGCCTCATCCACAAGGCGATAGAGCATCGTAAGGAGATGCAGTCCAATAGTAGCTGGTGACCAACGATTGATTCATATGCCATTTGTTCCCTCAGGATACTGGAACTAGCCCATGTGCACCATTTGTTTGAAATCAGGGTTTTACAACTCCACTAGGTAAACTTTCCGTGTCTACCAACCAGATTAAAGCGACGGACATTCGCCTTTCTTCCTTTTAATTTCGTAAACAACACCCGTATTGCGAGAAGGCAGTGAGTAGGACTTCACTGGCTGAGGCTATATACGCGTGGCCATGTGAGAGAGCATTTCGAGATGGAGAGCGGATTCCCCTAATCTCGGCCGTTTGTTTACCTACCCTCGTTTGTAATATAATACAGATTCCATCGTAACGCATTTGTTTTATTTATCTGTTATTTTAATAGTTTTACTGCAAGAACTCAGCAGTTGTACTCAGTATTTTGAGTAATTCATATGGACATATATATATGCATGCAAGGGATGGGAATATGAAACAACTATATGATACAATGAATAAACCAGACGGGAAATGTAATAAACTAGAGAGACCAGTCAAAGACTAGGAAGGTAAGACAATCCCTAAGCTTCAAGAACAATGGAACAGACAGGTAGAATACTTCGAGGAACTGCTCCATTGAATCCACCAAACATCATAGCAGAACCTACAGACCTTCCTATAGATATCATTCCACAAACGATCGACCAAATCAAGATAGCCATCAAACAAATCAAGAGTGAGATAATCCATCATCGATCAAGATAATCGCCTGATTTTACATATTATCATTCAGCTATTTACATCAATCATTAGTATATACACATTTTGTATGATCAATCATTCATCTAACTATCAAATGGAATGAATAGTCAAAATTATATTGATCACATGCCAATGAAATTTCATTCTTTTCATAAAAACCCTGTCAGTCAATTTCCTTATGATGTATACTACTTTTTTATTATGCAATATGATGTATCATTATTAATCAGACTACTCACTACTCAATCTTATTATTATTATTATTAGTATGTAAAAAAGAATAGACGATTTACAACCCGACTTCTCTTCACTGCACTTCTCTTCCTTCCTTCCTTCCTTTCTTCCTTCCTTCCTTCCTTCCTTCCTTCCTTCCTTCCTTCTTTCCTTCTTTCTTTCTTTCTTTCTTTCTTTCAAGTTTTTCTTTTTATGTATTATCCTTGTGTTGGCATTTATGAATTTCATTGTGTAGAGAACAACTAATGATTCCATTTTAATAATGACTGATATCTGAGTAATGAAATTAGGTATGTAACTTAAATTATTGACTGATAGATATTAAAGCATATAGAGTCTGATGATGGAATATGTGAGAAATATGGTCATTTAAAGTGGGTTTTTTTTATGATCTCTGTGTATCTGACGAGAATCGATTAAAAAAGAAGAAGGGGGGTTTTGTGGAGATTTTAGTAATTTTATATAGTTTAGTGCATAAAGAGATGCTATAGTGATGGTCATTTCATCTAATGGTTCGATTTGTATGTATATATTTACTATTCAAGTGATATGCTACTCAAAAGACTGAATATCAGTTAACTGGATACTATCCTCAATAATCTACTGTGACAAAAAACAAACCAGCTTATATCTGATCAGGAAATTATGAAAAGACGCTTTAAGAGGATAGGATATACATTGTAGAAATCGTCAAACTGTATCACGAGGCAAGTGTTAACTTGAAATCTTGAAGGGAAACGCAAATGAGGAACACATTGAATCAAACATCGAAAGAATAGATAGCAGCTAGAAACAACTGGAAAGATTTGCTCATGACATAGTTCTATAGAAAATACTGTTGGACAACCTATGTTCCTCCACAAAGGTGAACAAGTGGAAGTAAGTTATGCTCAGAACATAATAATAAAATGATTAACTTATTCGTTAAGAGTGTGATTTAGACTTTTAAAAATCAATGAACATTTGCAGCTCGGTAGGACATGTTTCGTGTAGTCTTCTCCTCTGAGCTAAATAATGCTATTGAGGAGCTCATTTAGAAATCTTGAGTTTTGTAAATACGATATTCAATATGTAATGGATGATCTAAGATGTGATTCAGTCATAAACTATCATCTTTAGTTAGTACTGTTTGTTTGGATCTTCCCATTGATGCTTTTAGGACTGCAACTGGTCAGTTTCTAATTGGCATATGTGCATACTGTGCGTATTGCCTCGATATAGCGTAAATTCACAAGCATGGTAAGCAAAGATGGATAGTGGCTAACAGTGGAATCCAGTTTGACTCACGTTTCGTCCTATTTGGGACTCGTCATCTGGATGAACCTGCATCCACTGAGTTCCAGTCTTAGAGTGAACATCAGCTCTAAGATGCAGGTACATCCAGCTGACGAGTCCCGCATAGGACGAAATGTGCGTCCTAGATTCCCCTGATAGCCACTATCCATCTTTGCTTATCATCTTTAGTCATTATTTTAAATAGTAACTTTCTCTAACATATTCAAACATTTCACTTACCAAGCTCATTATCTTCAAAACCAAGTTTATCATCAAGTATTTCATTAATTCTTTGAATTCCTTCAATTTCAACATCTACAATCTATACAAAGATATATATAAAGAAAATAATACATCCGATAATGATTGATATAATCTATTCAATAAAGTAATTCGACTTTTTTAGAAAAGATATAGACCCATTTCAATGCTTTCTCCTATCCTTTAAACGATGATATAATTTGTGATCTGAATTGTGTTATTTTTATAGTTGAGATCATGAATCAATTGAAGCTAGACCACCATGGAAAACATTCTCACTAGTGATTGGCTTCAAGAGATATTTCCTGAAGTTCCAGTGAGAAGCAGTAACCAGTGGAGTTCAACCGGATCTATTGTGAGATAGTAACTCACTGAATGTACCTGCTTCCTAGCGTTCATGTTCCATCCTGGACTAGAACATGATGAAGTTTGCTTCAAATTCCATCCCATTATCCAACAAACTACTGAGTCCAGATAGCCACTAACTTGTGCAAGAAAGTGAATTTCTAATTAATTTTTTATTGATTGGTTGAATCTTCTCACTAATATTGAGGACAACATTTGAAGCAAACATTTATGAATTCAAGTACAGGAGTGTACATCAACTCTGACATGTAGGTACAACCAACTGATAAATCCAAAATTAGGATAAAACCCGTATCCTGAATTCCATCACTAATCACCATCCATACTACTTATATAAACAGTGATACAGATCGATATCAAGGCAGTTCACCTATAAGAAATTCATCAACTGAAGTCTTAAACATCATTATGAATATCTAAACAATCAATACATAATAAATGATTTCTATTTACTATTTCTTTGATAGTAGTAAATTATTTTAAATAAAAAAAAAAATTTGGCAAATTTTTGAAAAGAAAAAACAAAAAAACAACAACATGACAGTTTTATAATTAAGAACCATGTGATATATATATATTAAGTCTTTAATAGAAAACAAAAGACCCCCAATTCATTATTACTTTATATAGTAGATAATTAAATGAAGTTTAATTTAACATTGATATTTTAGTTGATGAAATAATCATCTGTATCTATCCCTTAATTTTGAGTTATACTGGTAGATAGTTCAATGATAATTAAATTTCAATAGTTAAGATGAGGAGTCAATTGAATCTACACCATCATGGAAAACCTGGAAGGGGTAGACGGCCGTTTCGTCCTATTGTGGAACTCTTCGGCAATGCGCATCCACGATCTCGCGTAATGAGATTCGAAAGCAGGACCTATCGGTTTTGCACGTGAACGCTTAATCTTTAGATCACTGAGCCGACCAGTATCTAACGGTGTTAATATATAACTTCAATCATACCACGAAATTGAGCGACATATCCTTCGATGTTTTCAGTGAGTTACTATCGCACAATAAACTTGGTTGAACTTTACTGCTCACCTATTGAAGCCAGTCACTAGTGACCATATATTGATTAATATCAGAAAAAGTTTTGTGGATATTATAGTAATGTTAATAGTTGATATTATGAGTCAATTGAAGCTAGACCACCATGGAAAACCTGGAAGTATTAGACGGCCGTTTCGTCCTATTGTGGGATTCCTCAACAGCGAGCATCCACAATATCGCCGCGCGAGATTTAAATTTAGGAGCTATCAGTTAGGCACGCGAGCGCTTAACGTCTAGACCACTGAGCCAGCTGGCATCCGGCGGTGTTGATTTATTTTTAGTGTATCATTCCAATAACTAATTGTAATGAAGTATTCACTTATTTTTTCGCTTGAATTTAATGTTGATCTTCATCACTAGGAACTGAGTTTGAAAGATATTTTCCGAAGTTCTTGCTAGTAGCATTGACTATTAGAGTTCAGTCATGTCTTGTTATACGAGTCAGTTATCCATCAAAGGTAGTAGAAGATGATTTTATAATATGGTAATGATGATTTAATTTGAACGTGATAATAAATGAATACTAACCCAATAGTCTAAAGGTTTGTCGCTCTCTGCGTGTCCTGAACCTTCTAAGTTAGACCCTCAATCGGGCAATGGATACACACTATTGAAGAGTTCTAAATCAGGACAAAACATTTGTACATTACTTTTGATGTTCCATGGTTACCTAAATTAGGTCAGGTTGTATTATCATTTAAGCAAACATTTATCCTGAAAAGTATATCCTTGCCCAGGAATAATTATTTTTCACCACAGCTCAAATGTGTTTCTGTTAATTAGCCACAACAAACACAGAATAAACAATAGATTCCGATTCCTCTTAGAAGAAAACCTCAGTCTTAATCTTAATTTATAGTTCAAATAGAACAATACAAGATCAGTATACATCAAGACCCCGTTTAACCTAAATGTCTGTTATTTGGAATAAACTACCGATCAAAACTTTATGGAGTAAACATTGACTCTATATTCCACTCCTGACGAAAAAATAAGCTTTTAAATGACGACAAGTGTTTCAATAAAAACTATCAATCAATTCAAATTCTCAGACTATAAAAGATATACTTGGTTCATTTACTGTATAACTCCGCCCGTAGCTCCTCCAGGGGCTACTGCCGGTCCCTAGCCCAGGTAAAGAAGGAGGGTTGGGCATGAAGTTAGTGACCCCATCCCGTAAAAAACCAACTCGCTTAAAAAACGTTAACCAGAAAAAAATTATTATTCATTGACTGCATGATACTTGATTATCTAATATTTCCAACATACCTGGTTGTGTACTGATAAGAAGTCAAGTGTTGAAAGAAAATTGCTATTATTCTAATTCCTTAGTTTTCATAGATTATTTAACTAAACTCTTTTTTGAAATGAATCTAACTATGTTAACTCATTGTTTATTCAGAGAGATTATAATTTATGAACGACCTTTGAACGAATATTAAGTGATCTTGAGAAGTGTTAGTCGATCAGTAAACAGTCACCACAGAGCAAAAATATATTATACAAAACCAAAAAATTATAGTGGATACACATGATACGAACACTTGTGAAGTTTACAAATAGATTCAAAGGTTCTGAAATTGCAATGCATAAGGTAGAGAAACTCATCCATATAGCTCCATAATAGTCGATCTCTGAAGCCATGATAACGTCACAAAATCCCTCTCAGCCTTGACCACATAGTTTCAATATTGTTTGTGTGTACTCCGGTTGTGTAAGTTTGTCACAATACCCCCTACAATACTCATACCAGTGAACAGCCGAAGCTTCACTAACATCTGCCAATATTGCAGTCCATGTTATTGATGCTTTTATTATACTAACTTACTTACGCCTGTTACTCCCAATGGAGCATAGGCCGCCGACCAGCATTCTTCAACACACTCTGTCCTGGGCCTTCCTTTCTAGTTCTATCCAATTGTTGTTCATTCTTCTCATATCTGTTTCCATTTCTCAGCGTAATGTGTTCTTTGGTCTTCCACCTCTCCTTTGGCATTGAGGATTCCATGTGGGTACTTGCCTTGTGATGCAGTTGAGTGATTTCCTCAATGTGTGTCCTATCCACTTCCAGCGCTTCTTCCTGATTTCTTCCTCCACTGAAATCTAGTTTGTTCTCTCCCACAGTAGGTTGTTGCCGATAGTGTCTGGCCAACGGATCCGAAGTATCTTGCGTAGACAGCTGTTAATAAACACTTGTATCTTCTGGATGATGACTTTCGTAGTTCTCCATGTTTCCTCCCCATACTGTAGAACTTTCTCGATATTCATATTTAAAATTGTGAGTTTGATGTTGGTTGAAAATTGTTTTGAGTTCCAGACGTACTTCAGTTATAAATATGCTGCTCATGCTTTGCCCATCAGCGTCTTCACAACAGCATCAGATCCACCGTGTTTATCAATGATACTGCACAGATGCTTTTATTATACAGTTTGCAGAAATGATTATAATTTGTCTTAGTCTCAATCCGAATTGAGCGAAAAAAAGTTCTTTTTCTATAAGACTTCTAGCTCCAACATATATTATATCGAAGGACAACATCGCCTTAGTCTTATAAATAAATTATATATTTGTAATATCCCAATGAGTAGAAAAATTAGATTTTCTGACGTTTCGTGACTCAGTGTAAGCCACTTCTTCAGAGAATAAATAAATAATAAATAATTCTCTGAAGAAGTGGCTTACACTGAGTCACGAAACGTCAGAAAATCTAATTTTTCTACTCATTGGGATATTACAAATATATAATTTATTTATAACAATCTACCCAATGCTCAATTTATTCAAAATTATCAAATCAAGTCTTGGTAATGACACCTATCGCCTTAGTCTGCACAAGAGTTTACAAGCTATTTGATTGCAACAATTACAAATAAAGAAACTTCTTAGTAGTCTCATTTATTGTAGCCACTTAATTGTTAAACCTTCTCTAAAATCCTCTATGGAATGTTTGTACATGAGCAACAAGTAATAAAATTGGCGCTACGACCTTGAAATCCTTCCAACTCTTCTAAATGGCTCGTCTATAAACTATAGCCCTCTGTTTATTCTTCTAGTATTTTATATTCTGTTTTATGTTTATTTAGTAAGAAGAGAGGTTGAAAGAGAGATGTTAAGTGAATATTAAAATTTACCATTAAACGAACTGATAAAAAGACATTTACCATAAGTCATATATATTTACTTAATAGTGATACATTTTCTCTAATGTAATTGTTAGTTTATTCATTAGTAGTATATTCAGTATCCAAATTATTTTTCTAATATGATTAACTTATTAGAATCATGGATGCGCACTGTTGAGGAGTCGCACAATAGGACGAAACGACTGTTCAGTGATTCCAGGTTTTCCATGGTGGTCTAGCTTCAATTGATTCATGATTTCAACTATATATAAAAATTACTAAAAATTTCCACAGAAAACCCCCAAATTAGAATGAGTTGTTTTGTTTTTATAGTTTCTTCAGTAACTATATTTGACTAATAATTGTATTAAATGAATATACAAAACAATAATTCACTCAAATTACAGCCTAAATCAAATTTGAAATTAATACCAAGAATACACACTTACATAGATACATACATACAAACACAAAAACCTGCGTAGATACACAAAACACACGCATAGATACACACAAAAACCTGCATAGATACACATAAAAACCACCATAGATATACAAAAACATGCATAGATACATCTGAAATACAAATCAGTTAAAAATAAAACTGAAATGATTTACATAAAGTACAGTTTATGATTATATCATTGAGTCAAAATTCAATTTTGATTGGACAATATAAGACATTGATTAGTTAGTTTGTTTTGTTTTTTTTTCCTTTGAGAAAGGAATCTTATTATGAATATAATTGAAGTCTGAAAAAATGTAAATTATTGTATTCAGTTAGTCAGTCAGTTACAACGTAGAACTTCGTACGTAGGTACATTAGTTCGAGTTGCCATACCTCATTAACACAGAGATGAAGTTGTCGATTCAAATCCCATATTGGTAGAAGTAGTAAGAGTATAAGTATTATGTGAAAGATAAGAGTTTGAAGATGTTATTGAAGGAGTATAATACAGTGAAATAAATTTGGAAACAGAAAAAGTATAGAGACATGAGGAATTCAGAAGATTAGAATTTGGCAGAACACTAAGAGTGGATGCACCTTCGCCATAGCAAACGATTTTGAGCCATGTAATTGAAGGTTGTCATTGGAATAGAGGATTTGTTTTTTTGTATTTAAGACTAATGAGCTAGAATAAAGAAACTCGTAACTTAAGTTATAAACACAAACGTACTGGGCTCGAATCTAGAAGTGAACATTGATTCTATGGTGAAGATGTGTGTATCTGACAAGTCTTAATTGAGGAGGAATGAATATTATAGATTCCACTGCTACGTATATTACATCTATTTTGTGTAAACATGTATCATAATGTCAAGGTATTACGTACTAGATACACAGATAAGTCAACTAAAAATGATGAAAGTCAAGCCAGAATATCAATGATTAAAAATAAATCAAACCTTTAAAAATCAAATGGCATTTAAATTATCCCACTAGCTATCGTACTTGAGGGTACTATTATCAACTCAGTTTAGCCTTTGTAGGTGAATGTTACTGAAGTGTGAGTGACTAAGACAAAACTCTCTTGATGCTCTCTTTCTATGGTTTTAAATTATCTGTTAATACTGTGATAATACCAAATGATTATCAAATAAAGTTTCATCACTAATAACTAAATATTTTAAAATTGATAAGCTTCACAAAGAAAATATTTACAGTTGAAGTATAAGATGATGGTTGGAGGTGGTCAACAGTAAACCCTGGACCCAGGTTTCATGCTACTTGGCACTCGTCAGCAAGGTGTACCTGTAATCTTGAGGGAACTGTTGCTCTTTTGTCAAATTCCATCCCGTGTCACTCAGCTTCATAGTCAGAGATGTTACCACTGAGCTATTCGGGCTGCAACTGACCTCCTGTAGGACTGATATGTAATCACAAGTATATATAAATATAAGCAACAAAATGAAGTGATATCAGCCCCTATTAGAACACTTCTTCATTGATTTTGTAAGTTACATTTTTAAACCCTTTATCATGTTTCTATGAGAACAGTGTAGTATCGGTTGTTATGTTAAGCACATATGTCTTATTCTAACTTCTGGATAAGTCAATTCACCTATCCATCATGAATCATTTTTTCACTTTGTTAAATAATACTTTATTAACCCTAACCATAGGCGTGTGTACCCTTCTTATCCTATTTATCACATATCTGTCATTTATTCTCGTCTAACTATAAATATTGATTGACGCTTGATGAAATTTAGTTGGTTTCTCCTCCATCTCCTATGAGTGTCGTTTTTACTTTGCTCACTGATATTTGGGCGAGACTATAATTTATGGACGAATCAATCAGATTTAAGATAGCAGGTCTTAGATTTCGGCGCGAGATTTATCCACTCATCTGGCTAAATACCATTTTGGCATTATAACTGTCAGTTCGTAATGAAAACATTAAACATAATTTCTAATCCTAACGTTTAGTTATGAATCCTAATCCTAGTTCCTCGTACTAATAACCTTCAGTTAACCCTAGTAAGTAGATGACATTTTAAAGGTTATTTTAACATTGATCAAAGGTCGTCCATAAATTATAGTCTCACCGATATTTGCTCATGTGCTTATAGCTTTCTGACCTGCGTTATTTGACAATAAAACTGTAGTTACCGCTTCTCTTCGTCTTCTGACATTATACACCGTTAAGATTTGTATTATAACTGTTATCGAAGTGAATGATTAGCGAAGCACGGCACTACAACAGTAATCCTCTTTAAACAATAATGATATTGGAAGATCATTATACATTGAAATGAATGATCATTGTCTTAATCACAACATGATCACAGAAGTAATAATGATGACGATATAAAATTATAATTACATTTGTTTACCTCATTTTCTTCTATATTACCATCTTGTTTAAATCGAATAGTTCTTTTACCTGATCCAATATGATTATTTTTATTTTTTGAACGTGAACTGATCATATCTGAATGGTATAGAATGTACAAAAAGGGCAAATGTATAACAAAAAATCAGTTCAATATAAATTCTTATATATAGAATAAAATTAGTCAATATTACATTATGCTTCGTTTGTTACAAGCAAAGATGGGTAGTGGCTAGTAGTGCAATCCAGGACGCTCGTCTCATCCACCTGCACAAACAGGTATCTATTAGGAATCAGAAGCCAAGTGGATAACACGATGACATTTGAAGCGAAAGTTACTGGGTACGAGTCCAAGAGTGACACATCAACTCTGTGATACAGGTATATCTAGTTGAGGAGTCCCAAATGGGACAAAACGCGCGTCCTCGATTCCTTTACTAGCTACTATCTAACAGAACGGAATGTTTAAAATAATTCTGTCCTCCAACGAATGTGTGTGTACATTGTGTAGCTATCTATTCAGCATTAACTCATGGCTGTAAGACGTGACTTTTAAAAGTAGAGGACATTTGTAGTTTACTAATATCTGATTACATATTTCTTTGAAGCACTGATCGAGTATATTGCGATCACCGAGTAAATAGTGCTTAGATTCAAATCAAGGCAATAGTCAAGGATAATAAGTCCATTAATGAGATTATAAGCCTTCATCTACGGAGACAAGGACTGACTGATGAAAATGACGGTCAGAATGTAAACAAATGTCAATCTGCACTTGGTTCTATTCTTTGTATCAGTATGAAAACTTTAAGTAAGCAATAAAGCCAACTGGTACATATTAAATGTGGTTTATTTAGTATGGCAGTTGTGAAAATTGATAAATGTTTACCAAGATTACGAACAAATCTAAGTTACACAGCTAGTGAAAATTCAGTAACACTGGACAGATAAATTTAGTAGAATTGCATTCACATAGCTCCCTTTATTATCTTAAAGAATGGAGTTTAACTGTGTTCTATGTCAGGAAGGTAAAGATAACCTCGCAATACCACAGATTGATTGCAGTTAGACATATGCACCACTTGATAGCAACTCGGTATTCTAGAAACTAGGAGTCCATGAATATGAGACTGAACGTCATGAGTTCGATCGCCAACAATGTGTTTGTGGATGTGAATTTCTGATGAGTCTTGTACTGAGGCAAAACAGCTGTTCAATACTTCCAGACTTATAATTATCTAACTAAGATTAGCTTGTGAACTAAGTATAGTATTCTATTCATTTGGCACAATAGTGAAAAATGATAAACATTTAATATATGGAATTTATGATTACTTGTAATTGTAATGTCTACTTATATACATACATTTCATTGAAATAGTTCTACATTGATTGCATAACAAACATTATCACTAACACCAATTAATTGTTTATTTCACAATTTCATCACACTCACATGAACGTATTCGTGTGTGTGTGTGTGTAGTGTATGTATTGATGTCTATATATAAGCGAATGTACGAGAGTAGTCATAATAACAGTAATAATAAATAAATGTTTCCATTTTTTCTGATTTTTTCCAATGAAAATTGATTTCCAATAGTTGAGATCATGAGTCAGTTGAAGCTAGACCATCATGGAGAACCTGGAAGCACTGCACGACCGTTTCGTCCTATTATGAAACTCCTCAGAAGTGTGCATCCGCAATCCCGCCTCACGAGATTCAAATCCAGAACCTGTCAGTCTCGCCCGCGAATGCTTAACCTCTAGAACACTGAGTTGGCCGGCATCTCACAGTGTTAATATCTAACTTCAACCAATCCACGAAATCGAGTGACACATCCACCATTGTCTTCAATGAGTTGATATCTCAGAACAGGCCTGGTTGAACTCCACATGTAGTAAGTCAAACGGTAAATTTTTTTGATAACAGTAAAACATGAGAGGACCAAGAGAGATCAGAGGAAAAAGTAATCACAACATTATTGACATTAGACACTGTGTTTATCAAGAAGTCACCAACGGCAGAAGCATTATGGGGCATTAAAATAGTGTTTAAGTGCAGTCCATATCTCAGGCTGAAGTTAACAGGTTGAGATTTGGACGGATTAAATAAGAGACCATTACCAACAGATCACCATTCAATACGAGACGTAAAATCATTCATTTCTATGTAATATAAAGAAGGAGAAATTGGCATACATACAGTGAGGTCGTCCGCATATTTCACAAAACTGTTTTCAGTGTAAGATGGTAGATCATGAAGAAAAAAAGAGAAAGGGAGAAGTAAAAGAATAGCTCTTTATGGCACACCCTCACTAGACAATAGAGACGTTGAACACTTTCCTCCAAACACAGTGTACTATTCTCTTTTAGAGAGGTAGGAACATAACCGATTGATTATCCAGCCGTCAGTGTTAATGCAGATCAACTAGTTAAGTAAGAGGTGTCTTGGCATGGAATCGAAAGCAGAAGTATAGTCCAAAAAAGCCCATACAACATACTTCTGACCCTTTTCCGTGCCGAACATTATATTGTGATGCAGAACAGCAACGGTATCTAATATGCTTCTTTTACATTTGTAAACAAGCTGATAAGGATCGCTGTGCTCTTAAGCTACAGGTTGAAGTAGGAGTATCAATAATTTTCCCATTATTTTGAGGGAATGTGAAGTTATTGCTATGGGTCTAAGTTTCACATTTTTATCACCAGATACTGTCTTAGGTATAGAGATTATTTTTATCTTTCTCCACATTTTCTGTATGACATTATTTGAGAAAGATCTGTTAAAGATATTCACGAATGGATAACATAGAAGGTCAGTACATTTCTTCAAAAAGAAGGTTGTGGATACCATCAGATCCTAAACATTGGGATGAATTAAGTGACTGGAGACATTTTTGGACATCATTTTCAATGAAACGAGGAACAGAACTATTTTTAAAACCTGTGAATATAGGGAGTATGACATCTGATGACTGACTTACAAAAGGCTTATTTAAGTCACAAACATTCAGCTGGTTATCGCTTCTAATCTGTCTGTCGTCTGTAAGTTCTTTCAAGAGTTTCCACATACTTTGAGAGTTTTTACATCATAGGAGTTTCTGAGAGAACATAGAGTTGAGACGTTTAATCTCTAGTAGGTATCATTACCAAGGTTTGACTTGGTAATTTCAGATAAATTGAACATTGGGTAGATTGTCATAAATAAATAATATATTTTTAATATCCCAGCGAGTAGAAAAATCCAATTTGTCCAATCTCTGGATTTATTAGACCATTTAGCTTACGAACTTCAATAGTGTTTGTCTCCTTGTACATTCTTTCTTTTACCCTCCATAGTCGTTTTAGTTGTGGAGATGTAAGTCGATCAGAAATTGGAAAAATGGTTTCAGTAGGATAACACATATCAAAACAGAATTTCAGATAACAGGTGATAAAATCAGTGGTGTTTTTCAGTGAGTCGTCTGTAAATAATTCCCAATTAGTCGTATGTTTTCTTCTGAGTAATTCCTATATATGACTTTTTTCGTCTGGTGTAAGAGTGTACTCTTTCCATGTTTTCCATATACTTTAGGTAGAACACGAATTATTTAGTCATCCGAGGCAGACAATGGAGCATGTTTACGAGTCACATATGTAGTCACATCATTAATGAAAACGAAGTCTAAATGAGCTTCCAAACAAGTAGGGAAATGTACTACATTTTGGTGACCTAATGATGTAAGGGAGCTGCAGTCACATGAATTGAAATCGCCACATACAATCGAAAGTAAACCAGTGAAGGCAGTAACAATGAATTCAGTAAATTCATCAGCGAAAACAGATAGAGCAGATGATGTACAGTCTGAAGTCATCTAGATGTTGGTAACATAAACATACATGTGTATTTATTCGGGTGTTTTGGACGGCATCTTAAATTTAGACAGTTGATAAAGTCATTTGGAAACTTGAAAGAAGTAAAAGTAGATCAATACCAGTTCATCTTTACACCTCTTTTTATTGCTTGATCGATCCTGAAGATAGATAATGAAATCACGTAGTGATGCAAAGCAATCGTCCTGTTAATCAGTTAACCAAAATTATGATTGAACAAATCATAATCCTTTGTATGATAGTTTAAAAGGTTATACTAAAAATATCCAAAAATGCCACTTGTGACTAGTCTTAAACAATTGTCTCTTGACTACTATGCTGTTGCTCTCAGGTCGTCAAGGCTACAAGGAGAAGCACTTTTTCACAAAGAAGAGAGCCACGATTTGATAATCATCCTTCTGTCATTAATAGGATTTGATATTAACTTATTGACGATGAAACTACGTTCTTATCACCTGATATTTTTTCTCATTCCATTATCAAACTTCATTTCCTGTATTCTACTACCAGTTTTAATAATTCCGATTCAAATAATACTGTCCTAAGTTCCTTCACTGATATAACTAGTAATATATGTAGGTAAACACAAAAATTAAAAGTTTCGTGTCCTTGGAGTCTTTAGTATTAGAAACAAAACATAATTTGAAGAAAGAGTTCATTGGGACTTTATAAATAATCTTATGAAATTGAAAGTTATATTAATGAGTTAAGTCTATGAGTTTAGGTAACATTTTGAAAGGATATTATCAGTCAGTTAGCTACAACGTAGGACTAGGCACATATATGCATCGGTCCAAGTTGCCATATCTCGTTAGCACAACAAGATAAACACCGAATTCATAGAAGTAGTTAATTTAGTGGTGGTAATATATAAAAGAAAGATTGTATATAAGAATATAGTATAGGAAGGAAGACAGATATGAAGCACTTTTAATCTCAAGGTTTAAGGAAAGACAAAGAGTGGGTTGGAGAAAGCTGGTCGGCGGCCTATGATCCATTGGGAGTAACAGGCGTAAGTAAGTATACACCTACGCCATTGTGACCAATTTGAGCCATGTCACTCAGAGTCTCCAACCATTGGTTACGATAGTCACGTGGAACCCAACCAAGTAGTTTGCATCTATCAACATAGTTTAGACTGGAAGTTAGTGAATTGAAGTTCAGATGCTAGACTTTAAATAATTACTTTGTATATTTGAATTTCATAGCGTCTATTTCTATTCAAGTGATCAGATGAGAGTGCCATATAACTTCATATAGAACTTATACCATGAAACTAAGTACAGAAATTTGATAGATAAGTTACAATACATCATCATTATATTAGATACTTACAAGTAACTTACATACTGGATTTAGATATTTTCATTATTTACATAATCTATAAGTTGATTTATAGAAAATAGTTTATTTTACAAGGAACTGATCAATAAGTAGTAATCAGTGTTATGTTTGTTTAGTTTCATGGAAATGATTGAATTCTATTTGTTAAGTTAGGTTACTTGATTTGTAGTATAATTTATTCTAGTGGTTAAGTACTGGAGTGAGAAACTGACAGGTCCTCGGTTCGAATATTGCGAGGTGGGATCGTGGATGCGCACTGCTGAGGAGTCCCATAATAGGACGAAACGGCCGTCCAATGCTTTCAAATTTTCAATAGTGGTCTAGCTTCGATTGATTCATGATCTCAACTATTAAAATAATAATTTATTGGAACCTTAAATATATCGAATGATTAATTGTGTTAAAGAATCATACACAGATAATTTGGTATTTATCTGGAGATTATTTTTAGAAAATCATTATCACATCATTGTTAAATGATTAAGTAAAATAATGATGATAGACTGATTAATTAGACAACCCTTGGCAATGTGGAAGCATTTGACTTCTGTTTCAATCTCATATGGAACTTTTTAGAATCGCATATCTACGAACACGTCACTATATTTCAAATCTACGAATTCCATGTTACCAAGTCCTGTTTTCGACCTTCAACAGTTAGTAACCACACACTATTTATGAGTCTCATACAGAAGTGAATAGTTTTTTAGTGCTTCCTATCTTTTTATGGTGTAGAACACAAAACATCCACATTAAAATAGAATGGGTTTCGAAGACATAAGCTTCGAATTTTATCTATTTATACATAAAATTAGCTATGCACTAAGCAGGCGTCACAGGCTCTCCTCATACACTAATTCATTAATGTTTATCTTCACTCTCTTAAGTTCTAATTTTTACCTTTGAAATATCATCTATGAAGTTAGAAAATACGGTTAGAATGCGTATTTTTGAAACATTGCATGTACAATATGGAACGATCGAGTAGGCAGTGTTGAAATTAAACACATGATATCAAGTAACGATTTGAATCTTTATCTTAGGAGTCAGTTGAAATGTCTACTATGTATACCCCAAATGCCCTGTTTCGGCCGATAGTGGGGAGAGTCCGCTATCCCTCTCCAAATGCTCTCACATGGACACGTGTATACAGTCTCTGACAGGGAAGTCCTAATCACTGCCTTCTTGCACTACAGGTGTTGTATGCAAAATCAAGAGAATGAAATGCAAATGTCCGGCGCTTCAACCTAGTTAGTGGCCAGGGAAAGTCCACCTCGGAGAGTTGGAAAACCCTGATTACAAACCAATGGTGCACATGGGATGGCTCCAGGATCCTGAGGGAACAAATGGCGTATGAATCAATCATTGGTCACCGACTACCATGGGACTGTATCTTCTCACGACGCTTGACTACCTTGTGGATCAGACTTTTGAGTCAAAGGCCTCCAGGTGTGGCCGCCTAAGGAAACCACCTGCTTCAGTTTGGACACCTCTGGAGTATCACAGCCCTCACACAAATCAAATGAGATTTGTGCAGCGCATATGTATCTGGTGCTTCCTTGTACCAATATTTATGTGTTCAGATAATATAAATACTACTATGTATGCTTAATCACTGCCCATCATGACAAGCGTAGGTTATTAGTACAGAAATAGGTTAAAAGAACACTGGAGATGTCAAATGAAGACGACACTAGTCCGTAAAATCATTAACTGTTGAACTAGGCAATGCTAGCAAATGTACACTACTTGATTGTTGCTCCTTAAACTGTCCTAACCAATAGTTGACTCTAAATAGTCCATAATGTTGTAGTTAAATTTTGTCCTCTTCCATTATCCTTTCGTGTATACCTTTCCCCCATGTCTTTTGAAATCATATTTCCAAGGTTTAATATTCGTTTTTCTATATAGTAGGAAATTATTCCCATATGTTCTGTTCTTTTCACCTTATTATTTGAATGAGGTATTGTAGTGAACAAAACACTAGATGGGGACAATCGAATGTATTTAAGCACAAATTACAGGCTATCTCACTAAATACTGATAACCATACAGTAGTTAACAGTTAATTTGCAAATTAACAACCAATTGTTTCAATCTTCACTGTTCCTTCTGTAAATATCAGTCCACCTTCTCTAATTCTATTGTTCATGGATTTTCCTACCATTTACGTTTCATTTTAGTTCTTTCCTTATCAGTCTTCTGTCAAAATACATTCTATGTCTAACCATCACCATATACTACTTATATATGGATATAAGTAGACCACAACCACAGTATGACATATTGGACTAACCTACTTATATGTCTTTTCAAATCATATTCCAAAGGTTTAATATTTCTTTTTCTCAATACTATGGAATTAATCCGATCTCCTGTTCATTTCACTTTATTATTTAAAATGGGATATGACATCTTAGACTGATGTACATCTCTGCTAAACTCTAAATCTGTAGTATCTATCGTTTGAGTAATTCTTTGTCAAAAAATTAAAAAACATTGTAAAAACAAATTACATAACAATAACAATATACATTATATAATAATACACTTACACATAGGACAACGTTCTGGTGATATTAATCGTAGACAAAATACATCTGTTATTGGAATACTTTGTAAATATGATGCTACATGATAATGACGTCGACCATTAAATGATATATTATTAATTTTTTCAATTTGATCACCAGGTTTTATAAAATCACCACAAGCTTTAGATACTTTATCCATAAAACTACCAGGTTTAATACGTTTTATAATAACTATACCACAACCATTATCTGTTAATGTTAAACCAAATAAATCATTTGTTTTACGTATTTTAATCTCTTTTGGTTGTCCTTTTATATGTGCAAATAAAAAATCATTTAAACCAATTTCATAAGTTAATAATTTATCCATATCTAATTTATGGGTATTTCGAGTACAAAACATTATCTAAATAGTAAAAAAAAAAATAGGAAAACAAAAGAGAGAGAGAGATAGAGAGAGGGGGGGATAAAATGAATTAATAGGTTACACAATGATGTTGGTAACTAAAATTTAATCATTCACTCTCAGTCCAGGCTTAAAATCATACTGTTTGTTTGTACGAGTTGATGGTGGGTTATGCGCTAGATTGGTTGATCCTCGATTCAAATCTCGTGCGACGAGATTGTGGACGCGCACTGCTGAGGAGTACCACAACAGGACGAAATGGACGTCTTATGCTTCCAGGTTTTCACAGTGGTCTAGCTTTAATTCACTCACGCTTTCAACTATAAAAATACTGAAATCTCCACAAAACCCCTTCTGATAAGTAATATAATCATATGCTCACTAGTGACTGACTTCGAGAAGTACATCCAGGAGTTCTAGTGAAAAGCAGTGACCAGTGGAGTTCAAACCACGTCTGTTGTGAGATAGGAACTCACTGAAGACAATTTGTGAACGGTTGCTCAACTTCGTGGATCAGTTGAAGTTAGACATTAACACCGTTGGATGCCAGCTCAGTGTCTGTCGGTTAAGTGCTCTGGCGAGAGACTGGTAGGTCCTGGGTTCGGATCTCGCTAGGCAAGATCGTGGATGCGCACTTCTGAGGAGTCCCATAATAGGACGAAACGGCCGTGCAGTTGTTCCAGGTTTTCCCTGGTACTCTACCTTTAATCTACAAACGCTTTCAACTATGAAAATACTAAATCTCCACAAAACCATTTTTTGATAATTAATTAAAATTTACTCATTTACTCTGAGTCCAGGCTTAAAATCATACTGTTTGTTTGTAAGGGTTGATAGTACAACTCAATCACTCAAAGCAAACAAGGTGAAATGAACTTTCAAACCTTTGACTTATTAGTTGGAAGTATATTTCTCACTTCTTTTTTCATGATGTAGAAGTAGGTTGGAAGAAAGCTAGATGCGGCCAAATCGAAACGTGTCACAAATCCATGAAGTCATTGACAATGAGACTGAGCTATGTTGGTAGATGTAGACTACCTGGTTGGGATTCGCGAGATGATAGCAATCGATGGTTAGAAATCTTTAGTGACATGGCTCAAAATAGTATGCAGTGGCGAAGTTGCATACACTCTCTGTGTTCTGCCAAATTCTAATCTTCTGAATTCTTCATATCTCTATCCTTTTTCTCTCTCCAAATTTATTTTATTGGATTATACTCCTTCAAAAACCCTGATCTTTCACATTACTGCTTATACTCTTACTACTTCTATCACTATAAGACTTGAATGGAAAACTGCGTCTCTGTACTAATGTGGTATGACAACTCGAACTGATGTACGTACGTACGTACGTAGAAAGTTCTACGTTGTGACTGACTGAATGACGGGATATTTCTCACTGAGTTACATCATTTGTATTGGTGGTAAAAAGATAAAAGGATAAAACGTTACAATTAAATGAGTAATTCATTAGAGGACAAATGAACTGATTTGTTTAGTGAGAAAGCCACTAGTTACCAAAAAAATATAACTAATCACCGATTGAAGATAAGTTGGAATAGTCCGATATTAATTTTCACAACACTCAATTGAAGTTATGCCTTGCTTATATTTAGGAATGTATTCGATTATTCTCTGTTAGGATAGGTGCATCATGTAAGAATCACCTTGATAATACCTTTATTTATGCGTTTTAGTAAATTTGGATTAGATCTTGTGTTGAAATCTTTTATGCGGACTAAATGTCTTATAAAGACGGAGAACGTGGGCGGGATAGAAAACCAACACATAGTTTTGTGAAAATTACAGTCAGTCAGTCAGCTACAGGCAACTTTGATAAAATACGAAAACTATAAATTGAATGCATTGTTTACATAACTCCCTTCAGTTTTTCTGTACTTGCTTCATCAGTCTTTCAATCCTGTTGCAATTGTTCGCTGTTTCGTTTCCTAACCCTATGAAATCAATCTTCTGCTGTCAGGCATTCTACTTCCAATTGGTGTTACATACTACTTATATCTGTCAGTATCAGTAGCATACACAATAATCTTACAAGTGAGTCCCAAATAGGAAGAAATATGATTTCAGTATTTTATTATATTGCTAACATACAAATTTATTTAAACTTCATCAAAGTGTTTCTCAGAATACGCTAATTTAGAAATAATGTAAAATTATTTTGAATTGATACTGTTCGCTCAATATGAAAAACGGATTTGTTAGACTATAATATACATAATACTTAAGAATAAGACTATTGAGCATGTCATGGCTTACGTTACTGATAGTTTCATGAATGAATTAATTGATTATTGTTAACACACAGGTTTCTCTTATTCATGCCTAGATTTTACTTTCAGTCAAAAATATGCCATGTTAACATAAGGAGATTTGGGGGAAACTGTGGAATCTTAATAGTTCAAAAAAGAAACCAATCTTAGTTAGACCACCATTGAAAACGTAGAAGTAATGGTCTATCATTTCATTCTAGTAAGAGACTCATTAGTACAGCGTATCAACATATTGTCAATCATTCTCAGTTCTTGTCGACAGGATCGAACTCGGGAAATAACTTTCAAGATAGGGTCTTGGTTGTTACTTTACAAATCTCACTCTTAATCTTTATCAAACAAACTGTAGATATTGAAGTTAGTATCTTGCCTAATTATCTGGTAATTTTTTTCGTATATACTTCATCGAATTATAAATAGAAATTTAACTGCATCCTACTACTTGATTTTTAAAATAAATTCTTTTACAGTTGAATTCATGAGTTAATTGAAGCTAGACCACCATGGAAAACCTTGAAGCACTGGATGGCGATCTCGTCCTATTGTAGGACTCCTCAGTAGTGCGCATCCACGGTCCCACTTCGGGAGATTCGAACCCAGATCTGTTTTGAGATAATAACTCACTGAAAACAATGATGGACAGTTTCTCAATTTCGTGGTATGGTTGAAGTTAGACATTAACACAGGTGGATTCCGGCCAGCTCAGTGGTCTAGAGGTTAAGCACTCGCGCACGAGATTGAGAGATCCTGAGTTCGAAACTCGTGGGGCGGGATTGTGGATGTACACTGATGAGGAGTCCGACAATAGAACGAAATGGCCGTCCAGTGCTTCCACGTTTTTCCATAGTGGTCTAACTTCAATTGTTTCATGATTTCAACTATCAAAATAAGAATGATGATGTCATTCAATTGTAAGATTCATCATTTGATTATCATTGAATCATAGTCTACTAGAATAGTATGATGATCACTAGTTCATTGAGTAGTTCTTTTTTAACTTTTACTATTCACTTTCATCAATTCACTACTAATTTACATAATTTATTCATAAATAAATTAAAAAATTTTAACTTTTAATTTTTTTATTTCGATTTACTACTTATTTCTAATATACATACCATGGAAATTATAAATAATAGCTCGTATTGAATATTAAGCAGAATGAATGTGTGTTTCTTGTATAGAGATCTGTAATGATTGGTAAAGTTTTGTAATTAACCATCACAGATTGAATTAAGTTCGATAAGTGTGATGAAAACAAGAAATCATTGGATAGCTGGTCTATCAATGTTATTGATTATTTTGTTGGAGGCATTCATCGCCTTACTAGTGGTAGGTACCAAGATCCTCAGGTCTCGTGGAATGTTCTTAACTCTAAAACTATTGTGTTGATATCCATCAGTTGTGATATCTTGTCAGATACTAACCGTCTACTTCATTCATATCTTTCTCCTTGTATATCTTCTGGTAGAAAGCACGCAGGCAAACTTATAAAGGTTCTATAATACCTTACCTAGCAAATATACTTTGTGACAAACAGGTTGTTACAGTTAACTTAGTCAACAACCTACATTCTTAAGCATATCTTAAACTTGATAGGTTGTATAGATTTAGATATTTTTCCACCTCTGTTTCATTTCCTTTTTTTCGTTTTTGTAAGTAAGAAAAAATCTTATTGAAATACCTTGTGCTAAGAATTCTATATTTACCAACATATAATATTAAATAAAACCACTATTATTAATAGTTTATATTGTGAACTTTAGTCAATTTGTCATATTTTGCGATCATTATCAACAAATTTTAGGCACTGATTACCTATTTCATGGCCTAGTGGATAACGCGACGGCGTTTGAAGCGAAGGTACTGGGTTCGAGTCTCAAAGTGAACATCAACAAGTCTGAGATGCAGGTACATCCAGCTGACGAGTCCCAAATAGGATGAAGTGACGCGCGTCCTGGATTCCACTTCTAGCCACTATCCATCTTTGCTTACCATTGGTGTATATGTTAGTCAAATATTTAAAATCTCTGAATATACATTACTTTTAACTATTGTAAGTCAGATATATATAATGTGAAAGAAAGCGAACAACAAAGATAAAGTGTGGTAGGCAAAGATGGATAGTGGCTAGCAGTGGAATCCATGACGCGCGTTTCGTCCTATTTGTGACTCGTCGGCTGGATGTACTTGCATCACAGAGTTGATGTTCATCAATGGGAAGATTCAAACAAACAATACTAATTGAATTTAAAGAGAAAGTGTGTTAAAAGTAGTCGATCATTAACTTATCTAATCACCAATTACACATAATAATCTAACTTCAGCAAAGAACTCAAATGAATATTATGGATGTCAGACTAAATTCTTTGAAACAAATATGAAACTGAAATAATCATTGGTTACTAGAGCATTACACTGATTATTATTTTGACAGTCATGCGAAAACTTATTGGAAGATCAAGTTCGCTAACGGGAACGTAAACTGTAGAACGAAATGTTACTAATAACAATAATATATGTGTTATATCCCAGTGATTTGAATAATTGAATTTTCTGACGTTTTCTAATTCAGTGTAAGCTAACTCTTCCATTCTCTGTAGAAAAACTTTCAATTGAAATAATTTTGGATTCTCATATAATGAAGTTTGCGAATGGACTGCAGCTATATGGGAAATTTATTCTTCTTGTGTGTACTGAAGAAAAATATTTACTTATAAAGTTCAAACTATGTTCAACCATATTATTATTAAACAGAAAACTACTGAATTGGAATCTTAAAATTATTATTGTATCCTACTAACGACAAAGTTATATACAAACATATTGTCAGTGTACCTTTGTTCAAATGCAATAAATTGAAGAGAATAAAAAAAAGGTTCGAAGTAGGTAATAGTAATTTCCCATGCCTGCAATATGATTACTTAGATAGACTACTTCCATTCATGTTAAATTTCTTGGCCTAATCACCGACTGAATGAACGAATTTACACTGATTCAATAAAAAAGAGAAGCCAACATGAGTTTCAAGAAGATATCATGTGAAACTATAAAGAGTGCTTTGACAGAAAACAACACATCTTAATCGAATATTATAAATATGCTAATCATTTTTATGTAATTTAACTAAATATTAAACCGGTTTCAGGGTTAAAAGAACTTGCTACATAGTTACAAACACATATTTGAGATGATATTATGAAAATCCTATTTGAAAAATGCATTTTATTAAGAAGCAAGTCAAATACATGCCGCCTCATTCAGTTTGTTCGAAAGACTTGAAATCGTCATAGAAACGGTATGTTTACAAACTAAGTTATAAGGCAGGTGATATAAAGTGAAACCTTTAACTAAAAATCTCTCGATGAAAAGCACAAACGGCAATTAAGCACACTTTGTGTTGTGAGAGGATGGTGTTGTTGATGATATTTATCTGTGGAAAACACTGTAGTGCTGCCACGTCTATGGGCATACGATGACGTTTCTTCACACCAGACATTAAATTTACAATTTACTTTCTCACTATCGTTCAGTTGAATTTACTGGTGGGGGATTATTCTAAGCTACAAGTGTTTCAGTAAACATACCCTTTTGCATGGTCACGATATAAAAGCTCCATCATCATAGCGGGGCAGAAGGTATTGTTGGGTTTTAACATGAATCCAAAAGTTTAGCACATAGCAGTTTATAAAATTGCAATCAGAAGGAGAGAACAGTGAACACACGAATTCGCGGACGGTTTTGTCCCAGATCTTCTGAAGTCTCTAACCGTTCGTCGTGACAATCTTTTGCATTGTAATCAGGCAATCTTAACCCAACAAAATAGCTGAGTTCAACAGGTATGAACTCTACTGACTGACAGTGATGGTTGGGTAAGTAGATTCACTACCTAGTACCAAATGTTTGATATCAACATTGCCTGTTAGGCGGTCCTAACATAAAGAAATGCCATGAAAGTGTCCATAATCATTCAAAGGTAATCCACAAACAGACTTTATCTTTAAGGGCTAAGACTAACAAGCGTAAAGAAGGGCAAATCATACTGGTGTTCAGGGAGCTCGTCACTTGGTTGACAGAGGGATATCCATCTTACATCGCAAGTAACTTAAGCTTACAAAACCAAATTGGCTATTTTAATCCATGCTGAGATTTGATTAGATAGAAATGATACAAGATGTTTAGAAATTTTTCTTCAAAGCTTTTTCGGATACAACAACTACATTCATTTACATCAGGGATATAAGACTATTACATCCAAGCAACAATTTTAGAACGGTAACGATTAAAATAGCTAACACGTAGAACTATGTTAGGTTTTCGTGGAGAAAAAATTATCTCGTTTAACCAATAATCAGAAATTTCACATACTTACCCTAATAGCTAAGAGTAGAGTTTTAATAAGTACAGACAAACTTTTAGTGATTAACGTTAAAAAGCAATTGACTCCTTGTAAGTCAAGAGACGTATTGCAAAAATGTATCATTCAGCACATGAAACAAAGCCGCAATATTTCAGTGACAGTGGGTAAAAGTGACATAAAAGTAGTCATATATAGAGGTGGTGAGACAATAATTACGAAAATCAGTATTTTTGCGTAAATTTATTATCTAACATTTAGCCTTCCTCATTATTCCAGTCGTCATCTATTTGAATACAGACATTATCAAGCCTAATACTTTACAACTATTGATATTCACAACGAGTCGAGAATGAAATTTGAAAAAAATACTATTTATTGACTAAAACACAAATGTTTATCTCTAATGTGAGTTTACCCGCCTTAAAATATGTTTGCATGTAAGTTCCAATAAAGTATTAAAGTCTGATGCATTCAAACTTATGCGATCAGTACACATACGTGTAAATATAAGACATAGTCGCTAACTTGATATTTAAAAGGTATTTTATTTGACGGATTACCGAAAAATAAGCTTGAATAAACGGAAAAAGATATACTAAGTTATCTGTATGACGAAAGTACATATGTTGTGAAGAGAAGTATCTTATAATCGTATCACAGTGACATATAGCACTCAATAAAAATAACAACATGAACGTTAGGTAATTCCACTCTACCTGAGATGGATTTATATCAAAACACTCCGATATTTTGGTGTGGAGCTGACGGACTGTAGTAAAGCCATGTATAATTCCAGTGGGGCTTCCATGGGCAAGTTGACAGAAAAAATGATAATCTGGACGTGGTTCATCTTCTGGTACTTTTTGGTTAAAAGTCGTGGAACAATTAGGATCATTTCTTTCAGAATATCTGACTCCACTCGACATCATGTTCTAAGAAACAAAATACCGCGTAAACAAAAGTAAGTCGAAAATGTCCAATAGCCGAAAATATACAATGGACTTATGAGGAACTCATAAACGTTGAATAATTCATTTGTTACAAAGTCATGACAGTTCTGGAGAAACTCTTGGCTATTAAAAAAAAACTGATTATTTAAGTTTCTGTTTTCAGTAAAACTATTTTTGGTAACTCCCATTTGCATCTCATCCCAAACTTTTAATCTACTTTCCAGTTTCAAATACTTTTGTGTATATGTTGGACTGTAAAAAACTTTCTCACTTTTAGGAAGTTCAAGGACAAGAGAAGTTGACATAATTTTGCACACATATATGAGAGTTTTCTGAGTGTATGACAGCCAAAAGCTCTGTCAAAGACTTGAAGAGTCCGTTCCCGCACAACCGCCTAAATTCGCCTAGGCTTATCACTTGCCGATAATCTTTCTAACAAAGATGACATGCTCAGTGCGTTACGGTGGATACTTCTTGTCAGCCTTTTGAGTTTCTAGTCGAGCAACCGAAATGACGCAATAATTATGAATCTCATGGATATGCACTGCTGACGAGTTCTATAGTAAAACGAAACGGCCATCCAGTGCTTCCAGGTTTTTCACGGTCGTCTAGCTTCAATTGGCTCATGATGTCATTTATTAAAATGGCTATAACATCCACAAATACCCCTTCTGATATTAATTTCTCTAAAGTTGTGAATATCCCGATTACTCTAACTGGCAACGAACGCCTCTTATTAACAGTAAATCTGAAATCATTTATTTGTATGCCATTATCCGAAGACAAAATAGGATAAAAAATTCAGCCGTTTCCTTTTGAAATTTCTTAAGGCGAGATTTGTAGCAAGTTTTGCGTGTTGAACATGTATACGGATGATATTGCATTGGTTTAATCCATCATCGAAAACTGCTCCTGAGTTAACACCTTCTCGAAGAAACCAGCCATAGATTTTGCCTTGTTCAAAGCTTTCATATCATTTGAGATAGACCCGAATTCAACTTTATATTTAGTGTTTACAGACAGTCACTTCGGCTGCCAGATTGGAAACTGCGCCAACTGATTTTGCTGATACCGTTCAGATTCCCGAACTGCATTTATGTATTAGTTTTGAAGTGGATTGTAATGTTCTATCTCATTTGTTATCAGATTTATTGCCAACGTTTCAGCATTTTTCCACTTGTGGTATTGTCATTTTCCAGGGCATATATTGTTGAGTAACCTAGTTGTATTAAAGAATTATGAACTACGTCGTTGTTATTAAGGCTCTAATAATATATCTAATCCCAAGATTGTGCATTTGTCATGATCTAACTGCCTAATCTATAAGATCTTACGTGGAACTCACATCATTGTCTACACTGACGCATCGTATAGTAACAGTTACTAATGATGGAGAACACGTTTATACTGTAGATAAAACAATGTATTTAACATGAATAAAGGGGATAATACAACAAACAAGTATAGCTACACCTACAAGGCTCAGCCATTCCATCTGACGGATTGCATTATTTGAATTCCCTTTTCCCGCCTTCTACATCGTTGAGCTTTTCTTCTCGTTAAATGTTGAATAACTGTTTTTCTAGTTGTCTTGTGTTCAGCTTTGAGGACTGTGTGATTGGGGTGCAATGACACTACAACATAAAGCCCAGGTTGAGTCAGTGTCCTTCCTAGGGATGTATCGATGTAATTGTTCAAGTTTCAGCTGATTCTGCAGAGTTGATCGCCATATTGTTTGTCTAGAGAATCGGGCTAGACAGATCATATCAGTCATGAACTTCACATCATGGTCACTCTATTTTATGGCTGAAAGGAATTTTATTTGACTAACATCATCACTATGCGTGAACACTGAGTCCCAGATGAGTTGTTTCACTGTTCATTCCTGAAGGAGTCTCTTATGTGCCTAAGTAAGATTAGGACAATTTTGGTTTTTAACAGTACGTAATTAAATGATTCTCAGTTTATACAGGATACACTTCAATATTAATTAAATAATATGTAATACAAAAGTTGACTCACTGGTACCATGATGTACATAGTATCTGTTGGTTGAAGCTCATTCTAAATATAGTATATGAATTAGTACGGTCTCCTATTATAACCACGTTACCACGAAATATTTGTATGGTTAAATGTTATTTGCATTCTTCATTCCTGAGCCTTCTGTGTTGCTTAAAATGACTGCAAAAAGTCTGTGATTTCTCCAACTATGCTAGTATACACACAGTAACGGATGAAATTTAAGGTAAATAGCTACTAGTCACATACGTTTGTCTTCCTATTTCCTTTGAACCATTCATTAAGTGGTCTTCTATATATTTAAAAACACCTAAATTTTCGCACACCATAAACCTGTAAAATAGCTTGTGGAGATAGAACCTTAAAACCTATTTTGTAAATAATTTTTCATAGTTTTCGCATGTATTTTCATATTCTGTACATTAAGCATTAAACAATTGTACTTGTTGTTTAAGTGTATTACTTTGAACGCTTGTAACTGGACTTCCTTCCGTTTTGAGTACAACATATCGTGACACTGTTACTGCTCCTCATTAAATACACTCTAATTCACATCTGCATCGTTCTGCTATGTCTGCTAATATGTTAAATGAAATATTAATTGCATACCATCTACGTTTATAGACAATTGTGACATTCTTATTGAATTCTACGCTTGGTAAGCCTACTGGATCTATATCGTCCATATTGGGATTACTAATTTTTTATAATTGTGGATTATTTGGACCAAACCCAGTCGAATACGCAATAGCCTGAAGACTTAAGTCACGTCTCTTATTTTGTTATTTGCATGTGTAATTAACTTAGTAACTGTTAATTGGTATATAAACTTTAGACATAACATTTTTGTTGCTAATTTTGGTTATCATACATTTCGGTCCACCACAATTATTTGGTGAGCCCTAGTACTTTATTATCTCGCATTTATCCCATTGTTATATTGTTTATTCGCTCATTGTACGACACTTTTGCTCATCTTCAACCTAATGTACTCTCCTCCTAAGCTTAGTGATTTGGATCCTGTTCCAATAACCACTCGTAGTTCATCACCTAACTTTACTGACAGTATTTTTAGTCCAAACTATATAAATACGATGCAGCCGTATGGAGCAGCTGATGTCAGCTACTTAAACTCTATTCAAAGACAATTATCTCAATTGACGAATCAACTTGAGTCCCTTCAAGCCACTGTAGCAACGGTTCAGTCCAAACAAGTAAGACCCCCTTTTAGACAGAGGTCACGCTCTAGACCACGATCTCGTTCACCTAAACGAACATCCGAAATTTGTTGGTATCATACTAAATTCGGCACAAAAGCACGGCGTTGTACACGCCCGTGTGCATTCCCCTTACCCAGCACTGATAACCAGGGAAACGGTCCGGCCAGGCAGTAACGGTGGCGCCTGACTCTGGCCACAGCTCAAGCCGTCTATTTCATGTCAGGGATCGTATTTCGGGCTCAGATTTTCTAATCGATACTGGAGCCGAAATTAGCATACTCCCAATTCATCTTTCCCGACGACGGCACTCTCAACACGCTAAATTATCATTAGTGGCAGCAAACAATTCTATTATTAAAACGTATGGCGAGCAATCACTCATCTTGGACATCGGTCTCCGTAGACGTTTTACATGGGCTTTCATCGTCGCAGAAGTTAAACAACCCTTCCTTGGAGCCGATTTTCTTAGTAACTACAATCTCCTTGTCGACATGAGAAAAAAGAAACTTATCGACGTGAATACAAGTCTACAGGTCAACGGAACAATCACCTGCAATTATGAAACTTATGGTGTCCGATTGCTTAGACCTGATAGTAAAACTTTTACCGATCTTCTATCGAAGTATGAATGTATAACGAAAACCTATTATCAAACTGAAAACTTCACACACCATGTTCAACATACTATCACCACCACCGGTCCACCTATCTGCGCCAAGGCGAGGAGACTACCACCCAATATGTTGCAGTCCACTAAAAAAGAATTTGAACATATGATGCAACTAGGGATAATCCGACAGTCTAATAGCCCTTGGGCCTCGCCACTGCACATGGTTCCCAAAAAAGATCAAGATTGGCGCCCTTGTGGAGATTATAGACGTTTGAATAATCAGACAGTTCCAGACAGATACTCCATTCCTCATCTACATGATTTTTCACTAAACCTGCACGGTAAATTGATTTTTTCAAAACTAGACTTAGTCAGAGCTTATCATCAGATCCCAGTGGCGCCTGAGGATATTGAAAAAACAGCCGTAATCACACCTTTTGGGTTGTTTGAATTCTTGAGGATGCCATTTGGGCTTAAGAATGCTGCGCAAACATTCCAACGATTTATGGATGAAGTCACGCGAGGTTTAGATTTCGTATTTGTCTACATCGATGACGCCCTAATTGCCAGCTCCTCACTTGAAGAGCATGTCCATCATCTGCAGATTCTCTTTGAACGATTCAAGAAATATGGCGTAGTTATCAACCCTACTAAATGCATATTCGGTACGTCTGCCTTAGAATTCTTAGGACACTATATTAATGCACAAGGTATTAAACCTCTACCTAAGAGAGTTGAAGCCGTTATTAACTATCCTGAACCCACTTCGGTTAAGTCATTACGTCGCTTCCTGGGTGCATTCAATTTTTACCGTCGATTTTTACCTAACTGTGCCGACGTTCTACAACCGTTAACTGACTTACTAAAAAACGATAAATCAGGTAGCAAAAAGGAAAAGAACCAACTATTCAAGTTACCTTCCGATGCCAAAATGGCATTTGAAAAAGCCAAATCTTTGATTGCTGACGCCACCATGCTACAACATCTAAATACTGACCCCAAAACTCATCTGATCCTCTGTACGGACGCAGCACAAAAAGCCGTAGGAGCAGTATTACAACAACGAGTAAACAATACGATTACACCCATTGCTTTCTTCTCTAAAAGGTTATCACCTGTAGAAGAGCGTTATGGCACATTCGGTCGTGAACTCTGAGCCATGTATTTAGCCGTTAAACACTTCAACTTTTTGCTACAGGGCCGGGATTTTACCATCATGACGGATCACAAACCCCTGTGCTACTCCTTTAGTATGTCGTATGACAGACATTCACCACGCGAAGCAAGACAGCTTGATTACATCTCACAATTCACCACAGACATTCAGTTTATCAAAGGTCACTCCAACATTGTAGCAGATGCGTTGTCGAGAAAAGACATCAATGTAGTCGCATCCAACCATGACGTCAACCTAGAAATAATCGCAAAACTTCAAGCAGACGATGCAGAGCTAAAAACCTGCAAAGAAAAGTCTCGCCTGAATCTAAAACCTGTACCCATCCCATTCTCCGACGCATCCATCATCTGTGACACATCAACAGGTAACAATCGTCCCTTTGTTCCACTTGCATGTCGCCAAAAGTTATTCCAACACTTGCATGGTTTATCACATCCGGGCATCCGAGCTACTACAAAGCTGATAACTGAACGTTATGTTTGGCCGAAAATCAATTCAGATATAAAACGATGGACACGTGGTTGCCTTCAGTGTCAACGTAGTAGATCCAAAAGCATACTATTAGTCCAATCGGAGAATTTCCTATTCCTGATAGACGTTTTCAGCATATCCATTTAGATTAAGTAGGACCTCTACCTTCGTCAAATTCTTTTACTCACATCCTCACGGCAATAGACAGATTCACTCGATGGGCCATTGCATGCCCCATCAAAGACACATCAGCTGAGACTGTAGCATCCGTTTTTCTAGACCGATGGATATCGCACTACGGTGTACCGACAACCATCACAACTGATCGTGGACCCCAGTTCCAGTCTATCCTGTTTCAGGAATTTACAAGACTTCTGGGCGTTAATCACATCAGAACCACAGCTTACCACCCAGCAGCGAATGGCATGGATGAAAGATTCCATCGCCAATTGAAAAGCTCACTGATGGCGCAAGCTGACTCATCAAAGTGGAGCGGTGCCTTACCGCTTGTACTCCTCGGTATTCGTTCAACCATAAAGAAAGACATTGGATGTACAGCCGCCGAGTTAGTCTATGGTAAAATTCTAACGTTACCCGGCCAACTAGTCAACTATGAACCTACAACGCAAGAAGATGCTACTCACTTCGCAAGTTGCCTATTACAAATGATGCAGAACATTAGAGCAATACCACCTCGAGAATAAAACAATCCAGTTCATCTCGATAAACATTTAGAAACGTGCAAATTTGTTTTTGTTCGAGTAGACGCGGTGAAAAAGCTACTGACACCACCATATGAAGGTCCGTATAAAGTAATAAAACGCACTTGCAAATATTTCATTATCAACAAAAACGGGAACAATGAAACAGTTTCCATAGACCGAATAAAACCAGCTTTCTACGAACCCCCTCAAGCCACTGATGACAATACGGCGAACAAACAATCACTTCCATCAATTGCTAAGAAACAAGAGGAAGAGGAAAAACTCAGCACTACACCCTCTTGTTTAACACGATCTGGGAGACTTATTAAAAAACCCAAACGTTATGTACATTTTATGGACTAACACAATCAATCAGTTGTATGCATTACTTTGTGAAGTTACGCAATCTTCTAATAAAAGATATTTATTTTCCCTACATGTACATTTAATAACCACATTTATTTGTTATCACTGGTTTTGCCAATTTTTTTTTAATAAGAAAAAATTGTCATAGTAATAAACGAGTGAATGCTAACTGACCATTTATTAAATTCATCCATTTTTTTTATTTTATGACTCTATTAACAGTTTTGCACATTTTATTATTATTATTAGAAAACCGAAACTTTGTAATGTTTGTTCTTCAGTTTCATTTTGCGTAGCATAGCCTATAATATTAACGTGCCATTTATTCCTATCTCCACCATTTTTTTCCGTTATTACAGTAAATACTATTTTATGTACATTTGTATACAATATTTCTCAATTTTTGTTGTTCATATTGTAAACAGTGTTACCTCCGGACACTCTGGGGGGAGCTATGTGGAGATAGAACCTTAAAACCTATTTTGTAAATAATTTTTCATAGTTTTCGCATGTATTTTCATATTCTGTACATTAAGCATTAAACAATTGTACTTGTTGTTTAAGTGTATTACTTTGAACGCTTGTAACTGGACTTCCTTCCGTTTTGAGTACAACATATCGTGGCACTGTTACTGCTCCTCATTAAATACACTCTAATTCACATCTGCATCGTTCTGCTATGTCTGCTAATATGTTAAATGAAATATTAATTGCATACCATCTACGTTTATAGACAATTGTGACATTCTTATTGAATTCTACGCTTGGTAAGCCTACTGGATCTATATCGTCCATATTGGGATTACTAATTTTTTATAATTGTGGATTATTTGGACCAAACCCAGTCGAATACGCAATAGCCTGAAGACTTAAGTCACGTCCCTTATTTTGTTATTTGCATGTGTAATTAACTTAGTAACTGTTAATTGGTATATAAACTTTAGACATAACATTTTTGTTGCTAATTTTGGTTATCATACATTTCGGTCCACCACAAGCTTTTAGTTGTACATTTGTGTCATGTTAATCCCTTTCCATCAACTGAGAGCCTATGTAGGGTAGTTTTAGACTATCGTATACCCTATTTAAAGGTAAAATGGTATGAAATGTGAACACTTTTTGATAATTTTGATAAGAGACCATACTTACCCATGGCTTTTGTGACATTGTATACGTATTGGAATCGGTACTCATTATGTATGTTTGTATGCAACGATTATGTGTTATTGATTTAAGTAATGTCTAAACAAATTTACACCTATTTATGCCGTTTTCTATCCCGTTCTATTAAACCGTGGCAGTTGACCTAAGAGTATAATTTTGGTGTGCATACTTTAGTCTTATGTAACCTTTAAAATTTTGTTGAACTTTTAATCATGATATTGACACCAAGTGTACTGAATAAAATCTACCGATTTAACAAAGTCATTCTGCGTTGGTTGTTTGAAATTTACTCTCAGTAATATTTATCAATTATAATTTGTTTTCCTTCTTACTATTCATTATATATATCTAATAGAGTATATACTATGTTTTCTGTATTTATATAGCCATTATTACTTATTATCGCATTTCATTTCAATCCTTAGTTTTAGCTTTTACGCACCTTGTACCACTTCTTTGTGTCCGTTAGCAGTACAGTCACTTAATGTTGAACTCTACTAACTAATTTATTTCTGTTATTCGTTAGTATTTTTATTTTACACCAACCTTAATTTATGTACTTGAATACAGTACATGTTTTAATTTCATTCGTCTTCACTTTCCTTGACCACGTTTCACAAACCAATCTACCTTGATTAGTGAACTGATACTAATGCCCTTCTCTATAGTAATGAATGCTCAGGCGAATCTCACTAAATTATTTTATTTAGAAATTGATTGTTGGGGTTGGAAATTTTAGATTTTCAATAGTATTATTCACTTATCAATCCTGACTGTTTCTTTTATATAAACGTATATGTGTGTACATTTTTCATCCTATTCATCACATGTCTGTAACTTATTTTTATCTTACTAAAAATATTGATTTTTGAATGCTTAAAACGAGTTAGCTTACCCGCCATCTCCAATGCGTGTTGTTTTCGCTTCGCTCTCTCAAGTTGGCCTATCCGTCATTTTCAATGTGTGTCAATTTCACTTCGCTCTCTTCTATTCGTTTCATCCCTCTGATTTCTTGTCCAAATCAATGAATGTACAAAATATATGTGTTCAAAATTCATTCTCGCACTAGACTTACATCTCACTCCGTTATTCATGAAGGCAGATTAAGTCATGTATTACGTATACGAGGATAGACAGAATTTACGATCTAATATGAGGTAGGATATCGACCCCCCCCTATAAACTATCTTAAATCCAATTGATTCATCTACACACTTTTAAACCCATCCTTTCTTTTTTTTTAGTTTATAAGTAGCAAGTTATGATCATAGAAATTAATTTTATTTCTTAATATTTAATGATTTAAAAAACCATTTAGTTACATTATGATAATAATAATGTTACCCTAATAAACTCTGGTTTATTAATTTCACTGGAGGTAACATATTGTTACGTAATCTGATTACAATATTTATAGAACACATTTGAATAGAGATAACTACAATGATTGACATGTTTGCCATAAATAAAAGTGATAAATGACATTGTTTGTTCATCTTAGATATTTTCATAGATTCGATCTGAAGGATAAGATAAATAGATATGAATAAAAATATAGTATAACAATATTTATATTGAAGAAAATGACAAGTGTCTAGGTCCCAACAGACATGAGCATTAAGAACTGAAGCAGTTTTCAGAAAATCTTAATTGCAACACCAAGTGTAGATCCTTAATGTAAAAGAAGGAATTTATAAACCCTTGACTCGTTGCACCAACAGTCATATGATATTGAATAATTACTTTATAATCGTTATAGTGTTTAAAGGATGTCTTATATGTTCAGTGTTCATCATTTAGATAGTAATTTGACTCCTAAAAATCAAATTGTTATATCCTAGTAAAGAAGTAAGTACAGGTAACTTCCAGGACCTATTATTGTACCTATTATTGTATTCTATATACATATTCTTATTGTATTCAGTAACTATTCAGTAACTAAATTATGTATATCTATGTTCATCTTATTACAACTTTCATTTTGACCTATGGATTGTTATTATTACTATACAAATTGCTGTCCGTAAATTATATTCAGTTTATTGATTATTGTATCCCACATTCACAGCTACATTTGGCTTGATCTTGTACAAATATTATTTTATATTTTATAGTGTGATGCGGTCTGTCTGTTTGTCTGGTATATAAACCGAGTATGCTTGAAATAAATGATTTACATAGATTTGCATAGTAGAAGCTGTAATTGATGTTCTAGACTCAATTGGAAGGGCTAGGCGAACAGATGACCTATAAGGACGCTAGACTGCTCATACTGGTCGAACGTCATTGATTTGGTACAGTGTTAAGATTAGACAAGTGGTATTCCGATTGATGATTAACTGATGTGACAAAACGTCGGACATAAAATCAATAACAGATCGGCATACGGCTTTCCTTATTTTTTAAATTCATAACACAACTATATCCATAGATTCTAACATTAGGTTCTGAATTTTTAAACAAACTCAAACGCGGTAACATTATATTTTATGAGCAAACTAAACAAACAAAGCCTCATTCACATTGCTTCAGGGGACTAATACAGTTTGTATTCCAAGTGAATTTAAACTTCACCTCATTGCACAAGTTTTCGGCTATTAGGACCCAGTAGCTGGATGGATAACGCGATGGCGTTTGAAGAGAAAGGTACTAAGTTCGAGTCTTAGAGTGAACATCAACTTTGATATGCAGCTACATCCAATTAGGACGAAACGAGCGTCCCGAAATCCACTACTAGCTAAAAAAAACATCAACTATAAACCTTCAGTTTCTAATCTGAACACTTAACCTTTTCTGAGAACAATGTTAGGAATCTTGGAAATCTCATTAAAGCATAGATGACATTAATCATCTTTATGTGTATTTATAAGTTTTATGGTGATTTTTTTCCCAATTTCAGGCAGATTAACTTTTAGAAGACTTTCATCAAACCAATAAATGTACAAACACAATCTTTATTGTCAACCACAAAAGTTGCTTCCAAATTGACTAAGAAATGGATGAAAATCATTCAGAATTGTTTAAGGCTCATCTTTTTACTATTGCTCTCCTCAGTATACACAGTACATTAATGATTACTGTGAATGTTTTCAACAACGTGGAACAGAAACAAAGATATAATATCTTATCTAAGCATCACTTCTTCTGTGATTCCGAAATACACTAGCAATAGTCCGAAGACACCTTTGACCGAATACTAGTGGCCTACAAATATCCTCTATTATTATTGTCTGAGCTTCACACTCAGAAAATAAAGCGGAGTGAACTGTTGAGCAGCAAACATATCCTTTGGTGGGCGGGCAGATATCTTGCTCAAGCCTTTGGTGACGGTAGTTAGCATAAGTAAATCTGGCCTTCTGAATCCATGCAGATTTTCCCTTAGATACCGTACCATTAGGACTGATGAAACTCTCAAGATAAGTGTTGTCGATGTATTCAAATATTTGACTCCCTATCTTTAATGAAGGTGCTGACTGGAGTAAATTTTTTAAGCAACGTTTTGCATTTGTAGGGACAGGACCATATCCTAAAAATGCTTGAATTTTTGCTTAGGGTGGTCAGAATACTATGCATTCTGCCACTGTATTCATCAAACAGAATTATGTCGTCTACTTATTCTAAGTCAACAAGTGTGCCTTCTGGTAAACGATCAAGCTCTGTAAAGTCAGACAATCAAAGTGTTAACTTTAAAAGCACGTAAATAAAAAAATTAAGTAAAAGTGGGGAAAGCCAGCAAAAATTGAAGTAAACAAATACAATGATAGCTCGCCCTAAGCTCCAACTTGACCATTATTGTTCGAGTAGAGAGCTCATATAAAGTTAATGTACTTCTTCACTACCCCATTCAATGGTAAGCAATGTCATAGAGCCTCACAATCAACAGAGCGGAACCCATCTTGGAAGTCAAGCAGTACAACTATACGTAGGGGGTAAACATGTATGCATCTTTTCCAGGACCTGCCGAAATGTGAATATTTGATCTATACATCCACGTCAAAATCTAAAACCAACCTGCTTTTCTCACGTTCACTCTTCATGCGCTTAATTTAGATGTCCAATAGACATACAAGGATTTACACTCAAAATCCGATGGGTCTCCGTTTATAGCTCAATGTTTATGATATATAATTCCATTTCAAATGAATAATAATCAACAATTAAGTGTGAGCTAAAATTAAATGAACTCTGCCTGGAGTTTTTCTAAGGTTACTGTCAGTTTCAAACCCCGTATAAAGAAGGAAAGTGATGTGATATGGTGATATAGTAACAATATCTTGTACAAAAGAATCTTGGTAACAAAAAAGAACACTAGCCATAACAATATATCATTTAAACTAAACAACAGTAAACAAAACATAATTAAACTTACCTTGTTCTTTCAGTTGTTTAATAAAATATGCTAAGCATTCATAGATAAATATGTATTGATCCTTTTACAAAAAAAGAAAAAATAGAGGAGAAAAGTGATTATGATTAACTAGAGTTTGGAGTGGAAATCCAATGGGGTTTTCCAGTGCAGGTTCGTACCCTGCTCGCGACCGATTGCCCCCAGATGCCCTGGTACGGCCGAGAGTAAGGACAGTCCACTCTCTATCTCCAAATGCTATCACATCGCCAAGCGTATATAGTCTCTGACAGAGAAGTCCTACTCACTACCTTGTTTACGAAATTGAGAGAACGAAAAGCGAATGTACGGCGCTATGACAAGGTTGTTGGACACTCTCCATGTTCACCTAGGGGAGTTGGAAAACCCTCATTTCAAACCAATGGTGCACATGGGCTCCAGTATCTTGAGGGAACAAATGGCGTATGAATTAATCGTTGGTCACCGGCTACCGTGTGACTGCAACTCCTCACGACGCTCCACTGCCTTGTGGATCAGATCTTGAGGTCAAAGGCTCCGAGTATGGCCCCCCTAAGCAAACCACCTGATTCAGTTTGGGCACCTAGGCAGTATCACAGCCCTCACACAAATCAAATGAGATTTGTGTGGCGCATATATATCTGGTGCTTCCTTGTACCAATATTTGTGTGTTTAAATAAATGTGTTATGAACTTACCATTGTTTGTACCATATGACTACGTTTAGATCGTAACCATAGAACCATATTGAATATATCGAAAGATTGTGTTTTATTATAATTTCGTCGATGAAATAAGAAACGTTTTGTACGTTTTTCATTATCACTGGATATATTTAAAGTGTTTTTATGAAGAAGATTTTCATGAATCGTTGAATATTGATCCTCTGTGGAATGATCTTGATTTGAATAAAAAATTTAAAAGAGAAAAAGAAATACATAGATGAGTAACTAGTATATGATAGGATAGGATATTAGTGACGAAAAAGATGCCCACGGTGTTAATGAATACTTTGAGATAGATTTAAGCAAAGATGGATAGTGGCTAGCAGTAGAATAAAGGACGTGCGTTTCGTCCTACTTGGGACTCGTCAGCTGGATGTACCTGCATCTCAGAGTTGATGTTCACTCTGGGACTCAAATCCAGTACCTCTCACTTCAAACACCATCACGTTATCCACTCAGCTACTGTGTCCTGATAGCCACTTGCTTGTGCCGACGAGTCCCAAATAGGACGAAACACGCATCTTGGATTCCACTACTAACCATTATTCATCTTTGCTTATCATACTTGTGAATTAAGGCTATATCGAGGCAATACGCACAGTACGCACATATGCCAATAAGAGACTGACCAGTTGAAGTCCGAACACATCGATGGGAAGATTCAAACAAACAATACTAATTGAATTTGGGATAGATAGTTTAATAGAGGAAATATCATTGTTGATCTAGACCAAATCATCGGTGTCTGCATCATGTTGAAAGTCTTCAATTATTACATACGATATGCTTTAAATGATCTCAATGCCTATAGACAACTAATGACATGAATGTGACTAGGAAGAGACAAAGAAATCCTATATTGAGAGGATTTTAAGTATATCAAAGAATTTCTATAAGCTTAGAATTCAGATGAATCGACAGTCAGTAGGTCAATGGGTATAGATTTAATGTGTTAATTCATAGGAGAAAAATCAGTGAATTTTCCGGTAACATGTCAACCGAATAAAGTGGTCAGTGAAAACTGTTAGGGCAATCCTAAGAATTTCTCGCAATAGACATGACAAGCTCAGGAAACATTAAAGAGCATTTTATCCAATCACCGTTTGATTAGAAGGTTTGCTAGAAATAACAAGAAAATGAAAAATCACATGTAGAGGTTTTGATTGGTTGATTATCATACTGTTACTATGTTTAGTAGTATTCCAGAATTTTCAGGGAAATCCAAGGGCTTCTAAAATACTATAAAAACCCTATATTTTCCGTACATAAATGAACCTTTGAAGTAAAGTGCTTCTCACATATTTTGCGCCTTTTCTCTCGTGTTCAAGTCGCTGTATAGTTCTAGCTTGGAAGGTTACAAGACTAACTTAGGATCCGAGTATAGCGTTCAATCAGCAAGACTTATCATAAAACATATGAAGTGAACAAAGACTTAGTAAGGATAACCGACTTATTGTTCAATGCAAAGATCACACAGCAGTTTAGTGAAATATCAACATCATACTTGAAATCACGAGTCAGTTGGAGCTAGACCACCATGGAGAACCTGAAACAACTGGACGGCGTATCCACTATCCCACCTCACGAGATTCAAACCCAGGACCTATCATTCTCGCGCGCAAGCGCTTACAATTTAGATGTTATTGTTTAACTTCAACCGATCCTCGAAGTTAAGCAACCATCCCCATTGTCTTCAGCGAGTTGATATCTCAGTGCTTCCAGTTTTTTTCATGGTGTTCTAGCTTCAATTGACTCATGATTTCAACTATAAAATTACTGCAATTTCCACAAAAGCCACTTCTGATGAAGATCATACATTTAGAGCATCATTCGCAAATCTTCTTTGAGTGTTTTTTTCACAAACTTCATTGTTCTTTCATTCCCGTTGTTATCTAGATTGCTTTTAGTTTTATTCTTACTTCTGTTCATTTTTAATGTTCTTTTTAATGTCTCACTCACAGGCTTTCTACTTCTTATTGATACTATATACTACTTATATTTGTCAATATGAGTAGAATACACCACACAAAGATGAGGCCAAAAAAATCAATCAGTCACAAACAATACAATCAGAATGAACTGCTTTACCACATGTGATTCAACTGGAAATATCATTTCAAGGTGAAGTCTATGCTGATATTATTGTTTAAAATAACAATAGAAGATTCGCGATTAAACTAATTCAATACATTTAACAATATCAGAATATCAGAAGGGGGTTTCGTGAAGATTTTAGTGATTTTATATAGTTGAGATCGTGAGTCAATTGAATCTAGACCACCATGGAAAAACTGGAAGCACTGAACGGCCATTTCGTCCTATCGTGGGACTCCTCAACAGTGCTCATCCACAATCGCGCCTCTTGAGATTCGAACCCAGGACCTACCAGTCTCGCACCAGAGCACTTAACCGGTAGACCATTGAGATAGCCGGCGTCCAACGGTGTTCTGGTGAGAAGCAGTAACCAGTGAAGTTCAACCAGGTCTGTTGGGAGATATCAACTCACTGACTACATTGGTGAATGGTTGCTCAATTTCGTAGATTGGTTGAAGTTAGACATTAACACCATTGGATACCAGCCGGCTCAGTGATCTGTCGGTTAGGTGCTCTGGTTTCAAACTGATAGATCCTGGGTTCAAATCTTGTGAGGCATGATCGTGGATGCGCACTGCAGAGGAGTCCAACAATAGGACGAAAGCGCCGTCCAGTGCTTTCAGGTTTTCCATGGTGGTCTAACTTCAATTGACTCATAATCCCAACTATATAATATCAGAATGATATCATTCCACAGAATTAAAAAAGAACAAACTGATATTCATATAAGTTAAATACCTCAGAATTCATAAGCAAAGCTTAGGCCTATAGAATGAAATATGCTGGGAATAAGCTATTTTACATAGTGAAAATAGTGAGATATTGACTAAATAGGTACTATTTGTTAGGAAGTTTTTATTTTTCTTCATATTTCTGTATTCATAGTACGTGTTTGATCAGTTTCTTTTAAAAATAGCATCATATAGGAACCAGTTGCTCAGATGAGTTGCCCTTGAACAAATGTGGCTAAGAGCGGGATCTAGTAGATATGGGTTTCGTTTTTCACGACCCTCGTTCAGTTGAATTTGTTTGCATCTTTGTATTCATATTCACAATAAGGTTGAAAACATCAACATGTCGCCCCAAATATCAATGTAGATTATTCAATAAATGATGGTTAAGTTATATGTCGTTAAATTGTTTGTCCTGGGTGGTGTTTGTTTAGCAATGTGGATTTCTACAGGATGGGGTTGCTGGCCCCATGACCCAGCCTCCACATTTATCCGGAGTAACCCTAGAAGAGCTATAGGCGGAAATAAGGAATATACACTGGAGTTGGATAAGATACACATTCAGGAAATAATCAAACCTCATCACAATGCAAGTCCTGACTTGCAGTCCTAAAGGGAGAAGGAGAATAACAAGATCAAGGGACACATTACATCGGAAATCGGAAGTAGATATCAATACAATCAATAGAAACTGAAAACAATTGGAAAGGATGGCTCATCACAGAGATCGATGGAGAATCCTGGTGGTCAGCCTATGCTCCTTCACGAGGGTTAACTGGCGTACGTAAGTTATACGACAGATGGACAATTCATTTCGGCATAAACTATTAAATTATTGGATTGTTGGGTAGACGGTTACTTACTTTGTTTATTATTTGATATATTTACACTCTTATCATTGATTCTCATTGCTATTGATAATGATGATGATGTCAATGATGGTTCTTCATTGAAATCCCCCACTTCTCCTTCATCAACTCCACTATCTTCTTTATTTAAATTCACATAAATTGGTTCATTAATTTGATTAATTTTTTGTAGAAAAATTTGTAAATTTGGTTGTAAATAATAACGAGCTTGTTGACATAATTGATCTAAACAAATAAATGTACCAGTTCTTCCAACACCAGCACTAAATCAAAAAGAGAAAAAATTGATTTATATGAGAAAAAACTTTGGTGTGGTCTACTTAAATCCATATAAGTAGTATATGTAGATGGTCAGATATAGAATGCATTATGGCAGAAGACCGATGGAATCCAGAACGCGCGTTTCGTCCTACTTAGGACTCGTCAGCGTGATGTACCTGCACCTTAGAGTTGATGTTCACTCTGGGACTTGAACCCAGTACCTTTCGCTTCAAACGCCAACGCATTATTCACTCGGCCACTGAGTCCTGATGTATGGTTATCAGATTTTAGTGAGATATTCTGTAATTTCGTGCTTAAATACCTTCGATTGTCTCCACCGTGTTCTCATTCGCAACAAAACCAAAAAATAAATCTATCAGTTTAACAGTTGATCGATCAATGAATGGTGTCAAACCTTCCTTACTGTTGATATAATTCTACCGATCAAGTGGGAATGAGTCTAAGTGACTTGATATTGTGTGGTCTGACTGTGAAGTTGTGTGATACGGAATCGAATCCATTAGGGAGTATCAAGTCCTTTCAAGATTATAAGAATACTACATTGAAATGTATCAAATAATACGAAACTTAGATCCAGCGTTTGATGTTTGCAAAACCCAACCACCACCTTGAAAGGTTATTATTACTGAAAACTATTGTGAAAATCATTGAATTTGGGGTTTCATATCATTGACTGACTTTTGTTGGGCAACTATTGAAAATTAATAAGTTCTGGACAGTTGTTTCATTGTGGATACCTAGTGAGATGTTGTGACCAATGAGTCCTAAACATGTCGGACTTGAAACAAAAGTCATCAATGACAATAGATGACATTAGCTTAATGATATGAAGGTTAAGAGCTCGTTCAAACGTCAGAACGATTTGCATACGATAGATTATAAGGTCCTGGATTGACGCTGCTAAGGAGTCTCATGCTAAGATGAAACTGTAGTGACCTGCTTTTCTCGACGAGAATACGATTGTTATAATGTAAACAATTATTATCATAACCAGTTGTACCAGTGACTGTCTTGCTGTACTCGTTTTTGTTTAACTGTATTAAAATGACTTCTCCTTCCGTTGTCCATCTTGTTCGTTCGAACGTTCTTACTCTCTGCTCTTCTTGACTGTAATCTTTGGCGCAGCTCGGTATTCATTCGATACCACGAGATTTCCAATAAATATACTTTATGTGGACCAGTTATAGCCTTCTGGTTTAAGAGCTATCAAAGGGACCAAGTCATTTTCGGGCGCGTAATCTTACTGTGGTGATGATCATAGTCAATCGAGACTCGACGCCATCTACAAAACACTTACGAGGTACCTGATGGTTTGTAACGGTGCTATTACGAAAGGCAGTAGATAATGTAAAATGCATTTAGATTATTTTACAATTTGATGTGATGGTTGGCCTGAACAAACTACTATCATATATATAAATCCACTGATTGGTTAAGGAAATGGGAATCAACCTTGAGTGCCTAACCTTTACACTATTGAGTTTGTATCCAACACTGCATTTTTAGCATGAAAAGATTCATGATAATATGCAACCGTCTTCCAATTTCATTTTAATGTAATATCTTCACACACTTGACCTAACTGTAATAGGTCTCTTACAAAAGCAAAAGATAGATCCATTGTTTTTTCACCTTCATTGGTTCTCTAAACAAGCTCAATGTGTTGTAACAGTCAAAAAACTTAATAATTGCCTGTCATCATTTGTCAAAAGTAATGTAGCAGCAGCCACTGCATCGACGGGCCTCAACATACATAAAGGAAAAAGCAAGATTCTCAAATACAGCACGGAGAACACCGGCCCAATCACACTTGATGGCGAAACTCTGGAAGACGTGGAAACATTCACGTATCTGGAAAGCATCATTGATAAGTAAGGAGGATCGGATGCAGATGAAAAAGGTGAGGATTGGCAAAGCATGGACAGAATTTCATATATGAAAAATACATGGATCTCCAAACAACTGTCAACTAACTTCAAAGTCAGAATCTTCAATACGAACGTCAAGACGGTCTTACTATACGGAGCTGAAACATGTAGAACTACTAAATCCGTCGTCAAGAAGGTACAAGTATTTATAAACAGTTGTCCACGCAAAATACTCAACATTCACTGACCGGATACTATCAGCAACAGCATTTTATGGGAGATGACAAATCAGCATCCAGTTGAAGAGGAAATTAGGAAAACACGTTGGAAGTGGATAGGACATACATTGAAGAAATCACTGCATCACGAGGTAATCGCTAACTTGGAATCCGGAAGGGAAGCGAAAAAGAGGAAGGCCAATGAACAGACTACACCGGGAAATAGAAGCAGATATGAAAAGGATGAAAAACAACTGGAAAGAACCGGAAAGGATTGCCCAGGACAGGGTTGAGTGGAGAATGCTGGAGTGCGACCTATGCTCCTCCACGAGGGGTAACAGGCGTTAGTAAGTAAGTAAGTAGTTTGTCCAAAGTACACAGAAGGACGATGAGGATAATATACCATCTGTTTCAATGGTACTTCTTTAGTTTCTCATTATTTCACGATATGTAAACATTTTCTGAAAGTGTATAAGTGTACGCGGTGGATACACATAGTTTATTAATTAAAGTAAGTTTAAAACAGGACATTATACAACAATATATGGTAATAAGATTATTGGTCTGTAAACATATAACTCATCCGCTTCTCAATGTTCAGTATATGTGTGGGTAACTAAGCATTATCATCCATTTTTTCGTTCATCAAGTGAGTTTTGCATGTTGTTTTTTTATTCAGCGAAATGGAATGCGCTCCAGTAGCATGTTCATCACAGAAGACAAATTTCTAGATGCTTACTTACTTATTCCTTTTACTCCTCGTGAAGGAGCATAGGTCGATCATCAGCACATTCCATCGAACTCTGTCCTGATACATCCTTTCCAGTTGCTATTCATTCTTTCTTTGTCTGCTTCAAATTTCCGATGCAATGTGTTCCTAGATCTTCAACTTTTCCTATTTTCTGAATTAGGGTTCCCCTCGTGATGCATTTTGATGATTTCCTCAAAGTCTGTCCGATCCACTTCCAACGCCTTTTCATAATTTCCTGTTCAGATGGAAGCTAGTTTGTCCTCTCCCACAGTAGGTTGTTGCTGATGGTACCCGATCAACGGATATCGAGTATCTTACGTAGATAATTGTTTACAAATACTTTTATTTCTTTGATGACAGCTGAAATAGTTCTCAAAGTTTCAGCTCCATACTGCAGAACTATGTGTTGACGTTCGTATTGAAGATTGTGACTTCAGTATTAGTTGACAGTTGTTTCCAGTTTCATATATTCTTCATCTGTAGGTATGCTACCCTTGCTTTACCAATCTTTAATAACTCAACTAAAATCCATTCGTGAAAATCATCCTCATTCTATTCAACAGTCATCCAACAAATAAGCGAAAAAAATGCTCGAAATTTCTAGGTGTAGTTTTGTTGAATATAAAAATAATTTACCTGCAATGTACCAGAACTGGTGAATTATTCATTGAAAGACGTCTTTCAGTCCAATAAGCATAAAGTAAACGAAGAAAATCTTCTTTGGATGGAGTTGAAAAATCTGGCCAATTAAGCATATGTAATTGAATAATATTTCGATATTGTTCTTTGTTAAATGTTTTCTAAAAAAAGAAATTGTTAAAATAGACAGCATATTTTATATATAGTTGAAATCATTAGTCAATTGAAGCTAGACTACCATGAAAAGCCTGAGGGCACTGGGCGGCTGTCTCGTCTTATCGTGGGATTCCTCAGCATTGCGTATCCGCGATCCCACCGCGTGAGATTCAAACCCAGGACCTACCAGTCTCGCGCCCGAGAGCTTAACCACCAGACCACTAAGCCGGCAACCGATGGTGTCAGTGTCCTGGGTGCGAATCTCGCGAGGCAGCATCGTGGATGTCCATTGCTGAGGAGTCCCGCAATAGGACGAAATGTCCGCCCAGTGCTTCCATTTTTTCCATGGTGATCTAGCTTCAATTAACTCATGAAAATACTGAAATCTCTACAAAATCCCTTCTGAAAAAAATATTGTATTTATCTAGTCTTTAGTGGTGACTGAATGACGATTAAGTTGCATCATGGTCACTACTCTAAATAGTTAGACATTGCATGGACTATCCTTAAATTATACATAGTTGATTATAAGTCATGAGCTTGTTGACATTTGTCAAACAAGGCGTACCTGAAACCCTCAAGGAAATGATACCGTCAGTGGGATTCGAAACTAGGTTGAATATATATGTATATATCCTTGAAGATAAGGTAAAAGAAATTTAAAATAATGAAGGATCGCGTTTAAAACCTGTAATTGCATAATTAAATCACTTAATATTTTCATAGTTGCAAGCGTTAGTCAATTGGAGCTAGACCACCAAGGGAAACCTGGAAGCACTGGACGGCCGTTTTGTCCTATTGTGGGGGTCCTCAGCAGTGCGCATCCACGACCTCGCTTCCTTGGTGAACGGTCACTCAACTTCGTGGATTGGTTAGAGTTAGACAGAAACACCTTCGGATGCCTGCCCAGTGGTCTATCAGTTAAGTGCTCTGGCGCGAGGCTGGTAGGTCCTGGGTTCGAATCTCGCTAGACGAGGTCATGAATGCGCACTGTTGAGGAGTCCCACGATAGGCCGAAACGGCCGTCTCGTTATTCCAAGTTTTTCTTGGTGGTCTAGCTTCAATTGACTCACGCTTTCAACTATGAAAATACTAAATCTCTACAAAACCCCTTCTCATAATAAATTATTTATATAAATCAGAAATTTTAACTTACACGATCATACAGTTTAAAACTGCGTCTAATATAGGCTGAATAATTTGTTTCTGATAAAAGATGAATTTTAAATCGTCCAAATTGAATTACGCGTTTGGAATTGGTTTGACAATGTTTATTTGAAGGTAATTCCGCGGTATCATCATTATCGCCATCAACATCACCATCATCAACGTCGGTTGGCCAATAGACAGAACATTTTTCTTTACCATTTTCTATTGATCTATTGTATGTTTTTAGTGAAAAAAGTAAAGTTGAAACAATCGTTGTGCCTATTCATTTTTGTACTGTTTGCTTGAATCTTCTTGCTTGAATTGACCAGTACCATATTGGTATATGATCATCCTGTGCGAATTTCCTAGTTATTACTTTAAGTCACAAGCATTATGAACAAAGATGAATGGTGGCTAGAAGTGGAATCCAAGACACTTGTTTGTCTTCTTTTTGAACTCTTCAGCAGGATGTACCTGAAACTCCGAATTGACGTCCACTACCGGTACATTCAGCTGATGAGATTCAAAACGGATGAAACCCAAGTCCTGAATTCCACTGCTGGCCACCATTCATATCTGCCCATAATCGTTGCGTCGCTTTATTCTTTAAGTAGATTCTGATAGTACTCAAATAAACTATAATTTTGATTGAAAAGAATGTAGTGATATACTTATGTATTATTATTATACAGAATCCTCAACACAAAGTATTTCCACAAGTTTCCTTTCCTTATTTCTTCATCTATTCTGACGATAAAGAATAAGCGATCACCAGTTAGATGTCATCAGTCCAGGAATCGACATTTGAATAATGTTCATCCTTTTCAATGCATATTGACAACCCCCACAATGTTAATTAAAAGCAATGAGATTGTTATAGTTAAGAATAAGACGTTTTTGTAGCTTGGTATCTCACTCCAGTTTGATCGCATGAATGATTTTACCAAGATATAAATCTTACACTTGACTTTGCATATTGTCTAGGCTAATCCTGTTTGTGTGACGACAGTAATAAGAAACCAAACACGGATTGCGTTGGATAAATTGATTTCAAGTACTCGTCTAACTAGATAGATATTCAGAACAAGAAGCAGGAAAGCGGAGCAGAGAGGAGAAAGCAACTGAGCCAACTCGATTTGGTCAAATGTGACTTGATATTGACAGTCAGACAATAATAAATTTTAGACATGTGATGAGTAGGATAAGCAATGCATATGCATATGCTCAAATAAAAACAGTCACGGTTTCTAAGCGTACAATCGACAGAGTCACAATGTGACTTGAAAAGTATGAATACATTGGTCTTGTGAGAAGCTAGAATAACCGATGTAATCTTATCACAGTACCAACCAGTTGAATAATATTTCAAACTGCCCAAAGTTAAAATTATCAACCATTGAATAGTAAATGACTCAGTGGTTCTTGATGAAAGATATAAAAGTCCTGGATTCAAGGCATTGTAAAGCCATATGAACACACATTGCTATGGAATGCCATACCTTCACAAAATGGCTATCCAATAAGTCTCGGTTTACAAAGCACAACTAACTACAAATAATCCTGTTACATTTTTTTTCAGTACTTAGAAGCAATCTACAGGCAGTCTTTGAACATACCTTCCATACCAACTAACAGCTAATCCGACTGTTTGTAGTCAAGTCAATTTACACCACAGAACAACCGTGAGATCGCGAAATGTTTTAGACAATTAAAAGGCACTGAATATGGATGCATTATTTATGATAATATGACCAGAATCAACAATTAGATTCTTCAACTGAAAGTCACTATTAGAATGTGCAGCTTCAGATAAAAGTTGGTGGCTTAGACGGTGGAGTTCAGAATTTTAGATGAGTATGTAGAGTTTACGATTTAATTTTCGATCGTTTTGTGCAGTAATACGAATATCTTAGGTAGCAATGGACGATGGTCACGTAACATTAGAATATTTGAAGGGATAAACCAACATACAGTCGAATAGAGAGTGTTTCATACTGGTTAGCAACGTCTTTGATGATGTGGAAGGGATAACGGGACCATTAAACATTGACCTTACAAGATTGTGTTTTGTAGAAAACCAATCTGTGCATATGAAGCACACACTACTTGAGATGAAAATGTTCAACGTTTCTTTATGGCTGATCATAGTTGTATACAGAGAATTCCCTGTATTCGGTGTCGACAACCTGCAAACAATGACAAGGTTCAACATGTGCATAACTATGACAATGATATTCCATTAACGCTTATTGTCGTTTATATCGAAGCACCCGATCTAACGAAAGAGCTACATGAGGAAAATCAGAATCTGGAACATAGATTTTATAAAGAGAGCTATACTATCATCACAAAGATATTTATATGCAACGGTTAACATGCCAGTGTTTCTAACAACGAAAGCTATCGCCTAAACTAATGACAAAAGGGTTCTTTCACAACGACAGTAGAATAGCTGTGTTTGAATTTAACAAAGGCTGGGCGAGACTATAATTTATGGACGACCTTTGAACGAATCTTAAGTGACCTTGGGAAACGCTAGTCAATCAGTAAACAATCAGCATAGAGTAAAAATATATTATACGAAACCAAATAATTAAAGTGGATACACTTCTTTTATATGGTACAAAAACTTGTCAGGGTTAAAAAGAGGTTCAAAGGTTAAAAAGTCGTAATGCATAAGGTAGAGGAGGTCATCCATATGGCTCCATAATAATTGGTCTCTGGAGTCATGATAAGGTCACTAAAACTCGCTCAGCCTCGACCACATAGCTTCATTATTGTTTGTATGTACTCCGATTCTGTAAGTTTATCATTTTTATTATGGATATGTCCCTACAATACTCATACCACTTAACAGACGAAGCTTCAGTGACATCTAAGTTTATTGCAGCCAATTTTACTGGTACTTTTATTATACAGTTGGCGGCAGTTATTATAATATGCCTTAGTCTCAATCTGGATCGAGTGATAAAGATTCCTGTTCTAGCAAACATCTTCCTTCAACATCGGAGGACAACATCGCAGTAGTATGCACAAGGTCTACAAGTCATTTGATCACTGCAATTACAAATAAAAGAACTTCTTAGTAGTATCATTTGTTGTAGCCACTTAATTTTCAAGTCTTCTCTAAAATTCTCTGTGAACCGATCGTACATGAGTACCAGGTACTGAAATTGGCTCCGTGACCTTGAAATCCCTCAAAAGCTTCTGATTGGCTCGTCCATAAACTGTAGTCTCGTCACAACGAAAAGTGAAGTTGACTACTGAATAAAATCAAGTAGTTTAATGTAGGGTACAAAAGATAACTGAATAGTACGAAAAAAATAGAATTCGTGAGTAGCGTTATCAGTTACCAATTTAAATTGACTGGTCTAAGTGGATTGATGACGTTCTACTTCTATGGAGTTGGAATGTGTACAAATATCTTAAGGTTGGACAAATCAATAACTTGAGTATCATCAAAACCGGATCAATATGAATCCAAGTGGTTAATTTAATGTAACGTTGTGATATGACTAAACAGAAGTCGAATAAACTTAAAAATATGAGACAGTTATCCACCATGGACAAAGGGATTAGGATTTCGTAATATTGTGGACTGGTCAAAGTAAGGTAATGTACACTACCGAATGATGGCTCACCGACCTAGAAGTTAGGCGTTCGCATACGAAATCGATTGTCCAAGGTTAGATTCCAGGTTATAAGGTTGCGAAGGTGCACTGATAAGAAACGTCATATTGAAATGAAATGGTCATCCAGCGCTTTCAATTTTCAATGCTGATCTAGCTAAGATCAACTTGCGGTTAAGGCTCCCGAAATTTATGTACTAAGGAAAGATATATCCATGAAAATTTGTGACTCACCTAGTAAGTGTAACAATCAAATGAACATGATGATCCCACACCATTTGCCAAAATAAACTACGTGTATGATCAACTGGCGCTTGTGAAGCAATATACTTACAAGGTAATTGTCCACTATTAACTATGGTACTTGAAATTCCTGGTATTTTACTTGGGATCCAACTAGCATTCACATAATTAGATGGAATCCATTGTTCACTACCAATATCAGGCAATCCTTGTGAGGTGTCGATAATGTTCTCACTCTGATTAGTATGTTCATTGTTATGTATAATAACTCCATTTTCTTTCGATCGGTCAACTGAATTCATCTGTTCCGAATTAGGTAATATCAATGCATTTGACAATTGTACATAATTTTGATCAACTGTTATTAGAAAAAACAAGAAGAAAGATCATCTTCAGTTAACAGACACCTTAACGATGAAGAGCAACTTGTTAGCCGTTTAGATATGAACGGAAAAAATGTAGACTGAAATTGAGATCTATACAGATCGTAACCATTGATATTAAGTTTGTTAGCATTCTCTATCCTTATCCTCGTCATACTTGACTCCCTTTTTGTGCTTTTACTTTATACTACTTAATAGTATTCAGTAACCCAATTCATTACTAAGAATTTTCAAACCGGTAGTATTACGGTATTTTCGAGTATTTACATCAGCTGATAATATTCAGTTTTCTTTATTGTTGTAACCATACAGACATTCTACTGTATTTATTACAACAATCTCCATGTTATTATATAATTCGGCCTTATTTTTAGCAATTGTATTTTCAACATCGTCATTATCTGCCGCACATCTTATCGTACGGTTTTACAAGTAACACCGAATGCCCTATATAAGGAAACACTTTTCTCTTACTATACACAAACTCGATAGATACAATTTTCAAATTGAGGTATCTGATGCTTTTTCAGGTAACTTCATAATGATAGTAACTGATATGTGGGCAAGAATGAGAATGATTGGATGTTTTGCTGATTCAGACATTAGATAGTGTGACAGGTGTTATATGTATTATATATTCCCCTATCCTGGTTATTATTGATTGATTGTTCCTTGTTGTTGGATTGCGTCGGATTTTGACATGGGAATGTATTGACGTTCAAGTCAGACTAATCTCGTGTTCTCGATCTGAGTTGTGCTGAAGTCCTGTAAAATAGATACTGGGAGGGAATCTAGTGCAGACATTCGTCTAAGGTAAATTAACGTCCCACATACGTGTAAAAAGTAAAAGGACTGTTATAACAAGAAACTCTAGTGTTATAACAAGTATCCTATCGTTTATAACAGTAACCTTGCATGAAACGAAGAATCATATAATACAGAAGTTGATTTTGTGGAATTACGTGAGGCTGGTGGATTGATTAATTAAGCTTCAAATCCTTGTTGATTGAAGTGGTTACTATATGTGCTAAATATCCACATCTGTCTATTCAGACAATAAGATGGATGAATAGTAGATATAATGAAAGAAAGAGCTTCGATAGCGTAGATGACAACTTTGTCTAATGTTACCTTCTGTTAACCGACCATCAAAATGAGGACTCTAAGCTCAGAAATATGGTGGCTGTTAAGTTCGAACGAAGGTTCAATGAAAGTAGGAAAAAGCTAGAATTAACTGTTACAAGAGGTAAAAGAAAGTAGTTATGATAATAAATACAATAAATGTAATTGGCCTATGTAAATACACAACAAATAAATTTATGTTGCACCATATGATTATAAATGATATGACATCAACACTATTGGACGCTGGGTGAACGGTCTAGGGGTTAGGTGTTCGCGTGCGAGACCGAGGGTTCTAGGTCCGAGTTCCACGTGAGGAATCATAGATACGTACTGTTGAAGAATCTCAATCTAAGACTAAACGGCCGTCTAGTGCTTCTGCGTCTTCAATGGTGGTCGACCTTAGGTCAAATCGTCAATTTAAATGCGTAACAGAACTATTTACTCAATTTGAAAAAGTGTTATCATACAAATTATCATACGAGTTGCATCAGGAAAGACTAAAGAGAGAAGATGCTAATGAACTTCACATACATTTGTTTCTTCGTAATATACTACTTATTAACCAAAATTACACTTTAACCAGCTCATATTAAATTGATTAATCGCAATTGCGTATTTAGAATCGCTCAAGGAAATCAGCATAGTTAAGTTTAGTTGTGTACTTTTTCTTCATTTTGTCAGTAACACTATACTACTTATATTATTATTCAATAGTTTAAGTTGTCACCTACTTATTATGTGGAATTTGAAGGAAAGGAAATAACTCTTTCTTTATCACAAGCGGAGTTTTGTGGGAATTGTAGTATTTTCACAGTTGAATTCACTAGTCTATGGAAGCAAGACCACTACTGAAAACCTGGAAGCATTGAACGGTCATTTTGTCCTAGTATGGGACTTCTCAACTGTGCACATTCACCTTCCCACAACCTCACATCAAACTCGGGATTTTCAGTCTCGCAGGTGAACACTTACCACAGGACTAGTGAGCCAGTATTTAACGTTGGTAATTCTTAACTTAAATTTATCCATGATCTTGCGCAGCCATTCATCAATTATCTGAAGTGGATAACTGTCTCATACCCGTCACGGATTGGATTCCACTGATCTCATACTACAACGTGACGGCCATCCGGTGCTTCCAGGTTTTCAGTGGTGGTCTAGCTAAGATAAACTCGTGAGTTCAACTGTGAAATTATAGATTGTAACTTAATTTCTATCCAACTATCTAGAAGAAGTAGTTTCTGATTGACTGTGACATAGAATATCATATCGATATAATGGGAGTCTCATAATTTGGGATTATAATGTATTATAGTCAAATTGAATGATTCGATATCAAGATTTCGCGAATGTAACTTGTATATAGAAAAACATCACACAAGGGCAATGTGATAAATAAAAAGAAGCTTACAAGGTAAAAGATTACGATACTTATTACGTAGACGATTTTCTGGACGTTGACCGATGGTACATGTAAGATGTTTTGCTTGTTCTTGTCTATGTGAATGAATATTCAATGACTGAAAGAGCAAACAGAAAATCCGTTATCAATAAACAAATATAATAATAACAATAACTATTTATCAGAGAGATAACTGTCGATACATCATTGTTCTAAGTGAGTGAAGGGTGAATTATAAGGCGTAATAGATGGTAGATAACATTAGAATCCAGGACGCGCGTTTCCTCCCATTTTGGACTCGTCAGCTGGATATACACGTATCCTAGAGCTGATGTTTACTTCAGGACACGAACTCAGTATTGTTCATGTCAAACAAACATCATGTTGTTCACTTAGCTACTGAGTTCAGTCAGTCAATGACTTGTGCAGTTTTGGTTATCTGAATCTTCCGATTGATGTTAAGGACTGTAATTGAACATTCTCATATTTGCACCAACTCAGAATACTATTTACACTTATGTCAATTTAATTGGTTTAGTTATTTAATCTAAAGAGGTTATTCATTATCTATTTGAACCCATAAATATTGGTACAGAGAGGCACCAGATATATATGCGCCACACAAATCTTGTTTGATTTTTGTGAGGGCTGTGATACTGTGCAGGTGCCCAAACTGAATCAGGTGGTTTTCTTAGGGGGCTACACCCGAAAACTTCGACCTAAAGGTGTGATCCACAAGTCAGTGGGGCATCGTGGGGAGATGCAGTCCCATGGTAGCCGGTGACAAACGATTGATTCATAGGCTATTTGTTAGTTATAATACAAACCTACCTCAGTTGGATACCCAATGAATCATATAAATTTATAAAGTTGATTAGAATTAGACAAATACAGTATCATACTTTTCAACTCAGTGACCTGGAGGTTGAAATTTATAAAGAGGGCACTGAAGATCCTGGTTAAAATCCATGATGTAGTTGTGAATGTGCACATCTAGGAAGTCCCGTGTCGGAACGAAACAAGTGTTCAGACAGGGAAATAATGACTAATGACTAGATCTAATAGTGATACAAAAAGGTTTGGATTAAGCTTAAACTAATTGCAAGGTGATTCTGTCACTGCATGGGAGATAAAGTATAATGATTGAACATGAACAGAATGTTCTTTTTCTCGTTTACCTTGAATTCTTGTCTTAAACTATTCAAATTCTTTTCAAACCAATTGATAAAGTCTTGAATGTTTATAGGATCTGGTTGTCTGAAATAGAAAAAAGAAGTGAGAATGAAACAATTGATGAGTTGTTAATGTTACTTATCAATCGATCTTAATGGATCATGTAGTTTGGAAGAACAATATTCCCTGAAGGACATGGAGATCCTGGGTTTAATGATATATAAAACAGAGGTTGATTACTGTGTTTATAGGTTTACGATACCAGCTGCATTTAGTCAGGGTGCCACTGAAAGCCAATATATAACTCTTCAGTAGTTGGCATGCACGAATCGTATCCAAGACACTAGGGGATTGAACTTTAGAACAATGAAACAGTATCCAATATTATTAGATTGGAGATTTCGATGAATGTACATTCTGACGAACATGTCTTCCATTGCTGTTGGTTAATAAGCGACTCACAGTCAACAATTTTGGACTCTATTGATCTGAATATCACATTGGGACATCAGTAATTAGCAATCGAAATTAGTGTTTAGTAAACAAATGGTTATAACTAGTACAAGTGTTTGTGAGGATTGTTGAAGTTTGTGCTGATGATGTCGTTCAGAAGGACGATGAAAGCTCCACGACCAAACTATCCAGCTCACAGAAAAAAATTCCATTAAAATCATACACCTGAGCTACAAACCTTCTCCACCATCTCGATAGTTTGATCCTCAGTCGACTATAAGGTTTAAACCTCCGAGGAGTCTCATACTAGAATAGGCCATCAATTCAGTGGTCCCAGGTATTCGATAGATGTTTAACTAAAGTCATTCCGTAAAACAAACGATAAGATTCAACAGTTTGCAACAAATGCGATTCCATTCGTATTGAAAATGAAATTAGACCACCATGGAAAACCTGGAAGTAATGGACGGCCGTTTCGTTCTATTATGGGACTCCTCAGTAGTGCGCATCTACGATCCCTCACTCGCGTGATTCGAACCCAGGACCTACTAATCTTGATCCAGAGCCCTTAACAGGACGAAACGGCCGTCCAGTGCTTCCAGGTTTTCTATGGTGGTCTAGCTTCAATTGACTCATGGTTTCAACTTTGAAATATACTGAAATCTCCACAAAACCCCTTCTGAAAATGAGATTATTACTTAATAATTTGTACAAATAAATTTACCGTGGAATTTTTGAAGGAATAACTGGGGATTTGTACTCTTCACGTAATTCATATCCATCTTCCTCATCTTCACTGGAAAAATATAAAAAAATCTTTCAAGCTTACCATATGCCCAAATAATAATCTCATCACCAATACTATTACTAACAAAAGTATTAGTAGTATCAACAGTATACTGTACAGAAATGATCGCGAGTCGTACAGTAATCATTACACAAGGAATAACTGTCACAGAAAGCATAATCTACACAAAAAGTTTACTAAATTAGTGCATATGAAGAATATAGAACTGAAAAGTTTCTCGTTCAATCCCATACTGACCTCGCGTTACTGAACAATTCCAAACTCTGACATTACAATTATTCGATGCATTTTGATTCAAAACGGTTCTGACTACGCAATGTCAATCTCTGTGATGAAGTTTAATCTTGAATTGTGTTCACATAGCAATATTTTCAATCTATATCGATAAGGTCCGATATTTTGTCTTACTTTGAGAGAAAACTACTGAAATTCAAACTAAAAACCTTAATCTACGTACTCAAAGTGTCTCAAGTATGTCCGTCTCTTTCCCCGCTAGAGAAATGTTAGTAGACCTGGAGGTAAAACTATATTATATTCACCAACTAATCAGCATTGAGATACCAGCTCTTAGACTTTTGTGAGATTCAAAACCGGATAACGGATATTTAATAACATATTACCGGGGAAGTTGAACCTACCAATATTTAGTTATTAAGAAGCTTAAAATTGATAGATCTGGGATCAATAAGACAATAGACAGCGTGACAATAAAACAAAAGTTGTCAAGGTTTAAAGTCGAACATCTAACTGAACAAGCAACCGAAATAGTGAAAATATAAGCAAACCTCTATCTAAACGTGTTCAACCTTCTTTAAAGTCATGTATCTGAATAAAACGGTTTCAAGTTCAACTTTTACAAAGGATGATACAAATCGTTAACTTATGGCAAATAACCCTAAACGATGATTCTGATGACTGCACATGACAATAATTGACTAAGTGTTCCACGATTGGACTGTTGATTGACTTTCTTTCTTCGATACTCATGTCGGCTAGGGATCTAATTTTTCCAGTATGGTAACTCCAAAGTTCGTAAAACAAGTAAATTGTTCTCTCTCTCTAACACACATTCGTATAACATCAGATCAAAGTAATCAGATTGAATGTGAGCTGTTGATCGGTAAGACTAAATCATTCATGTAACTTCTCAACAGAATGCACAAAAATATCTTAATTGTATTGAAACTAAAGTCTTCAGTTCTTCCGAAAAGTATTGTGCGTTTATATTACTGTGTTAGAGTTCTGTGGTATACACTTCCAACGACAGTCATAACTTGCCATCACTGATAGTAACTATATAATGTCCAGCATACTCTTTAGTGGATTCTCGTTATATTAGCTCAATGATCTATTCGTGACGATCTCATTATTATTCTAAATAATATCGTCACTATAAACTTAAAATAGAAGTAAGGCAGTCGAATGCCACGACAAGTCTTCTGTCTTCTTCTGGTGTTGTCCTTTTCACTATCATAGTTTGTTGATTTATTGAGATTGTCAGCCTCTTTGACATGCATTCTTAATTCTGGATTTATTCATGATTTTCCCAATTGGCTGATAAACTGATTCGAAATTTGAATAACTGATATTCACCTGAAAATAATACTGAGCATAATAATGAAAGATTTACGACTAAACACCATGCAACTGCGTAAACGAAACTCTAGCAAACTAATCCACCTGACCTACAAATTCTCTTTACCATTCCAACATATTTTATAGTCATAATTCACTTGGTATCGTTTGTTTGAATATTCCTATTGATGTTTAGGACTGCAATTGATCAATCTTTTACTGGCTGTTAGCCACTATCCATCTTTACTTATATTGCTTGTGAATTAAGGCAATATCGAGGCAATACGCACAGTATGCACATATTCCAATAAGAGACCGATCAATTGCAGTCCTAAACATCAATGGGAAGATTCAAACAAACAATACCAAGTGAATTTAAACTTCACCTCATTGCAGAAACAAGTGGCTATCAGGACTCAGTAGCTGAGTGGATAAAGCCATGGAGTTTGAAGCAAAATGTGCTGGGTTCGAGTCCCAGACTGAACATCAACTCAGATGCACGTACATCCAGCTGACGAGTCCTCAATAGGACGAAACGCGCGTCAAACTGGATTCCACTTCTAGACGCTATCTATCTTTGCTTATCTAGTCATAAGTTCCTAATTCAAGTTTAAGTCATGAGTATACATATGTGAGGAGTGATAAAACAACAAGAATAAAAAAATATTTTTATGGTGTAACAAAATATCAACCACTTATTATGTATTCTGCAATTGTATTACGAAGGTGCTATGATGACCATGGAATTACATAATCTGTAATAATATCGCTAAAGTCCTAGCAACGGTAACCGCATATTTAACTATATATACAGAGTTATACCATTTTAAGCTGTTGTGTTTGAATATCAAATGTTACCCTACACGGCGTATTTTGTCCGTGTAACCGGTTAATTGTATGTCAGAAATACGGCTTATACGGTTTATATCACAAAAACGTTTCACTGTCATTATGGGATTATGGATATCACTGAATTTTAATGAAGTCGTGAACTGATCCAAGTTGGACCATTAGTAAAAACCTGGAAGTACTGGGTGGCCGTTTCGTCCCAGCATGAGACTCCTCAATAATGAATAACTAGGACCTCAAACGAGGTGATGGAATCTAGTACCCTTGAATCTAAAATATGTTAAGTCTAAAGCTGTAACAAAGACAATTGAAGATGGTTGCGCGATCCCGACTAGTTTATGTTAGACACTAAAACCGTTCAATACTGGCTCACTAGTCTTGAGGTGAAGTATTCGCGCGTGAGACTGAAGTCCTGGGTTTGATTTCTGAGTGCAGGATCGTGGATGTACCCTGGTGAGAAGTTTCATTTTAGGACGAGATGGCCGTCCAGTGCTTCCAGGTTTTCAATAAAATCGCTAACTATATGGAAATGTAGTATACCTTAGACCACCGCAAAACATCTATACGTAATAGTCCTTATCTAGATTTGACGTAAGTTTAATACGGAAATAAAAAAGTAGTTATTTTTAGTGAATAAATAAATGAACTAAGAACATACCAATATTCAACAGTATGTAATCCAATGAATTTTGTCTGATTTAGACGTTTTCTTTTACTAAACACAATGGCTATTGTTAAGGAAGTAAATATGAGTATTAACATTATACAACTGACAATTAATACCATATAAATTGTTCCAGATAAATTTGACGATGATAATTCATCTACAAATGCAATACAAAAACAAACAATGTATGTATGAATGAAGTTACTTTAATATTTAGTGATGTGATTGAAGTTAGTTGTCTGGATATCTTGTTTGATCTCACTTTCAAGAACGTCGGTACTCGTCAGAAAGACCTAGGACACCTTATGAGAGTCAAATCAGCGGCATTCAGTTCCACAGTTTAAGATGTCCTCTGTACGTTGTTAAAGCTACAACTAGACCAACGTACGACTAAGATATTTGCATAAATTGATCACTGTATAGTGACCACTGTCGACTACCCTTAACCACTTTAAGTCGAAACATAGTGAACCCTATATGAAATCATTCAGTTTGGTGGTTACATTTCAACTTGACCGATTGAATTCGATCAGTACTAAGAACCAATGAAAATATATAATTTCGATCATTATCTAGTAGTCTGTCACTTTACATATTTGATCTGTTCGCTGAACCAATACTAGAAGATATTCGGTTTACAAAATTCAAGTTATATGGATTTTGTCACTTTCAAAATACTCCTTACCAATGTACTGTTATACATTCATCTCATCTTCAATTCCGCTGTTCAGAATATGTCTGAAAATGCTCAAATATCAGTCCGTTTGATTACCCTAGAATTATGTGTACGAAACCATTCAAATAGCGAACCAGTGACCGGACTATACACGATTTATCAAAATTAACATACGAGGCCGCCCATAATTAATAAAATAAGTTGATTCGGGTGTGAACATATCTATAATGTTTGTTGAGTTTGTTTTTCAAAGTTGAAATCATGAGTCAATTGAAGCTAGACCAACATGGAAAACCTGAAAGCATTGGACGGCCGTTCCGTTCTATCGTGGGACTCCTCAGCAGTGCGCATCCACGATCCCGCACTCACGAGATTCGAACCCAGGACCTATCAGTCTCGAGCCAGAGCCCTTAATCGACAGACCACTGGGCTGGCCGGCATCCAACGGTGTTAATGTGTGTTGTGAAATAACAACTCAGTGAAGACAATCGGTGAATGGTTGTTCGATTTCGTGGATTGATTGAAGTTAGACATTAACGCCATTGGATGCCGGCCAGCTCAGTGGTCTGTCGGTTAAGGGCTCTGGCTCGAGACTGGTAGATCTAGCTTTAATTGATTCATGATTTCAACTATGAAAATACTGAAATCTCCACAAAATCCCTTTTGATAAAGGTATTATTATTGAAATGAAGTAAAAAAACAAACTATCCAACTACTTACCATTTATTCTCCATTTATGTTTAATTGAATAGATAACATCATCTGCTGTTACAGAATATACAATAACATATCCACTATGCTGTGAATCAACAGTCTTTGAAGAAGACGACAACATTGTCGATGATGATGAGGATGATACATTTTGATTCAATAAATGTAAATCTTGTTTTACATTGATAGATCTACGTGAAAGTTTAGAATTCATTATAGATATCATTGGATTAACTATATGATAATAATAATCAAATTTGTATATTGTATCATTGATAGTCATTTGATTGAATTGATGTAATTGTAAGGTATTTAATTCCTTCTGAAGATTGTCTATGGTTGATAATAAAGAATTTTGATTAGATTGTTGTATAGAATAAGTATGGAATGTAGATGGATAAGAATTTTGATCTAATTTACAAATATCAATTAATTTTTTTAATTTTTCTAAAACATTTGGATGAACATTTCGCTAGAATAATGATGAAGGAATGAAAGAAAAAAAAAAGACAGTTAAAAAGTGATCCATAAAGCGATGATGTTTGAAAAGAACGATATTGGGTTTAAGTCCTGGAGTGGATATAAACTCTAGGATGTAAGTATATCCAGCTGATGAATCCTAGATTAGGACGAAACGCATTTCCTGGATTTCACTGCTAGCCATTATCCATCTCTGTTCATAATGATTGTGACCTAAGGCAATCCATACAGGATGTATATATGTCGATAATTGTAGTCCTAAACATCGATGGGCAAATTCAAACAACCAATACAAAAATGGATTAGATTTTTTATTAAATTTTCAATATGGGTGTTGAAACAATTGTTGAACATTATTGAGTTTATAAACCGATTTGATTTAGACAACTATTGAAAACTTGAAAGCACTGGAAGGTTGTCTTGTTTAGAGAGCTTAACGCCAGGGGTTTGATTCCCGATTGAAAGGTTATGGCTGAGCATTACTGAGGAATATTGTTACAGGAGAGAACGGTGTCTTAATGGTTCTAGGTTTCCATATCTGTATAACTTTGGTTGGTTCCAGATGTCAACAAAGGTTTTGTAACAGTTGGGTAGTAAGTAATACAAGGATTCGACAAGCACGTATCATTCTATTCAGAATTCGTCAACTAAGTAAGCTGTAACCCCAGCGTTGACGTTCACATTAGGACTAGAACTACGTATCTTATCACTAATTATTTGGTGATATCAAATATATGGTATTTATCAAACGGCAAAAGTGTTAGTACTATACTATTAGGGTTCTATAGAATCGAAGTATTTATAAATCAACTAATCATTTATGATTAATTAATCTTATGTTGTCTATTTCTGACCAGGTATCTGACCAAATCGGTATGAATTTAAAAAGCTCGATTGGCCTTGGTGACTTGGGTCATTTGTGGCGTGAACAAGATATTGGTCTCCAACCAGAAGGCAAGTTTTACCGTACAGCAGTTCTCTACGATCTATTCTATGGACGTATAAAACCCATTAGGAATAAGTGATATCCGTACGTTAAAAGTATTCAATTGCAGGTGACTTTAAAGCACCGCTCATGTTTACTGGGACCGTCAAGTCAGCAATAAAGGTGTAGTGAACAGAACACTAGTTGGGGACAATCGAATGTATTTAAGCAAAAGTTACAGACTATCTCAGTAAATTCTGATAACCAAACAATGAACAGTCAATTTGCAAATTAACAACCAATTGTTTCAATCTTCACTGTTTCTTCTCTTATTCCATTGCTCATGCATTTTCCAAGCGATTGCGCTTCATTTCAGTTCTTTCGTCATCGGTCTTCTGCCAAAATACATTCTATGTCTGACCCACACCATATACTACTTATATGGATATAAGTAGACTACACCACACTCGTCCCCCCTTTAAAGCATTCGTTCATGCGGTGGTTCTGCTCGCCACGCCACTATCTTCTTTCACTGCAGTCTGTGCCAAACTCTCCGTCAGAATGTCGAGTCTGCGGCGCGCTGACCTCCATAGCTCCGTCGACCTGCCGGGGCACCAACATCCGCATCCACCCGGCACCTGGGACGTTCAACACCCGTACTCCACCGGCCTGCTGAGCCATCTACATCCGATGTCCGCCCAGCAGCCGCACGTCCCACTGCTCCTCTCCGTCGACAGCACCCGCTACAGCCAACGCCGCCCCGCCAGAACACTCCACTCGACGCCACCCCTCCGCATCAGACTGCCCCAACAAGCACCTCAACTCCAGACCCGCAGCGGCGTCCGCAGAACAGCACCCTTCCTCCTCCCGGTTGGCAGCGACACCAAATGTAGTGAACAGAACACTAGTTGGGGACAATCGAATGTATTTAAGCAAAAGTTACAGACTATCTCAGTAAATTCTGATAACCAAACAATGAACAGTCAATTTGCAAATTAACAACCAATTGTTTCAATCTTCACTGTTTCTTCTCTTATTCCATTGCTCATGCATTTTCCAAGCGATTGCGCTTCATTTCAGTTCTTTCGTCATCGGTCTTCTGCCAAAATACATTCTATGTCTGACCTACACCATATACTACTTATATGGATATAAGTAGACTACACCACAAAGGTACTGCAAAACGCTGGTAAATCAAATGGCAAGGAAGCGAATTTTCATCAACTGAGTCACAAAAACATAATCATAAGGAATGGATCTGTATCGGAACTGTGGGCAGGATTCAAGAAAGGAAGAAACAACAGCCAAACAAGAACAGAGGAAGCCAAGGAACGGGGCGAACACACGGAAGCAAACAGGATAATGAAGACGAGCATTAGAGTAGACAAGCAGAAATGCGTGGAAGACCTAGCAATGACAGTGAAAAAGCTGCAAGAGAAGGAATAGTAAAACAACTATATGGTGAAACGAAGACCTTTTCAGGGAAATACAGAAGATCAGAGCAATTAGTCAAAAAAAGAAGGTAAAGCGATCACTGAGATAAAAGAACTGCAAAACAGGTGAATAGGGCATTTTAAAGGAATTTTGAGTAGATCAGTTCTATTGGACCCACCGAACACTAAAGTAGCAAACACAGATCTTCCTACAGATGTCACTCCACTAACGACGGGTGAAATCAGGATGGTTATCAAACAACTGAAGGGTGGGAAACAGCAAGACCAGACGAAATACCTATACTGATACTATTCTTACTCGTACTCTAGGATTTGTCTCAAGACAATTTTATTACAATGTGTTTTTGTGATATGGCAATTTGAACCGATGAACAAAAATGGCAAGTTCAACCTTCTGAAAAACTGATTGACTGACTGCCTATGTATAATCAAATAATGTCAATTGAGTTTTACCGTGATCAGTACCGACGGTATAGTACTTTACAGGCATGATAAAACAAATTGGACGTTTAAAATATGAATAAGTGGAGTAAAAGATATTAAAAAATTTCGAAGCACCAGATTTAGGGGGTCCATTAAATAGTAACCATATGTTCACAACCTCACTACGACCACCTTTAAGCTATGTTACTTAATCTCTGTAATCAATTATCTTGATTATCACCCAGACTCAAAGTAGATAGTCTGAATATACTTTGTGAAGCTTGCAAACCAACAGTGTATACTTTCACAGACAGCAGATCTTACTTACACTAATCATCATAACATGTCAAATTAAAGGTGATCAGTAAAATACTTGATAACTATAATAAAATCATCAGTCCATTGAAGCTAGATCACCATGAAAAACCTGAAAGCATTGGACGGCTGTTTCCTCCCTATTTTGGACTCCTCAGCAGTGCGCATCCACGATCCCGCCTCACGAGATTCAAACCCAGGACCTATCAGCCTTGCGCCGTCCAGTGCTTCCAGGTTTTCCATGATAGTCTAGCTTCAATCGACTCATGATTTCAACTATATAAAATTACTAAAATCTTCACCAAAACACCCCTTCTATAATCAAATCAATAAACCAAAAAACAACACATACCAAAGAATAATTTCCTAAACAACCAGAACATGGTAACCATAGAAATTGTGCACATTGTTGTAAATCAATACTATTTGATTGATCATCAGTTGAACTTAATTGATATGAAATTTGTTTAAATGGTATAAAAAATTGTATTGCAAAACCTAATAAACCATATAAATTTCCAATAATATTCCATTTGATATGTAAACAATAACTATATTTATTCAATTGACTATTATTATACATGGATAACTGCCGATCAGCAGGATGGGGATCAGGCAGTTTGACCATGGTGTTGGTTGTTGTTGTTGTTGATGATGATGATGATGAATGGTTATTCATGATATTGATATATTGATTATTGAATAAACATTGATAATCATAATGATCATTTACATTAGGTTTATGAATTTCGATTGGACGTTGAACATTCAATGTGAAATTGATAAATTCAAAATGTGCTATATCCAAAAAAAATAAAAGTATAGTTTAAGGGATGAACCAATCAAAATGAACAACTCATGAATAACAATGAATATGGGGTGTATGCTACTTATATATTACAGATATAGCCCCCGAATGCCATGGTATGGCCGAGAGTGGGGAGAGTCCACTCTCCCTCTCCAAATGCTCTTACATGGCCTCGCGTATATAACCTCTGTCAGGGAAGTCCTAATTACTAACTTCTCGCAACACGTGTGTTCTTTACGAAATTGAGAGGACGAAAAGCGAATGTTCGGCGCTTTAACCGGGTTCGTGGACACGGAAAGTCCACCAAGAAGAGTTTGAAAACCCTGATTCCAAACTAATGGTGCACATGGGCTTGCTCCAGTATCCTGAGGGAACAAATGGCGTATGAATCAATCGTTGGTCCTTGGCTACCATGACACTGCATCTGTTCACGATGCTCCATTGCCTTGTGAATCAGATCTTTAGGTCAAAGGTTTTGGGTGTGGCTCCCTAAGAAAACCACCTGTTTAAGTTTGGTCACCCGGGCAGTATCACAGCCCCCACACAAATCAAATGAGATTTGTGTGGTGCATATATAACCGGTCCCGCCTTGTACCAATGTTTATGTATTTAAATAAATAAATACATATTTAAGTAGTATGTAACACCAATAGGAAGAGTAAACCCTGGTATCAGAAGGCTAAGAAGCTCGAGTTGAAGAGAAAAAGAGTGAAATTAGAAAGGAATTATAAAATGGAACAATAATACGGAATATGAAGGACAAATGATGAAATTTCACAAATGAAGCGTTCAATGTACAGTTTCCATATTTCACCAAGAGATTCTGTAATTTCTGTTTTCGTCCATTACAAGTAGACGCATGTTTCTCTTTGTACTGTTGTAACCGTTGAAAATGATGGCAAAACAATGATAGTGTTGAATGTACCAAGTATCCAATTCTATCTCTAGAGTGCATATAACAAGCAAACCAATATCCCTATATCATCATTGTCAACCCTTAATCCTAAAACAAATCTTAACCTTGGGACTGGGGTACTACGGTTTATAGACGAACTAATCAGGTTATTTATTTTATACTTTTGAGAGAAATTCATTCATTCATATGGTTATATATAACATTTTTTGCATTATAACTGATATGTTAATTGTTATGTTGGCATTGTCACTGTTAATGTCTATCGTGTATTGTCATTGTTATGTAAGCGTTAAATTTGTTGGATCCACAGTCTTACTGCTGATATCTGATAATCGGAAACCACTGCAATTCTCACGATGCAAAGTAAGAACACTTTCTCAAATGAATGTCAAGATCACATCAATATTGGACCAAAATACACATACTTTACAACAACAAATGTAGACCAAAATACATAAGGTTACAATGAAAACAGATTCACTAAATATAGTTCATCTGGATAGGTATGGATAACGTAATTGTCACATTGATTGAAGTTCACACTTGTCATGTTAAACGAAGTTTATACAGAAAATATCGATGTAAGTAATGTCATCTTTTTATTTCGTCATATTGCCAAGCCTAACTGTAGAACAATTTTATAGACTATTTGGTTCCTAACACATCTGCTAAATGAAGACTTGACTCGATTTCCTAACCACTTCTCATATTCCCAGGCCAAATTTAACAACTTGAACACATAAAAAAAAGCGTAAAGTGCAAAAAATTCGTTTACTGCAAGATTGGTTTTGTAGAGAAAAACAAGGTTACAACCATGGGGTTCCTCAGTAATGTGGATCTACGACCTTTTAACCAAGAATCTAACCAACGACTTTTAATTTTGTGAGCCAACATTTCATCCCTGGAAGGTTGAATCGAAGTTTCGTGGTGTACGAGTCTAGTTTCAATCAATCCATTATACTGAGCTACCATTCTTCATAGTGGAAGGTAGGTAACTTCCTAATATTCAACACAGCTTCTCACTACACTATTAGGTCCCGGGCCTAGAAGTCTACAAATTAGGCGTTCTCGTGCGAAACTGAAGGTTTTGAGTTCCCTACTAAAAAAAGGCTATCTAGTTCTTCCTGGTTTTTAATGATTGTCTAATTTAGATCAATTATTGATCTTGATAAAAATTTGCGGAATCCCATATTGACGGTTTAAGGATTATTGATAGAATCCATTCGAATCAACCAAGATTTCTTCAGCTTCAAGTATTCAAGATCAGAAGTAGTTCTAACCCTTTATGAAAGGGAACCGGAATTCTGTGTACTAAAGTAGTACCGTCTTATTATTGTCGTTTACTGTATTCTTCACTTGTTTTTCTAGACTTGTTTTCATATCATCGATTTTTTCTTTGAAAACTTTCTCTTCTCTTAAAAGATTCCACATATCTCTTTGATAATTTATTCAACACTGTTTTCATACATCATTTCATCTTAATCCATTTATACCACAATCTAACACTAGCTTATTAGGTCTACACTTTTTCTTTCGTATACACTCATCCCGTACTATCTATACATTATTCTTGTTAACAGTGAGGCAATACAACACAGTACGAAAGTCTTCCTGTTACATCATCATTGTTGATTGCAAATTTATTGATACCGGTTTCTTACATTGAAGTATTAATGCGAAAACACTAACTACACTCTATGAGATCAAAAGATTGTAGGTTCAATAGATTCAGCACTATTGTAGAGGTCTATAAAAGGACAAAACGACTATCCAATCTTTCCTTCCTTATTCACTTACCTGTGCCTCTAACCTCTCGTGGAGGACTATAAGCCGCCCACCAGAATTCGCCATTGAAATCTGTCCTGGGAAATCTTCTCCAGTTGTTTAAAACTGCTATTCATCCTTTTCATGTGTGTTTTCAATTCCCAGGGCAGTGTGTTCATTGGTCTTCCTCTTTTCCGTTTCTCTTCAGGATTCCAAGTTGGCACTTAACTCGTGATGCATTTTGGTGATTTCTACAATGTATATCCTACCCACCTGAAGCGTCACTTTTTAACTTCTTCTTTAGCTCGAAAGTGGTTTGTTTTCTTCCACAGTAGATTATAGTTGACGGTATCCGGCCGTTGGACTTTCAGTATTTTGCGTAGACAATTGTTGATAAATACTTGTACCTTTTCGATTATGGTTGTGGTAGTTCTCGAAGTTTCAGCTATGTATAGTAGAACTGTCTTGACGTTCGTATTGACATTTGTTTTGAGTTCTATATTTTCTTCAACTGTAGGAATGCTGGCTTTGTTTTATCAATCCCCGTTCATACGTCTGCATTGAATCCTCCTCGTTTACTTATAATACTGCCCAGGTACGTGAAAGTCTCTACCTCTTCCAGAGCTTTTTCATCAAGTGTAGTGTTTCCTAGTTTACAGTTAATATTTTTATAAGAAGGGGGTTTCGTAGAGATTTTAGTAATTATTTATATAGTTAAGATCATTAGTCAATTGAAGCTAGACCACCATGAAAAACTTCGTCCTACTGTGCGACTCCTCAGCAGTGTGCATCCACGATCACACCTCGCGGGATTCGAACCCAGGACCTACCAGTCTCCCGCCAGAGCATCTAGCTGACAGACCACTGAGCCATCATCCGACGGTGTTAATTTCTAACCTCAACCAATCCACGAAATTGCGTGACCAACGTCCAACGTACTGAGGTAGATACCTGTCTTTACCTGACATGGATTAGCTCCACTGGTCAGGACTTGTCAATCCATAATGTGAGAGTGTAATTTAATACTCTAATTAAAAACTTACACATATTTGCATAAAATAAAGTAATTGGAGCCCATTGACTAAATTGAAACATATCCATTTCATTATATAATATTGATGTAGATATTGATTCATTTGAACGTACTCGTCCACGTAATTGATATAACATTCCACGTTGTATAGTATTACGAAGAATAACTTCTATAAATAACAAAATGATGTACTACTTTCATAGAATACTATAAACACATTCACTTAGAATAATTTATCTTAAATGATTATCTGAATAAGTATAGTTCAATAATAGGGAAGTATATTCCACAAGCAGAGAGAAGCATGAACGTACCAAGCACACCACTGAGGTGTATATATATAGCATGAAAAGGTGATTAGGAAACGTCAGAAAATAGCGTATTAAAAGAGGCAACGAACCAATTATATTTAGGGTCCTTTCAAATGGGAAATATAATCTGAACAGTAAAAAGGGCGCTTAGGCGACAAAATTAGAAATTCAAATTTCTAGACTAAAATCGCAGAAATAAGACGTTTACTAAGAGATTTCTGAGAATCCAGTATCCCTAAAAGGCTTGAAAATAGTTTGTAGTTCTCTAATTATAATTGTATCCATCGTAGACGTCAATCGGTAGCGAAGGTATGTATAGGGTAGGAATAGTTTGTAGTACACTTTAATTATTGCGGTAGTGTAGTTAGGTGAAGTGCTATGTGCTCTGCACATCTCGCAGATATCGATTGAGAACTATATCACTATACATGAAGATAACAGCCTGTAACATAACATGAATGAAATCCAACTGTTTGAATTAAAAATTGTACCCATAAGATTGAGATCAGTATACTTATAAATGTACAAGTGATAATGTTGTCTATATAAGTATAGATTAATAGTAGAAGCTGGTAATTGGAGGTGGTCATTAAGAAACTCGAAACCTAGGTTTCACATTCTTTGGCAATCATCACTAGGGTGTACCTGTAATATTGAGGAAAGTGATGTTCCATGGCGAATTCGGTCATGTGTAATCCAGCTTCACAGTCAGAGACGTTAAAGCTGGAATATCCAGGCCGTAACTTGAGAACAATAAGAACGCTAGGCTGCTCATACAAATCGAACGTCATTGATTTGGTACATTGTTCAGATTAGACAAGTCGTATTCCAATTAGTGGATAACTCACGTAATAAAACGCCGAACATAAAAATCAATAACAAATTGGCGTACGTCCAATTGTTTTTTTTAATTATTATAAAGTCATAACACATTTAAAACGTATTGAATGTTCCATATTAAAAAGATCCCCATCATTACTTACCAGGATTAGATGTAATGATAATGAGAGGATTTTCTTCATCATTATAAATATTGATTAGAAATTCATATTGAACAGGACAATAAATAGTATAATTCAAATGAATTCTTAAACGTAACATTATGATATGAGGATTATATGGTTGTTGTTGTTGTTTAGATTCTATCATTTCACTAGTTAATGTTGGTATATTTGTAAAAGCTGGAAAAAAATAACAAATTAGATAATCAGAAAATGGTTTTGTGAAGATTTCAATATTTTTCATAGTTGAAATGATGAGTTAATTGAAGTTTGACCACAGTAGAAAACCTGGTAGCACTGGACGACCGTTTTGTCCTATTGTGCGTATCCCGACCTATCACTCTCGCGCCAGAGTACTTAACTGATAGACAACTGAGTCAGTCGGCATCCAACTTCAACCAATCCATTAAGTTTGAACAACCGTTCACCAATTGTCTTCAGTGAGTTGATATTTCACAAAAGACGCGGTTGAACTCTACTGGTTACTGCTTCCCAATAGAACTTCAGGAAATATCTCTTGAAGTCAGTCACTAGTGAGCATATGATTATAATCCGAAGGTGTTTTGTGGAGGTTTCAGTATTTTCATGGTTGAAATCATGAGTCTGTTGGTTAAGTGCTTTGGTGGGAGACTGGTAGTTCGAATCTCGTGAGGCGGGGTCGTGGATACGCACTACTGAGGAGTCCCACAATAGGATGAAACGGACGCCCAGTGCATCCAGGTTTTTCATGGTGATCTATCTTCAATTGACTCATGATTTCAACTGTGAAATTGTTTATCATAGTTTAAAATAATCTTATTCAAGTTAACATTGATAATCAGTAAGTATTAGGCAACTATCTCGTTTTAGAATAGGTCTGTAGTGCCGTGTTTCATTAATCAATCACCTTAATAACCGCTATAATTCCAATCTCAACGGTGCATGAATTCAGAATGGTAAAAGAAGCAGGAACTATAGTTTATTGACAGATAGCTCAGGTTAGAAAGCTACCAGAACCTGAGCGAATATCAGGTAGCGAGCTGCAAGCATATATATATAGGCAATTTATAAGGGCACAACGAAACAAAACAAAAGCTGATGATAAGATTTGAGTGCATACATATATAGGGGAGGAGTATGAGTTATCGAATGATACTTAAGCAATCAACACTTTGTCTAGAGTCTGTCCTGTACTCTAGTGATCATAACAGTACAAAGAATATGCAAATTGTTATTATCCAAATGATGATATCTGTTAAGTAAGCTAATAAAAAGGCTTAACCAAAATTAATCATAATCGAAATTGATTGTAAGATGATTGTTATAGAGGACATCCACAAAATTTCAAATGGAGAGATCAGCACCTTCTGGTATTATAATGAATGAAGACTTGTTGAAAAATACCAATTAATGGTGTAATGCAAAATTACACAAAATCAAACATGAAATACAAAGTTTGCACATTTTCCTTCATTTGTCCTTTACATAGTTTATGATTCTTCCGATTCTGTTGTTATTAGAATTGCTTTCTGGTCCCCTTTCTATTCTCTTCAATTCAATCTTTTTCTGTTAGGCATTCTACTCCAAATTGGTGCTAAAAACTACTTATATCTGCCAACGAAAACAGCATACACCACAACAGTACAAACGGGAATTTGTGAAATTAACTGTTCATCTAACATCTTTATATTAAGTGTACACTAATAATGATAACATTATCAGCGAAGATAGATGTTGTCTAGCAATGGAATCCAGGAGGCGCGTATTGTTTTATTTGATTGATAATCGTCATTTGGATGTACCTGAATCTCAAAGTTGAAGTTCACTGCGATACTCAAACTCAGTACCGTGCACCTCAAACGCCATCACATTTATTCATTTAGCTGTTGAGTACACATAACCATTTGCTTTTGTAATGGTATGAAATATCAATTCATTTTGCATTGTTTGTTTGAAGAGAAAGTTACTTAGTTCAAGTCTCGGAATGACACATCAACTCTGCAATTCAGTCACATCCGGCTGACGAGTCCGAAAACAAAACGAAACGCGTTCTCTGAATTCCACTCTCAATCAACATCCATCTCTACTTATAACATTTGTGACTTCAGATGATATCAAGGCAGTTCGCACAGAATGCACATATACCAATAAAAGGGCGAACATTTTAATTTGTAAACAATGATGGGACGATTCAAATAAACAATATTAAGTGAATTTAAACTTCACCCCATTGTACAAACAAGTGACTAACAGGACTCAATAGCAGGGTGGATAACGCGGTGGCGTTTGAAGCGACAAGTACTGTGTTCAAGTCGCAGAGTGAACATCAACTCTGAGATGCAAGTACATCCAGTTGACGAGCCCCAAATAAGACGAAGTGACGCACGTCCTGGATTCCACTGCTAGCTACTAGCCATCTTTGCTTATAATGAATAACATTGTTAAAATGTTAACATAAAAACACAAATATAATTAATACAATAAATAAGCAAAGATGGATAGTGCCTAGCAGTGGTATCCAGTTTGACACGCTTTTCGTCCTATTTGGGACTCGTCAACTGGATGTACCTGCATCTCAGAGTTGATGTTCACTTTGAGATTCTAACCCAGTACCTTTCGCTCCACTGCTAGACACTGTGCATCTTTGCTAATAATGCTTGTGACTTATGGCTATATCGAGGTTATAAGCACAGTATGCAAATATGTCAATAAGAGACTGATCAGTTTCAGTCTTAAGCATCAATGGAAAGATTTAAACAAATAATACTAAGTGATTACAATAAAATAAATAACTTAGTAACTAACCTGCTCGTTTAGTTCTATTACAAATTCTATATGATAATGGTCCTATACCAGCTTGATTAATCAATTTCATTTGAATACAATATAATTGACATGGTTTAAGTGATGATATTCTTATATGATCTAATTTATATTCTGTATCAATATTGAACCATCCTTCTTCTTCTTCTTCTTCTACTTCTTCTCGATTGTTACCATCATTAATATGTTTATAATAAACAATAATACGTGATGGATAACCACAATATATATTCCTTGATAAATACCATTTAATTGAAAGGGCATGAGATTCAATTTTATAAAATTCCATATTATCTGGTTTACATGGAACTATAAATGGTGATTGTTTACGAATACAAAAATAAAATTGAATAGATTAAAACAAATTAAGAAATGATTCAAATCTTTCATAGAGATCATAAATTGATTAATGTTAAATTATCATTGAAAACTTGAAAGCACTGGATGGCTATTTTCTCCTATTATGGAACTCTTAGGACAGTGCACATCCACGATCCTGCATGTGTAATTCGAGCTCGAGCCTTTAGTCTCGCACGTAAATGCTTAACCGACTACGGGATCGTGGATTCGCATTACTGAAGAGTCCTTTACCTAAATGAAACAGCCATCCAATCGTTCCAGGTTTTCCATAGAGGTCTAGCTTCAATTAACTCATGATCTCAACTATTAAAACTACCATAATATCTACAAAAAACCCTTCTGATATTGACCAACATATGCTCACTAGTGACTGGCTTCAAGAGGTATTTCCTGTAGTTCTAGTGAGAAGCAGTGACCAGTGTAGTTCACCCAGGTCTGTTATGAGATAGTAACTCACCGAAGACATTGGTGGATGTGTCACTCAATTTCGTGAATCGGTTGAATTTAGACATTTACATCGTTGGTAGCCGACCGACTTAGTGGTTCTAAAAGTCAAGCGCTCACGCGCGAGACTGATAGGTCCACGGTTCGAATTTCGCGAGGCAGGATTGTGGATGCTTACTGCTGAGGAGTCCCACAATCGGACGAAACAGCTGTTCAGTGCTTCCAGGTTTTCCATGATGGTCTAACTTCAATTGATTCATGATTTCAACCATATAAAATTACTGAAATCTCTACAAAAACCCCTTTCAGATAGAACAAATTAACTTGGTTATATATTATGGTATAATGATCATTTTATGCAAAACATTCAGTAAATGTTTATAAATAAATGAAATTTTATTGATTCAATAATTATGTAAACGATAATTACAAATTTATGATTATTTTTTTCTTCGTTTTGTTTTAAAATAAACATTCAACTTTTCATTAAATACACTTAAAACACTATGAATTGAACGGATCATTTGAATAGAACTACCTGGGACTCATTATCTACTCTGGGATGCAGATACACTCAGCTGAAGAGTACCGAAATGGACGAAACGCCGCGTCTTAGATTCAACTATAAGCCACTATATTATTTCTGCTTATAGTTACAGTTGGAATTCTATATATTCTGTACAATGTTCAGTATTATCAGTATTAGGTTTCAGACACCACACATCATTCAGTCAAATGTAGCATAGAACCTGGTACACGTGTTCATCAGTTCAAGTTGTTGCACTACATTACTTACTTACTCCTGTTACCCCTCGTGGAAGAGCATAGGCTTCCCACCAGCATTCTCCATCCAACTCTGTCCTGGGCAATCCTTTCCAGTTCTTTCCATTTGTTATTCATTATTTTCATATTTGCTTCTATTTCCCGACGTAATGTGTTCTTTGGCCTTCCTCTTTTCCGCTTCTCTTCTGCATTCCAAATTAGGGCTTGCCTTGTGATGCAGTTTGGTGATATCCTTAATGTATGTCCGATCCACTTCCAACGTGTTTTTCTAATTTCCTGTTACTGATGGTATCCGGCCAGTGAATGTTGAGTATTCAGCGTATTTAGCGGGTGGCCTGCTTAAACATCTGGGCTACCTGTTTCCCGTCATCTGTATATTTCAGCAAGTTATCTAATACTGTTTGTTTTAATACATAATTATGGCTATTAAGCACACAACCTATTCCGGTGTGTTTCTGAAAACTGCACAACCTTTCGCTGTAAAAGTTACAAAAGGCCTAATCAGAGATGTCGTGTTTGCTGGGAACATGCAGCAAAAAGAATATACATTATTCATATGTCGATTGACTGAACTGCTGACATCTAACTGGCGATCATTGGATGTTTATCATCAGGAGCAACGAAGAAATAAGAAACGTAAACATGTTGAAATACTTTATGCCGAGAATTCGATTTTGTACCAAATAATATAATATTGAATAAAGCTAATAATAATAATAATACATTAGCAAAAGGACTAATTCCTCAGTTGTAAATGCAAAAGGTATTATTATCATTAATAAAAAAAGATTAAGCATCACAGAGATACAAATCGAGAAAACACAAATTTAATAGCTAAATTCGTGAGTCAATTGAAGCTAAACAACCATGGAAACCATGGAAACATTGGATGACCATTTCGTCTTAGTATGACACTCTTCAGTAGTGCGGATCTACTGAGTCCCAGTTCGCACATACTAATATGACTCCGAATAGAAGTTAATGACTTCATAAACTGATACCAGATTATGGCTTGACCTTCCTTAACTTTCTTCCAATCTACTTTTACTCCACCATTGATGTGCATCGATGAAGATTCTCTTGATATACCCAAACTGTCATGAATATGATAATGAAATGAATTCTTACCTGGAATTGTAGTAGATACTTCTTGTTTCCAATTAGCTCCTGGTTTACCATATTTATTAAATGGTATAATAATTATCTCATATAATGTACTTGGTATTAATTTATCAAATATAATTATATTGGATTGTTTTAATTCAGGATATGAATGTGTAGTTTGTCCAAGACATGAATGGATTAATGATTGAATAATTAAATCATGAAAATAATTTTTCCAATTTTCATGAGTATCTTTAGAGATTACCTGCAAAATAATAATAGTGATAATACCTTTTTATATTGGTAGACAAAGATGGGTAATGGCTAGCAGTAGAAACCAGTTTGAAGGTGCGCTTCGTCCTATTTGGGACTCGTCAGCTGGATTCACCTGCATATTAGAGTTGATGTTCACTCTAGGGCTCGAACCCAGTAACTTTCGCTTTAAACGCCATCAAGTTATCCACTCAGCCACTTGTATTGTTTGTTTGAATCTTCCAATTATTGTTTACGAATGAAATTGGTATATATGCGCCTTCAAATGCCCTGATACCGCGGTGAGTGGGGAGGGCCCGCCCACTCTCTCTCCCGAAATGCTCTCACATGACCACGCGTATATAGCCTCTGTCAGGCAAGTCCTACTCACTATCTTCTCGTAGCGGAGGTGTTGGTTACGAAATTGAGAGGATGAAAAGCGAATTTACGGCGCTTTAACCGGGTTGGTGGACACGGAGGGTCCACCTAGTGGAGTTGGAAAACCCTGATTCCAAACCAATAGTGTACGTGGGCTCCAGCATCCTGAAGGAACAAATGACGTATGAATCAATCGTTGGTCACCGACTATCATGAGACTGCATCTCCTTACGATGCTCCACTGCCTTGTGGATCAAACCTTTAGGTCGAAGACTCGGGGCGCGGCCTACTAAGAAAAGCATCTGCTTCGGTTAGGGCACCTGGGCAGTATCATAGCCCTGACACAATTAAATAGAATGACATCTTTTTGTGTGGCGCATATATATCTGGTGATCCCTTGTATCAATATTTGTGTTCAAATAAATAATAAGTAAATAAAATGGTATATGTGCATTCTGTGCAAATTGCCTCGATTTTGCCTTAAGTCACAAACATTATAAGCAGAGATGAATGCTGACTAAGAATGAAATTCAGGACACTCGTTTGTCTTACTTTTGAACTCATCAGTCGGATGTACCTGAATTTAAGAGTTGATGTGTCACTCTGGAACTCGAGCACAGTGATCTAAAGCAATATTGAGGTAAACCGTACAAGATTCACATATACCAATAGCAGACGGATCCTTTACATTTCTGAACATTAATCGGAAGATTTTAACAGCCAGTACAAAGTGAATTATACTTCATCCTATTGCATAAGCTTGTTTCTGTATAGGCTCAGTACCCAAGTTAATGACGCGTTGATGTTTGAAGTGAACGGTATTGATTTCGAGTCTTGAAATGAATATCGAATCTGGGATGCAGGTACACTCAGCTAATGAGTCTCAAATAGGACGAAACGCGCGTCCTGTATTCCACTGCTAGCCATCATGCATCTTTGCGCATAATAATAATAAAAAGGAAAATAGTTTTCAACCGAATGTACGAAAAAATTTATAGGTCGACGAGATATTCATTCAGTGAATTCATTGATTTCTATCAATAACAATATGTTAGACAATCATGATCCAGATCCTTACTCAGTTATTAATCAATTACAGATTACTAAGTGTTGATTGACCTCAAAGAAGATTACTTGAACTCTCAGTAAGAACTCATGAACAACGGATTAGATTAACTCAGAAGTCAGATATTAACCTGAAATACATGGTGACTGTAAAAATTGATTGTAGACAATTGAATATAGTTAAACACATGAATTACTGATCATTTGACTTATATTCAGTAGTAGTAAGGGCAAGACTATTAGTTATGGACAAACCAATCAGATTTAAAATAGCGAGCCTTTGAATTGGCGTGAACTGTATTTGTCCATATGCCGAAATAGCATTTCGGTCTTATAACTGATATTATTTAATATTAACAACCTTAACTCTGATTCCTTAACCAAACTTCTAATTCTAAATTCTCACACTAGACCATAATCCTATTTTGACATGAATAGGTTAGTGAATTCTCTGAAAGTCACTTTGATGTCGCTCAAAAGTCGTCTACAAATTATAGTCTCACTGAAGTAAGGAATTAAAGTTGTTCATTCAACACATAACACCGTAGTTTGAGTACATACGAATTAAAATAAAATCTATTGTAAGTGGCTATCAGAATTCAGTGGATGAGTTGATAACGCCATGGCGTTGGAAGCGAAAGGTACTGCGTTTGAATCTCAGAGTGAACATCAACTCTGAGATGCAGGTACATCCAGTTGATGAGTCCCAAATAGGACGAAGTGACGCGCGTAAACTGGATTCCACTGCTAGCCACTATCCATCTTTGCTTACTATGTTTGTGAATTAAGGCTATATCGAGGCAATACGCACAGTATGCACATATGCCAATTAGAGACTGACCAGTTGCAGTCCTAAAAACATCAATGGGAAAATCCAAACAAACAATACTAAGCAAATCTATTGTAAGTTCAAGATTAATATATGTTCACTTAGCTGTAGAGTGTATTAACTATGAGTTCACTGTACGTTTATCAAAGTGATGATCTTCGCTTTACACAAGAAAATACAATGGTCGTGACCACAAAAATCTTAACTATTATTGATCCGTGCAGTTCCTTCTTCTATCTCCAGTAGCCAATCAGAAGACAAAGATGACTTCTTGACTCACAGGATTATATATGTAAATCGATTACATGATCACTGTACATCACAGAAGAGAAGTCATAGCTTATACATAACTAGACTCTCTGTGATACAGAACAAGGTGAGTAAGAGAAGCCTAAGAATTTACCGGTGATTCGGGGACAATAAAACATATATCAAGACCTCTCCTGAAGTCTTTCAATGAATAATGTTAAATTCGACCCAGTAATAAAGGAAGAAATTTCGACATGAGATTAGCAACTCCACCCTGCTAAAAAAGAACTGCTCTTGAGAAAAACGCTAACCAGAAAAAATCCTCGAAACTATTTAAACTCCATACTAGGATTTGAAAGATTTTCATACAACAAGAAGCTAAGATTCTTCAGAAGTTACAAGACTAATGCCCATTTAAACAACTACAAAAAAGGAATCAAGTAGATATACCAAATGTACGAACAATTCTCGATACTGAACGAACTATTTCAACAGTTATTTACTGAAATAAGAGCGTACAATTTGAGTTAGCATCACGAGGCATTCCCTAACTTGGAATCCGGAAGGGAAAAGAGGAAGGCCAAACAACATATTACGTCGGGAAATAGAACCAGATATGAAAAGGATGAATGTTCACTGGAAAGAATTGGAAAGGATTGCCCAGGACAGGGTTGGATGGAGAATGCTGGTGTGCAGCATATGCTCCTCGACGAGGGGTAATAGGCGTAAGTAAGTAAGTAAGTAACGAAAATTATCAAACTTACCACAAATGAATATTGAGCACATGCTCCATGTTTTCTTCCATATAGCTCATTTAATTGATTTAAAATAATTAAATAAGAATCTGTTTTCATTGGATCATCTTTATGAAGATCTAATTGAAATGGATTATTTCCCTGTAATGATAATTGAGTTGTTAACCATTCGATTTGTATTGTAGATGAATTGGCAATTATAGATTTTGGTAAAGTGACACATGGAATAAGAGCTTGAAAATAGCATAAACAGTATAGAACAGGGAAACAAATCATAAAATTATTAAAACAACCAAAGAACAACTATGACAAACGATCATATGATCACTGATAGATGGAATCTACATGAATAACAGTAAAGAGTTGGGTAGATTATCGAGTTTTATAGAAATCATGAACCGATCACTATTGGTAACTTGGATGCACTGGACAGTCATGTCATTTGTAGTATGAAGCACCTCAAGAGTGCACGACTCCACGCATGGGAGTCGAACCCATGACTTTCAGTCTTGAGAGAGAACTGTCAACCTTCAAACCACTGAGGTGGTATTCATTGATGCTAATGCGCACAGCTGAGTAGGCTGACACTACAAAAAAGGCCAGTCTGTATGTCTAGGTTTTCAATTGTAGCGTAACATTGAGCAGTGAAACTCAATGAGGATATCAATCCTATGGGGGGTCAATCGAGACTATAATAACTCAACAGTAATGTTTCGGACTTGAAAACTAAGTGACACAGATGCAAAACCAAGAAGCATTAGTTTCTTCAGGCTTGTAACTACACCTTGCAGACAATTTGCAACCAGCACGAAATCTAGCTTTTGGAGGGTTTTATGACGATTTAATTCAATCAACTTGCATCGAAACACATGATGTTCAGTTAATTAGACCTGTGGTCACATGTCAGCTTGATCAATAGAATTCAATCAAGACTAAAGACGAGATAGTCATTGCATCAATCACTACAGACCACTGATCTGTCAAAACGGATCGAATAAAACTGATCATGAAGTGAACTCCTTGATATTCCAATCATAAACTGGGATTTATAGGGTCAAAAAAGTAGGTAGTAAGAAAGTATTTCCTAATCAACAATACTGATTTTTGGTCAGTATATGTAAAATGTGACTATTAACTGAGCATAGACGGACAGACATTCAGTCTGTTAGCTAATATAGTGCAACTCCTTTCTGTTATAAATTTCAACCTGAGTGTAGACTGCTTCAATCGCGCATCGTGTATTTGTGTATTATAAGATTCCAGTTTGTGTACAATATACAGATCGAGTATTCCTTCTGATTGTACTGTAATTTTCAACAACGGTCATACTATCATAGTATACTAGTATATTAGAGCATCTAGATATACTCTCTTATCACAAATCGAGTAACATTGAACTTGAATCATTGGATATACTACACAGTGACTTTCATACGACTTGACAGTTTCCAAAAAAATCTAGTACCTAGATGGTTTACACGAACCAGTTACTAAGTAGGAAACGTAGTCATTTTATATGATATTTAGTACTGATCATTAGTCATTAGTCATGACATGAATAGCTCATTTATAACGGTCTTGTTCAAATCCTACAAGATGTAACATTTCAGTAAAGATTAGAGTTATCAGATAGGGAATGATTACCAACTAGGACTGAACTGAGGTGAAAACGAAACTTCTTTTTGATTACCTTCAACTAAGTAACATTTAAATATACTGTATTCTATCATTAAATGATTTAGTCCAGATATCATAATGAATATTGATAGTGAAAGCAATAGTACCTAGATTAATATATGTTTTTTAAACACATAAATATTGGTACAAGGAAGCACCAGATACATATGCGTCACACAAATCTCATTTGATTTGTGTGAGGGCTGTGATACTGCCTAGATTTCCAAACCGAAGCAGGTGGTTTATTTAGGGGGCCACACCCGGAGCCTTTGACCTTAAGATCTAATTCACAAGGCAGTGGAGCATCGTGAAAAGATACAGTCTCATGGTAGCCGGTGACCAACGATTGATCCATAGGCCATTTATTCCCTCAGGATACTGGAGCCAGACCATTTGCACCATTGGTTTGGAATCAGGATTTTCCAACTCCCCTAGGTGAACTTTCTATAATCACCAACCCAGTTAATGCGCCAGGCATTCGCTTTTCATTCTCTCAATTTCGTAATGAACAGTATTGCCACGAGAAGGCAGTGAGTAGAACTTCCCTGACAGAGGCTGTATACGCGCGGCCATGTGAGAGCATTTGGAGAGAGAGAGTGTGTGGACTCTTCCCACTGTCGGTTGTACCAGGTCATTTAGGGGCAATAATAAAACACTCAACTTATTATCCAATATATAATAAACTTACCAGTTTCATCACATGTAGGAATAAAACATGTTTCAATAGATGAATGAGCATTCATACAATATGTATGCTCAGATAATTGTAAATATGAATGAAATTGACATAGTCTAGAATGACTATTAACTGGATTCATCATTGTTGAACATTGAAAAATTTGTAGATTATTTTTCAGTGTTTGAGGAATGACATAACTTTTATGTTGACCTATATAATCATTATTTAGTGCTTGTGTAAATCGATAATATGGAGGTTGATTTGGCCAAATACAATCTAAATAACAATCTAAAAATTAAGGAAATAAAAGAAAAATGCTTGAATCAGCTTGAAACGGTCTCCTAAGCTCTTCTAATAAGCCCAGGTTTAATCTACACGATACAATTTGAACACGAGAGAAAAAGCGTGAAAGATGGTAAGAATACACCTTACTCAAAGTCATTTATAGTATTTCAGATAGCCATAGGTTTATGGGATGTTCTGAAACCCTATTAAACATAGTAGAAGGATAGATAATCATCCAATCAGAAATGTGACATGTGATCTTTTACTTTCTAGATGTTTCTGGGAAACTTCTATTCAATGTGGATTGGATAAAATGTTTCTCAGTGTTTTCAGAGTCCCTCTAAGCTTTTATCGCGGAGGACTCTGGGTCTCCCCAACAGTATATACTTAACGATCATGCTTTTTGTTACCATGTACATAGTTATATTATTTGTAATTGTTCTGTTGTAAAGCGCCCGGAACTTTAGGCTATTAATTTCTAGTCTTGGTTATCAGATTGTTTTAATCTTGCACTGTTATTATTCCTAAATGTTGTCGATTGATCTCGATATTAAATGTTACTTTATCCTATTTGCTTACTGAGTTGTTGACTTACTTTTACGATTGTTATTTTCCCTACCAAATTATCCCACCAACTGCTCCTTAGACTCCCGCAGCATATAAGGTAGATTCAGCCTTGACGCAAACTAACCAAAGGTTGAAAGTCAAATAGTTTGATTATCAAGTTTTTCCTACATTTAGTTTTCTCCCTGTGTAACCAGGTAAGTGCCGAAGTTTTCTGTTTCATCTGCCATTATTAAGTCCGCAAGTGTAGACTACGAAATACAATGGCGCAATCGTTCATTAATTAGGAAATACTTTAGATTGACCGGAATCTCCTATATATATGATCACTTCATTAGAGAATAAGAGTGTTTCATAATGAGTGAATGAGAGGGTTGTACTATGATTGAAGTCATTTCGTCCAAATTTCATAAAAGTGCTTTAATAATATCATTAGACCATCGAAAAATTTTCAATTAGTAACTTACATTACAGATTAAAACGTATCTAGGCGATCATTCAAAAGTAGAATAGTCCTAGACCAAAACCAAACACGTCAGTGAAGCTCTTGAATCTTGAGGTATTCATATTCTTGTATGATTGAAAAACGAATCTCAAAGTTACTTCATATTCGATGAATCAGTTGTCTTTAATAAGGATGCTTTGATGAGGGTGTAAACACTAGTTAACCGAAGTAGTTGGAATATGTATACTTTATGCTTAAAAATCATATATCTGGACATGGAATGTTAGCTGGTATAGCAATAGGTTAAAGTCGGCTAAAGCAAATAGTAAAATTAGTTTATCGAATCAGTCAAATTTTCTTAGACCCTATGTGGTTGTCATCCATATGATAATTGCTATCAGTACCTGTAGTCATGGGTAACTTGGCTAAGAATCGGTCAAAATGACAGATTCATTAAATAAATGTCTTCTTTTAAAACCTTGAGTTTTATATGATTTTATACAGTTTTATTTCTTGAATTCGCTTGAAGCACTGGACGGCCGTTTCTTCCTATTGTAGGACTCCTCAGCAGTGCACATCCACAATCCTGTCTCATGAGATCAGACCTATCAGTCTCGCGCGCAAGCGCTCAACTTCTAGACCACTGAGCCGACAGGCATCCAACGGTGTTAATGTCTAACTTCAACCAATCCACGAAATGGAGCGACACATCCACCAATGTTTTCAGTGAGTTACTATCTCACAACAGATCTGGTTGAACTTCACAATAATATCCACAAAACCCCTTCTGATATATATAATATCCCAATGAGTAGAAAAATTAGATTTTCTGACGTTTCGTGACTTAGTGTAAGCCACTTCTTCAGAGAATAAATCACCAATTGTCACCAAATCAATTTTAAAAATATCAAAATATTACAAAAAGGTTTATCCAATCGTAAAGAAAGGAGAGTAGCTGAAGCGTTCAATATAATGCTTAATCCTACTTGCCTCAATAGAAAAGAAGGTCTTACCATATATCTTACTTGAACTATCTATCCTAGCCACCTAGTCTGATAGGTATTTAAAATTCACACTATTACTTTACAAATTGACCTCTATCCTTTATCACTATAAAGGTCATACATTTTTCATCCTTATCAGTGCATACATACACACATACACATCGTTTATAAATCACCTTGACCGAAGTGAAATGACAGTGATTTATTCAGACCTGTTTTTGATTGATGACATAATATTCTTATTGTTCCGTTGTACTACTTAAACTTGAATTAATTTTGATTTGGTTATTTATTCCCTGAAGAAACGGCTTACACTAAGTCACGAAACATCTATAACACTCTACCCAATACTCAATTTATTCAAAATTATCAAATTAAAACTTGGTAATAATACCTATTTAGGATTTTATGTCAAATTATACTAACTAATCAGCCCTCACATGAAATCCTGAAGGCCAAACAAAAAGACGAAGACCGAAGAACACATTACGCCGAGAAATGGAGACAGATATGAGAAGAATGAATTATAATTGGATAGAATTAGAAAGGAAGGCCCATGACAGAGTGGTTTGGAGAATGCTGGTCGGCGGCCTATGCTCCATTGGGAGTAACAGGCGCAAGTAAGTAAGCAAGTAAGACTAACTAATCAGATAGTTTCTTTTATATTTTTGACAGAAATTCATTCATTCATATGGTTACATAACATTTCTATATCGTATCTGACGTCAATTCATGATGAAAACCCTAGTATTAAATACTTATCACTAACTAGGGACAATCCGTGGAATCTTGAATATTTGATACAATGGTAGAGAGACTAGTAGATAACTCATCAATCTAGAAAAGTAACGTTTCTTACCATCCACGTGTATTACAGAAGTAATCAGAGCCAAGGTGACTTAAAGTAATTTTCTAAGTCTGAATTAACTGAAAATAAAAGGCGCTTGGGGTTGGCCTTGACTCCCTCGGGTCTTAATCACAGTGTGAATAATGTTTGGGGCCGGTAAAACATTACTGTTTTTTGAGTAGTTTATGATGGGTTAACTTGTTATTTCTAAGGCTTTAATGACGGTGATCCAATTCCCTAGAGTAAGGAAAGGTGTGCTATCTTCAGAGTTGACGTAATTTTTAGTTTTCTTCGTCTCTTGTGAGAAGGCAGTATCACTTTAGGTGCTGATTTTCTAAAAGAAACACTTTAGAGCCCCATTTTACTTCTGTACAACTGATAATACGTCTACCCCTTAAAACAAAATAAGCTTATAGCTTTCCAACCAAACAGCAGAATGTTTCAATCAATAATATTAGCTTGATTAAATCATCATCATAGGTAAGCTCAATCACATTATCAAAGTGTTAACTACGCTTAAGCCAATAATCACATAGATATTCTAGTAGTTGAAATCATTAGTCAGTTGAAGCTTCTCACCTATCGGTTCTGGATCGATAGGTCTTGGGTTCGAATCTCGCGAGGTCGGATCGTGGATGCGCACTGTTGAGGAGTCCCACAATAAGACCAAATGACCGTGCAGTGCTTTCAGGTTTTCCATGTTGGTCTAGCTTCAATTAACTCATGATCTCAACTATTAAAATTACTATAATATCCACAAACACACCCCTTCTCATATTAACCAATAGATGCTCACTAGTGACACTCCAAGAGGTATTTTCTGGAGATCCAGTGAGAAGTAGTGACCATTGGAGTTCAACCGGGTCTTTTGTGATATAGTAACTCGCTGAAGACAACGGTGGATATGTCACTCAATTTCGTGGATTAGTTGAAGTTAGACATTAACACGGCTGGATGCCGACCGATTCAGTGGTTCTAGAAGTTAAGCGCTCACGTGCGAGACTGATAGGTTTTGGATTCGAATCGCGCTAGATGGGATCGTGAATGCGCACAGCTATAGAGGCCCACAATAGGACGAAACAACTATCCAGTGCTTCTAGGTTTTCCATGATGATCTAGCTTCAACTGACTCATGAATTTCAACAATTAAAATGACTATAATATCCACCTCCAAAGCAAAACCTCATCCTTACTTGAATTCATTAATGAAATATTTAAATCAATCCAATTTTGATCATTCATTGGAATAGATTGAATTCGTATAGACATATGATTCCTTGGAGGGAATGGATTATTAAGAAAGAATTGATAACTTGGTCTATTATAATAACCTTCATGTAATTGTGGATTATGATTATTGTTTTCTAAGTCATTCATATGAATTATAGTGTAATGCTTATCATTATATGATTGAATTGTCGAATACTTATCATTAGTATGGATATTGGTGAATGATATGATATAACCAAATGTATTACAATGATCAAATGTAGATGATTTTGGTTTATCCATTTGAAATAGTATCATATTATTAGTTAATGCTTTAGCATATACATTTGATGGAGATTTAGGTGCTGTAAAGAGAAATGGAAAGATATGGAAGATGAAGGATTTAAGATAATGATTTATAATAATGTTAACAAAAAAAGGGTTGGTTATATGCAGCGTACTTACTTACTTATAGTTGAAAGCGTGAGACAATTGAAGCTAAACCACCAAGGAAAACCTGGAAGCAATGAACGGCCGTTTCGTCCTACTGTGGGAATATTTAGCATCCACGACCTCGCCTTGCGAGATTCCAACCCAGGACCTATCAGCCTCGCGCCAGAGCACTTATTCGATATACCATTTGAGCCGGCATCCGATGATGTTTATATCTAACTTCAACCACGATCTGTTAAGTGCTCTGGAGCGAGACTGGTAGATTCTAAGGTCGAATCTCGTAAGGCGAGATCGTAGATGTGCACTGCTGAGGAGTCCCACAACAGGATGAATCGGTCGTTCAGTGCTTTCAGTTTTTCCCTGGTGGTCTAGCTTCAATTGACTCACGCTCTCAACTATGAAAATGCTAAATTTCCACTAAAACCCCTTCTGATTACTTAATTATGTCTGTTAACCTTCGTGGAGGAGCATAGGCTTTTCACCAGCATTCGAAATTTATCTGTGTCCTGGACAATGCTTCCTAGTTGTTTCCAGTTTCTATTCATCCTACTCATGTCTACTTCCAATCCCTAACGTAGTGTGTTATTTAGTCTTCCTCTTTTCTGTTTCCTTTCAGGATTTCAAGTTGACACTTGCTTCGTGATGTCGTTTGATAGTTTCTACAATGTTTATTCCATTCACTTTCAACATCTTTTCTGTTATATCCTGGTGAGGACATAAGTACAGGTAACTCCCAGGACCTTTATATATATAGTCTAAGTATTGAGTAATTAGATCGTGTATATCCATATTTATCTTATTATAAGCTTCATTTTGACCTATGAATTATTACTGTACGATTTACTGTTCCAAAATTATGCTCAGTTTATTGATTACTGTTTCCCATGCTCACAACCACATTTGGCTTGATCTGGTGCAAATATTATTTTCTATCTTATGATGTGATGCGGTCTGTCTGCTTATCTAGTATATAAACCCAATATGCTTGAAATAAATGATTCGCATAGCAGAAGCTGTAATTGGTGTTCTGGACTCAATTGGAAGGGCTAGGTGGACAAGGGACCAATAAGGGACGGTAGACTACTCATATCAGTTGGACGTCATCGATTTGGCACAGTGTTAAGGTTAAACAAGTCGTATTCCAATTGGCGGATAACTCACGGGATAAAACGCCGGACATAAAATCATAACGAATTGGCATATATTTGTCCTATTTTTTTATAAAGTCGTAAGAAATTGGCGACAGCCTTTTGTGAAGTCTTTCTGTTTCTGTTATATCCCTTTGGAGAATTATGAATGGTAACTTTGAGGACTATTTATGGACCAATATGATATGTATATTTCCTATTGTATAACTGCTAAGTAACTTAACTGTTTATATTCATGTTCCTCTTACTATAAGCTTCATTTTGACCATACGATTTACCATTCCCGAGTTATACTCAGTCTATTAATTACATTTCCCCCTATTCACAGCCAATTTTGGCTAAATCTTATACAAATGTTATTTTCTATTTTCTGGTACGATGTGGTCAGTTTGTTTGGTATATAAACCCAGTATGTTTGAGAATAATGATTCATATTACAGAGGCTGTTATTGGTGCTGTGGACTTAATTGACTGGGCAAGGCGGGAAGCAGGACTGATAAGTACTCAAGACTGCTCATACGGCTTTTGTGTATCATTGGGCGACCAAAAAATTCACTGCTCTCTGATAGGCGGTCTTATAGCGTCATATATATCAACTGGGCAAGCACGCATGCGATCGATATAACAAGAAATATATCATCTGGATATTATAACCAACACGTGAATCTCCTGCTTGAAGATTATCATCAGTTTTATTCTCTATCCTTGCAGCCATTCCAGGGATACAAACAATCCCAAACCCACATAGAAGAATTGAACAGTCGGGTTTGATAATAACAATCCTGTCTTGTATAACAGAACCTTGGTAAAAGAAAAAATAACGGCAAGCAGAATCCCAGTTAAATGTGCATTCTGATAACATTCCATCAATATTGTAATTTAATCAAACATTTTAATAGATTTATATTGTGATTAGCACATAACTTGTTGATGAGTCTCGAAAAAGACGAAATGTGTTTATAGTTGAAATCATGAGTCAATTGAATCTAGACCACCATGGAAACCTGGAAGTAGTGGACGGCCGTTTCGTCGTTTTCTGGAACTCCTCAGCAGTTCTCATCCACGATCCTGCCTCATGAGATTCGAACCCAGAATCTACCAGTCTCGCGCCAGATCCCTTACTTCTAGACCACTGAGTTGTCCAGCATCCAACGGTGTTAATGTCTAACTTTAACCAATCCACGACGTTTGAGCAACCGTTCACTGCTGAGGAGTCCCACAATAGGACGAAACGGCCTCAATGCAGTGCTTCCAGGTTTTCCATAGGGGTCTTGCTTCAATTGACTCATGATTTCAACTATGAAAATACTGAAATCTCCACAAAACCTCTTATGAAATATGTTCAATTAACAATACTTACCTAAACCATTTTGTATAAATCGTCGTTTACAATTAAATTCATTCATCAATTGATTCTTATATAAAATTTGAATAGAGATTTCATATAATTTACATGGTATTAATGGACAATTCAAAATGAATTTGGTTGTTTCATTATAAATAGGTAATTGAATTGTATAACAATTTAAACGTTGTGGTTCATTTTCTAATTGTGGTAGAAAATTCAGAGTTTCTTCTGATGAATAACCCTATTAAAACAAACAAATAGAATAATATTTAAATGATAAGTAGAAAGGATTTGAATCATTGAAAATTAGATTTTGATCAGTTCTCGTTACTTACTTACTTACGCCTGTTATCCCTCGTGGAGGAGAATAGGCTGCTCATCAGCATTCTCCATCCAACCATGTCCTGAGCAATCCTTTCCAGTTCCTTCAAGTTGTTATTCATTCTTTTCACAACTGCTTCTATTTCCCGACGTAATATGTTGTTTGGCCTTCCTCTTTTCCGCTTCCCTTCCAGATTCCATGTTAGGGTTTACCCCGTTATGCAGTTTGGTGATTTCCTCTATGTATGTCCTGTCCACTTACAACGTCTTTTCCTAATTTCCCTCTTTAGCTGGAAACTGGTTTGTTCTCTCCCACAGAAGGCTGTCTCTGATAGTATCCGACCAGTGAATGTTGAGTACTTTGCGTAGACAACTGTTTATAAATACTTGTACCTTCTTGACGATGAATGTAGTAGTTCTCCAAGTTTCAGCTCCATACAATAGAACTAATTAACTACATGTTCTTATTGAAGATTGTGACTTTGATATTGATTGACAATATTTTGAGTTCTATATGTTCTTAAATTGTGGGAATGCGATCCTTGCTTTGCCAATCCTCGCCTTTACATCTGTATCAGATCCTCCTCAGTCATCTATGATGCTTCCCGGGTACGTGAATGTTTCCACCTCTTCCAGAGTTTCTCCATCAAGTGTAATTGGGTTGGTGTTCTCCGTGTTGCATTTCAAAATCTTGTTTTTTCCTTTGTGTATGTTGAGGCCTATTGATGCAGAGGCTGCGGCTACATTTTCTGTCTTCGTCTGTATTTGTTCGTGTGTATGAGATATGAGGGTTAAGTGATCTGCGAAGTCCAGATCATCCAAATGATTCTGAGATGTCTATTGTATTCTGTGCTTCCCCTCAGATGTCGAAGTCATCATAATCCAGTCAATCACCAGAAGAAAGAGGAAGCGTGAAAGTAGATAGCCTTGTCTGACACCGGTCCTTACTGGAAATGCAACTGTCAGCTGTACTCCATGCACGAATTTGCACTGTAGTTCGTCGTATGAGTCCCGGATAATGCTGACAATCTTCTGAGGAACTCAATAGTGTCGAAGAAGTTTCCATAATGTTCTCTGGTCCACACTGATCATTTCTAGTCGGTATATGCATATTCTTTGCGAATCATAAAATTATCAGATCAATATATTTCATATGGTAATGTTAGTATTCGCAATTAAATTCAAACCTAGTACCCTTCGTTTGAAACGTCAACGTGTTGTTCACTAAATTATTGCATCTAGAAAGGCGCTAAATCGTTCAAGAAGTTTGATTTTTATATGAATATTGAGAAGAGTTTGGAATTTTATCTCGTTTATGGTATTAAGGATTGGATTAGTGGTGGCAATATATAAAAGAAAGGTTGCATATTAGGATTTAGTATAGTAAGGAAGACAGATATGAAGCAGTTTTAATCTCAAGATTTAAGGGAAGATAAAGAGTGTATACACCTGCACCATTGTGATCGATTCTGAGCATTGTCATCTAGAGTCTCCAACCATTGGTTACGATAGTCACGTAAACCCCAACCAAGTAGTCTGCATCTACCAACATGGCTTAGACTAGAAGTAAGTGATTTCAAGCTCTGACGACACGTTGCTGCTACCTTGGCGTGGTGGTCGGGCTTGCCTACCGTGATGAACCAATCGAGCTATACTGGCTGAAACAATCGTTCCTCAAGGTCATATCATACCAGACAGGTTGGTTGAAGAGCGGTAAGATTAAAAGCAGCAAACCCAAGGTCCGAAGAAGAAGTTGTACTGCTGACTGTACAGAGGTGTGACAGCAGTAAGGTATTTCCTTCAGGCAACCAGCATAACAGCAATGATGCATTCCCAAAAGGAGGGGTGGGGTTAGAGAAGGTCGATCCTACGGATATCCGTCACCGGCGGTAAGGTCTAAACAAGTACGGAGCAAACACGTCATAAATCCCCCACATTAATGAAACATAATTATTATATAATCAAATTCACTTACCATTGAACAATTATGAATAAAGCATGTCTTTGATAAATCCTTTTCTGGTCTACCAATATGTGATATTTGTAATACATACATAGAATTATTTATATTTATTAAATTAGATTTAATGTATAATGGTAATGACCAATAAATATAACTTTCATTAGAATTGATTTGTTCTAATGTTAAATTACAATCCATAGAAGGATTCACTAAAGAAAAACAAAAAAGAAAATAAGGAGCAAGTATATTTTTTATAAAATAGAATTATATTATAAGCAAAGATGGATAGTGGCTAGCAGTGGAATCCAGGACGTGAGTTTCGTCCTATTTGGGACTCTTCAGCTGGATGTACCAGAATCTCAGAGTTGATGTTCACTCTGGAACTCAAGCCCAAAAGAACGAAACGCGCGTCTTGGATTCCACTGCTGGCCATTGTCCATCTTTGCTTTTAATGCTTGTGAATTAATGCTATATCGAGGTAATACGCACGGTGTGCACATATGCTAATAAGAGACTGATCGACTGCAATCTTAATCATCAATCCCAAGATTCAAACAAACAATACTAAGTCAATTCAAACTTCACCCCATTGCACAAGCAAGTGGCTATCAGGACTCAGTAGCTAAGTGAATAACGCGATGGCATTTGGAGCGAAATCTACTGGGTTCGAGTTCCAGAGTAAACATCAACTCAGATGCAGGTACATCCAGCTGACGAGTCAAAAATAGGACGAAACGCGCATCCACTACTAGTCACTATCCACTTTTTCTTACAGTACTGAGTTTGATTTTCCGACTGAACATCAACTATGAAATACAAGTTCATCTAGTTGACAAGTCCTGAGTAGGCCAAAATGCACTGTTGAATATATTATTTGAATAAGTAACAACAATGACAAGGAATAACAACAACAAGAACAATAAAGAGGAGAACAACTTTATAGACTCTTACATGTATCCGTTGTAATTGATTGACTAATTCCTTTATATTTTTTAAATAATGGTTCAATACTTATATCATATTCTTGTAACGGTGTAAGTTCATTTAATTCTATATGAAATTCATTGATAGATCCCCATTCATCATGATTAGTTTGTTGTTGTAATTCAATGAATTGATTCCATTCTGGCCATAAATTACTTAATAGATTAATTTCTTTATAAGTAGTATTGAATGAACATTTAGAAGAAATATTATTTGAATATACATGATGTATATATGACATTATCGTTGACTTTGCATTGTAAGCCTAAACAAAGAGGGAGAGATCAATTATCATTTTTTTGTATCCAAGTGAAAACAAATAACAAATTATCAGAAGGGGGTTTTGTGAAGATTCTAGTAATTTCATGTAGTTGAGATCATAAGTCAATGGAAGCTATGCCATGATCGAAAACCTGAAATCACTGGACGTCCGTTTCGTTTTATTGTGAGACTCCTCAGAAGTGCGCATCCACACGAGTTTTGAACCCAGGACCTACCAAAGCTTCCAGGTTTTCCATGGTGGTCTAGCTTTGATTAACTCATGATCTCAACTATATAAAATAACAAATTACTGAAGTAGTATTGTGGTGTAGGTTACTTATATCCACATAAGTAGTATATGGTGATGGTCAGGCATACAATGTATTTTGGCAGAAGATGAATAAGGAAAGAATAGAAACGAAGCACAATCGGTATGAAAATGCATGAACAATGAATTCAGAGAAGAAGGACTGATATTCGCAGAAGGAACAGTCACGATTGAGACAGTTGATTGTCATTTTGCAAGTCAACTGTTTACTCTATAGTTGTCAGATTTTAGTGAAATAGTCTCCACCCGTGTTCCTTGTTCACTACAGTATCTTGAGGAATAAGATCATTTTAAAGTATCTTTATAAAGTTAGGATTTTTTTTAAATAATGGAGGTAATCGGCAGAAAACGCTGAACAACTGTTGTACATTCTTGAGGTAACTCATAATTTCGATGTGGTTCAAATACATAGAGGGTTTATAGCCTAATAGTAATATCCAAGGTTGCGCAGCAGGGTGATTTAAGTCCGAATTCAACAGGAAGCATTAATTCCCTAAAGATTACATAAATGTCTGTCTGACAAGTTGCAATTATTGACCATTAGGAAAGAATTTAAACACTATTGATTATTCTGGAATAAAGATCATATCGCAACTTGATTGACAGAAATCGATCGATATTAAGGACAGGATAAACTCGCATAGTTAAGCTTGTTCGCCTACTGGTTAAGTTTATAGGATCTGTTTATTAAATGGCTTGCCTCAATAATTTTTTTAGAGTATCTGACACTGCCTAGGTTTATTCATAACTGATAGATATTCTGAGTGAACGCTGGATTCGGTCTTTTAAGCTTTTCTAATGACCCCAGGCTAACTCGACACAACTTAAACACGATCGAAAAGATGTGAAATATCGAAAAAACGCCTTACTTCAGGGCATTTATGGCATTTCAAACGGTGCATTTCACCCTACAGGAAGATTAATGGAAACCCTAATAACAGTGATGCTAATACCAAACTCGTTGAACAAGAGAGCTGGTATCTGAACTGAGTAGCTCAGTGGATAACACTTTGATGTTTAAAATGAAATGTTCTTGATCTAAATCCACATAAGTGAACACTGAAATCGGAATGCAGGCGTATACGTTCAGCATGGCAATCTTGAATAAGCCACAATTCATCTGTTTAGGAAAACAACTTGTGACAGAATGGCCATATCAAGACAATCCACACAGAATGTATAAACATAGTTAAAAACTGATCAAAATTTAGTCCTGACTATCAACAATTGAGTAATTGAAACTCTTTATAATAGTTCATCTAGAATAGATGGATTGTCGTTGGTTATCAAAGGGATTCAGGATACGCATTTCGTGCTAACTGGAACTGGTTAGTTGAATGTACTACATTCTAGAATTTACAGTCACTCCACGACTTTAAGCTAGTACCGTATGCTTCAAACGGTCCAGACAGTCACTCACTTATGTAATGGATATGAATTTAAATTTAATTTTTAGTGGTTTAAACTATCCTGTTGTTAATATTTTGACTGAAAGGAGCTGAGTTCGAATCGCTGAGAAAATATCAACATATGGATGAAGGTGTATCCAGATGACAAGTCCAAAATATGACGAAACGTGTTATATCCTACTGCAGTCGTAAGTACAGGTAACTTCCAGGACCTATTAATTGACTATTATTCTATATATATTCTTATGGTTTACCTATTGAGTAACTAGATTGTATGTATCTATATTCATCTTATTATAAGCTTCATTTCGACGTATGGATTATTAATATACGAATTACTGTCCCTATATTATATTCAGTTTATTGATTAATGTCTCTCACGTTCACAGTCACATTTGGATTGATCTTGTACAAATATTACTTTCTATTTGATGGTCTGATGCGGTTTGTCTGTCTAGTATATAAACCGAGTATCTTTGAAATAAAGGATTTGTATAGCAGAAGCTGCAGTTGATGTTCTGGAATCAATTGGAAGGGCTAAACGGACAAGCTACAAATAAGGATGCTAGACTAATCATCTTAGTTGAACGTCATTGATTTGGCACAGTGTTAAGATTAGACAAGTCGTATTCTGAATGGTGGATAATTCACGTGATGAAAAGCCGGATATAAAATCAATAACGAATTAGCAACGGACTTCTTTTATAAAGTCATAACAAAACGCACATCTCGAATTCCCCTGATAGTTGACAAATTTCTAAACTGAATATAAACTTACCCATGGTGCTTGTATACTATAAATTCGATCAGTACAATATAATGTTTTCAATTTACCAATAGCTTTGATTACATATGCAAAAGGTATTTCATTAATATACCAATATAATGTCTGAGATATTGGCAACCATGTTAATTGTAACCAATTACTACCAATATGTTTAATTTGTAAATGGTTTATAGTTGCTTGATATTGAATAGATGATGAATTAGCGGTTAATGAATATGAATATTTGATTGTTGGAATTGTTTTAATGATACAATTCCATGATGTACTTTTACATGCATATAATGTTTCAACAATACAAAATTTATATTGAATTCCTTCTGTTAAATTATCTAAACATATTGATGTACTATAAGTTTCATATTGAAGTGTATGTGTTCTAAAATAGAAAAAAGAATCAATAAAGGGAAATAATTCTCAGTTACCAAGTCAGTTTGATGATATTGTTGGTCGTTTGACTGATTTCAGTTGACGGTACAACTGAAAATCAGAGAGCAGTGTATTGATGGTGGTCACTATGAATCTAAATGCAATCATACCCTAGAACATTCAAGTCTCAAGTAGACTGCTAAAATATTAAACTATACGACCGAGAGTGGAGAGAGTCAACTCTCCCTCTCGAAATGCTCTCACATGATCACACGTATACAGGAACTAACACGAAGGTCCTACTCGCTGCCTTCTTATAGCGGGGTTGTTCTTTATGAAATTGAGAGGATGAAAAGCGAGTATCTGGCGCCTTAACTGGGAAATGGATGTAGAGGAACCATCTAGAGTAGTTGTAAAATGCTGGTTCCAAACCAATGAAACACATGGGCTCAAAGATCGTGAGGAAACTGACTACTATAAGACTGAGTCTCCTAATGTTGCTCTACTGCCTTGTGGATTAGACCTGTAGGTCAGAGGCTCGGGCAGCTCAGACAGTACCCCAGCCCTCACACAAATTGAATGACGAAGTGTGACGCATATGTATTTGGTGCCTCCTTGTACCAATGTTTGTGTTTAAATAAATAGACAATACGATTATACACATTTCCAACTTCAACTGATGCATCATATAATGTGACCATTATCAAAAGACATTAATGACGAATATCTCATTCCCAAGATGCTAGAACACCGCTGGTCACAGACTCTCACTAGAACATCAGGAACTCATCTCGAAGTAAGTTACTAGTGAAGACAAATATAGAACTCACAAATACATTTCGTGAGGATTATTTTAACTGGAAGATGACATTCGTTATGGAGATTTTACATCAAGCTTCAATCGTGAGATCTGAATGTCGATCTCTGTTGAGGTAGTTGGTAGAAAGCACTTATAAGTCATGTTCTGAGAGGAAACAGCTCCCGAGACGGTACTACTTAATTTTTAGTGGTATTACAACTGGCGTCAATCTGTGTTAGATATATTTTGTTTGAAAATGTTGACTTATATGGAACTTTTCTATAATTTGTAAGGGAATTCGATAATAAACTAACATCAATTTCAAAGAAAAGCTACCAATGAAGGAAAAGACTGTAAAGTTGTGTTTTTTTCATTCGATACTATCAAATGATAATAGGTAATAATACCTAACTTGACTTTGTGTACGTGTTATTTGGCATCAGTATCGGCAATGCGTACCGATAAGCCTCAGGAGATCGATGCATCTTATGAGATTTGATACTAAGTTACTTATCTTTAAAGCCATTGCAAGTGAACTATTCATGGCGCAACTGATCTCCTAAGTCAATCGGTATTTTCTCGACTAACTCTTACTATCTGACATCAATACATTTTAGATACAATGTTGAGTTACCCAATCTAGTTGCAACTGGATTACCAAAATGAGGTCGACGCAAAGGAATAGATATTTATGATTTTGGTTAATCAATGCAGAGAAGGGGTTTTGTGGAGAATTTAGTATTTTCGTAGTTGAAATCATGAGTCATTTGAAGCCAGACTATCATGAAAAACCTGGAAGCACTGGACGACCGTTTCGTTCTATTGTGGAACTCCTCCGTAGTGCGCATCCACAATCCCGCCTCAGGAGATTCAAACCCAGGACCAATCAGTCTCGCACGCAAACTCTTAACCTCTAGAACCACTGAACTGACAGGCATCCGACGGTGTTAATGTCTAACTTCAACCAATCCACGGAATCGAGCGACCATTCACCATTGTCTTCAGTGAGTTACTATCTCACAACAGACCTGATTGAACTCCACTGGTCACTATTTCTTACTAGAACTCCAGCAAATACTTCATGTATCCAATCATTAGTAAGCATATGATTGTTATAAGAAGCGAGTTTTGTGATGGGGTCTTCAACCCCATACCTAATCCTCCTCCATTATCCGAGCTTGGAACCGCCAGTAACCCCCCGGAGGAGCTCCATGTGAAGTGGATAAAACATAATCATGATTATATATCAAATAGTAAGATATAACCAATACCAAAAAAAGATTCTAATGAAACTTACAAATTATAAATGAATACAGTATAATCAGTTTGTTTTAATGAAACCCAAAATAATTGAAAATATTTAAATGATCTTTTGTCATTATTTAGAATAGGCTTAAAATGAATTTGTAATTTAGATTGATCATTGATAGAATGATGGGCAATTAATTTTAATGTTAATATAATACTAACTTGACCATAACTAGTAGTATAATAGGCATATAAAATTGTATTCGAATAGGATAGATTCTCTCTTGTTCTATAAATGATTAATTCATTATTAGAAAGTTCTTTTAATGGAATTGAATCAATTGTACCCTGATAAGATAATATTGAAAATAAACAATGAGTTATCATATGCATACACACATACACACAAGAAGAAGAACATAGTAAACATCTTAAAGTATTTGAACAGTTCAAATGTGATGAGTATAAATCTTTGATGATGTTAATCAACCAGTCCCCGAATGATCTGATACTGTCGAGAGTGGAAAGAGTCCGCTCTCCCTCTCGAAATGCTCTCACATGGCCACGCGAATATATAGCCTCTGTCAGGCAAGTCCTACTCACTGCCTTCTAGTGGCATTACTGTTGTTTACGAAATTGAGAGGACGAAAAGCAAATGCCCGGCACTTTAACCGAGTTGGTGGACACGGAAAGTCCACCTGGGGGAGTTGGAAAACCCTCATTCCAAACCAATGGTGCACATAGGCTGGCTCCAGTATCTTGAGGGAACAAATGGTGCATGAATCAATCTTAGGTCACCGGCTACCATGGGACTACATCTCCTCACGATGCTCCACTCTCTTGTGGATCAGATCTTTAGGTCAAAGGCTCCGGATGTGGCCCCCTAAGAAAACCACCTGCTTCAGTTTAGGCACCTGGATAGTATCACGGCCCTCACACAAACCAAATGAGATTTGTGCGGCGCATATATATCTGGTGCCCCTTTGTACCAATATTTATGTGTTTACATAAAAATAAATAATCAGTCTATGAGTAAAGATTTATTTCTTTGACTTAGAATTCTAAGTGTAAGTGGTAGTAACGTAGTAGCTGATTACTGAATTCGAAGTAGATAGATCAGGGTTCGAATCCATGATTTAATGACTTTAACCATCTAACCATTATTCTAAAATGTGTATCAGATCAAATCGATAAGCTTTACAGTAAGATAGGAAAAAAAAGAAAACCGAGTATGTCGAAATCATTATATGAATATCAGAAGTAAGTTGAATTTAATTAACCAATAAAAACATATAACCGAATGTATAAACGAATAAGAATTAAAGGCGAGATTATAATTTCTGGATGAATCAATGAGATATAGGATAATAGGTCTTGGATTTTGGCGTGAAATTTATTCATCCATTTGGCTACATGATGTTTTTGTATTTTAACTAATGTCAGTTCATGATGAAAACCATAAATCTAATTCTTAACATTAACCATTAACCGTAAATCATAATTCTACTTCTTCAAATTTGTTTATGATCCTCATTTAGTCCTAGCTAGTAGGTGAACACCCTCAAGGTCACATTAAAGCAGCTCAAAGGTCGTTCATAAATTATAGTCTTACTGAAATTGATTTGAAACTCATAATAACATTAAAAGACAAGTAATACGCAGTTGACCGTTTCCGAATAGAATGTAAAGTACGTTTGCAGTGAACAAACACTTGGTGGGAGAAAAGCAATTCATTGTTTAATGCAAAATTACAGAGTGCTTTCATAATAGATGGAAATCATACATTAAATAGCATTATTTGCATATCTTTCTTTAATTGTCCTTGACATACTTCATGATTCTTCCGATCCTGTTGTTATTACCATTGCTCTCTGTTTCTGGCAGCAAATCTCAACCTCAGGCCTCCTTGAGGAGGTTGAACTAATCACCCACTCCGTTGTATTCTTGATTAATCCTGGTTTCAACACTCGGCTCACTTAACTGCACAGGACTGCCTGATGCGTATCCTTATATAAAAGAATTGAAGAAGTCATTGGAGCTATGTAGTTCATATATGTAGGTATATGCGAAGGGCATGGGTGTGATGTTGTGCAAAAGAAACGTTAGCTCAAATATTATCTGCCCTATGTTCAATAAAATCAGTGACATAATTTATCAAGTCGAAGATGTAATGAAAAGATATGGTAGTACATGGCAGGGATAAGCGACTAACAACCTCTCCTGAGAGAATGCCTATCCTTATGCGTATGTCAGGAAGTACTGAGACGGTAATTATGAGCTGAATGATATGCATGTAATGTGTAAGAGACATTCTATTGTAACAAATATGTTTCGGAGGGAGTGGTGGACATCTACCTTCCAAAGTGGGTCAATATAACTTTATTTATGCTATGGGATGTATGAGATAAAATATGTGTGTTACCGTTGTGCACGTGACGTATATTTGCTCACAAGGTAGGTAAACCTGTGTGTATACCAAGAAATACTCGGATGAAAGTCCGTGTGTTACCTAGTATGCATGTAGACTGTACCTGTCAAGGGCAGGGAAATACCTTAACAGTCCTTTTCTTACTCTTATTGTTACAATACCAATATACAAGCAAAGACCTTCGGGGCCACGGTTTCCCTCGAAATCACATTCAAGTGGTGAGTTTGTGAACCTTGAAAACACGGAATCCAACCCAGAAGGGCCTACATAAGCTCCCACAGAAAAGGCTTTGTCAAGCAATTCGGCTTGAACACCATACCTTATCTGTCCCACTTCCTGTTCTCTTTAATTCAATCATCTGCGGACAGGCATTCCACTTGCGATTGGTGGAGACTAGAATTTGGGGTTTCAACATGAAATGGTATCAACTATAATCCTAGAACGTTATTTAACCATTTGGATGAATGAATTTTACGTTTAAGCCTCAGACTCACTATCTTTAATTTTATTGGTTCGTTCTGAGATTATAATCTCGTCGTAATTATTATCTATTTTAACAGATAATTTAATTTAGAGGTGAGTTTCATCTTTAACCAATAACACAGATTGACTGATGTTTAAGTGTGAACCATTTAAATCTAAATAAGTAAACGGAATGTGTTGTATTTATCAAGAAAGTCCGAAGCTTCTACGTTCCAATTAGTATATAAACACAGATGTAAACACTGTTGCCGAATAATCACGATGGCCGTAGTCCAAACTTACCTTCTAACTTGATATGGTGGCCGTAGTTGTATCTCAGGATGACTCAGTGTGGCTGAATTAGCTAAAAAACACTCGTTGTTTTAAACCCTACTATGCCAGGCAGATTGGTTGAAAAGTGGTTGGACTAAACGAAGCAATGCTATAGCCGTATGGCGAAGCCATAATGCCGATCAAACTAAAGCGTGACGGGAATGAGGTATTTATTTGGAGAAACAAGCATCCCAAACGATGTTTACCACAATAGAAGAAAGAAGAACAGATCATCTTGCCCAAGTATTGTTGTACCCGCTAGCAGGATCTTAAATGTATGGAGCTAATACACTAAAAACTCATAAAAAAACTGTATCTGACCAGCCTCAGAGAGTTCCCTTCCGAACAGTAAATCATTCCCTCTCAAGTTGTTAAGACTATCTCTTACCTAGTTTTCTTTATAAGTAACTCAAGAAGTACTCTTCCATAATGTGAGTAACCAGAAAATGAAAATCACTCTTTTCACCCCCTAACTTTCAATAATCCCAAAAGAGCTTCAGTGAAAAGTATTGCTTTGCTTAACTTTTGATGAGAATCATCAGTGAGAAGTACTTCACAAATGTCTTCAAAATAAGTAAATAAGTAATTAGAGGTAGCTTTGTGATTCAAACAATTACTAAACCAGCAATTTCGTGATTCAAGACCTTATATAGAAAGTGTAACTCTAAACTGTAAATAATTTACATTGACTGACATATAATCGATGAACTGGAAAAACGGTTATTGACTCTATAAACTCCTCCTCCTGCAACTTCTACTACTACTACTACTACTACTACTACTACTACTACTACTACTACTACTACCATTACCATTACCACTACCACTACCACTACTACTGCTACCATTACTACTACTACCACTACTACCATTACCACTACTACTGCTACCATTACTAATACTACTACTGCTGAAAATAATAATAAGCTTACCTTAATTTTCAAATTATATGACTGTTCACAATCCCATTTAATATTCATAGAACCTTGAAAACTAGAATATTTACAAGTGAAACATGGAGACAATGAGAATGCTACACGTTCTTTTGATTGAATCCATTGATTTAAACATTTCCCTTTGGAATGGTTCATTTCAATGTTATGAATAACATTGATAAAGAATATGATATAATAAAGGAATAAAATATACATAGTTGATAATTCCTTTCCTTTTACATCTTAATGATGAAAACTGTAAGGAAAACTGTAAAAGATTGAATTAGATTACTAGTATTCATTTAAGTAGTATGAATAGATTGCATATATGTGACTTTATTACTTATTGAAAGACAAATGAAAATGAGACTTCTACAATTATCAGAAGGGATTTATCAACTCACTGAAGGCATTGGTGAACGGTTGTTCAAACTTCATGGATTGGTTGAGGTTAGACATTAACATCTGTTGCATGCCGGCCAGCTCAGTGGTCTAGAAGTTAAGCGCTCGCGCGCGAGACTTATAGGTCCTGGGTTCGAATCTCGCGAGGCGGGATCGTGGATGCACACTGCTGAGGAGTCTCACAATAGGACGAAACGGCTTTTCAGTGCTTTCAACTTTTACAATTCAAAATTTGTTCAATACATGACAATAATGTGGAACTCGAACCTCAACATTTGTTGATCGATCAGTCAATATGATATGGTAAAAATTCATAAATTATATCTTCCTGATAAGATAACGAAGTACAGATAAATCTTTTACCTGTGTGTATATATTAACTGAATGTCAAACAGCATGCAAGATCTTATGAACGAAGCAGGTTGTGTGTAAGAAGAACTCTAATGTATACCACTCATTTGTGTACTTATTTACTGAATCAATCGCTTATAGATTCGCAATGATTTTTCCATCTTCTCATTCATATAAATGATTAAACAAGTGTATAGAAAGCCTATGTATTTCAATCAGGCGTAGCTAACTATCATAACACTTCTTAATAGGAATTCGAGGAATAACTTTCAAATGCAATCATTAGTTCAGTTGATGTTTATTGTTTCTTTGTGTTAAACTGTCGGTTTCTTAAGTGATAACAGTGAATAATGTAATTGCCTAAAGCGAGAAATATGAACAAACGGATTTCAATTGTACAATCCCTCCCACAACAATTTAACTATGATTATAACTGTACTATAAATACAAACAAACAATACTAACTGATTTTAAACTTCACCCCATCGCACAAGCAAGTAACTATCAGGACTCAGTACCTGAGTGGATAACACGATGGCGTTTGAAGCAAAAAGTACTGAATTAGAATCCCAGAGTGAACATCAACTCTGATATGAGTTACATCGATCTGACAAGTCCCGAATGGGACGAAACTCGCATCCTGTATTTCACTGCTAGTCACTATCCATCTTTGCTTATAATGCTTATTTAAAGTTTGTTTGTACTTGGATAGCAGAAAGGATAGAGATTCCAGGTAACCATCCAAGAGTTTATCAGAAGGGGTTTTTTTGTGGAGATTTTAATAATTTCTTTTTTATAGTTGAAATCATGAGTCAATTGAAGCCAGATCACTATGGAAATCATGGAAGCATAGGACTAATGATTTCAACTATTAAAAAATTATTAAAATCTCCACAAAACTCCCTTCTGATAATAATCATATGCTCACTAGTGATTGGCTACATGACGTATACACTGGAGTTCTAGTGAGAAGCAGTGACCAGTGGAGTTCAACCAGGTCTGTTGTGAGATAGTAACTCATTGAAGACGATGGTGAATGGTTGTTCAATTTCGTGGATTAGTTTAAGTTAGACATAAACACCGTTGAGTGCCGACCGGCTCAGTGGTTCTAGAGGTCAGGCGCTCGCATGCGAGACTGGTAGGTCCTGCGTTCGAGTCTTGCGAGGCGCGATTGTGGATGCGCGCTGCTGAGGATTCCCACAGTGGGACGAAACGGTTGTCTAGTGCTTCCAGGTTTTCCATGGTGATCTAGCTTCAATTGACTCATGACTTCAACTACATAAAAAAAATCTAAGACTTTGTTAACCATACCATACTTTTTAACACTTATCTCTATCTTAGCTGGATTAGGGTTTGACAAACAAATTTCTTTATTATTATTTTCCATAACCTTTGTTCGTTTACTTTTATGTGCTTTATTTAAAGTTTATTCTTAACTAATCCAATTATTTGAACCTTTATTACGTAACCTTAATGGTTTTGGTAAATTTTATTACGATGTATACAATTCCAATTCTTTGACCTATTTACTATTACGAGACATTGACACATGCCTTTATTATTCTTATCATACCTGTCATCACAGAATAATTTTATACTTCACGAATAAGTCTAAGCTAGACCGCTATTGGAAACTTGAAAGCAGTGGATGGCCATTTCGTCCATATATGAGACTCCTCAGTTGTGCGCATCCACGATACCGCATGCGGAGTTTAATATCAGTGCTCCCAAGTATTCAATGGTTGTTTAGCTTAGATTGACTTATGAATTCAACTGTTAAAATACTACAATCTCCATAAATCCTCATACTGATAATTATTTATTTTATTTTAAAGCTGCTTACTCCGAAAATAGTTTGCTACCCATAAGTTAAAATCTTGATCGTGAGAACTATAGCATAAAACAAACACGTTTTCTGTAATTTAGCTAACATAATTCTGTGATGGCAGGTGTGAAACACTAGACGTAGAGAAGAATCAAAAACCGACAGCAGATTTATATGTGAACATCTGGATTATGAATAAGCTGAAAGATCTGAATGTTTAAAGATTGATCCAGCATATATTTAAGTACATAAAAGTTAAATTCAGTAGAGAGTGGGGAGAGTTTGCACTCTCTCTCTTGAAATACTCTCATATGGCCACGCATATATAGCCTTTGTAAGGAAAGTCCTACTCACTGCCTTCTCGTGGAGGGGGTGTTGTTGTTTACGAAATTGAAAGGATGAAAAGCGAATATCCGGCGCTTTAACCGGGTTGGTGAACATGACGAGTTCACCTAGGGGAGTTGGAAAACCCTGATTCCAAACCAATGGTGAACATAGGCTCCAGTATCCTGAGGGAACAAATGGCGTATGAATCAATCGTTGGTCACCGACTACCATGGGACTGCATCTCCTTACGATGCTCCACTGCCTTGTGGATAAGACCTTTAGGTCAAAGGCTGTTGGTGTGGTCCCTAAGTAAACCGCCTTCTTCGGTTTGGGCACTCAGACAGTATTACAGCCCTCACACATATCAAATGAGGTTTACGTGGCGCATATATATCTGGTGCTCCTTTATACAAATATTTATGTGTTCAAATAAATAGTTAGAAACAAGTTTAAATAATCTTAGTACCAATGATAGTGGGAAAGATAAGACATTGAGAATATGGTTGAATAAGATCGAATGAAAACGTATATGTCAGCGAGTCACTGAACCTAAAATGTAGAGACAGACAAAGAGTGAATACAACTGCTCTACTCTGATCAACCTCAAGTCTCGTCAGTCAATATTGCGAAACATTGAATACAAGTGATCCACAACCTTCAATCAGGATGTCTGCATATAAAGATATGACTAAGACCAGAAGTTAATGCTTTCATAGATTAATATTGTGCTTTAATTCATCTTTTCTAAACGATTTCTATGTCAAACAGTAGTGTACGTCGGAGTACTCAATCACTGCTTTGTATTACAAATGTTCCAATATTTTCTAGTTTGGATTAACTAATAATACAGTATTTTCTCGTTCAATTCAATATCTATTGGAAAAACACCACCTGGTGACATGCCAAGATAATTCCAAAAGTCATTTAATGAACAGAATCTGAGTTGATAACTGTGATGTTTGTAATGAACAAGATTTTCTATGCAAATAATTATGCGCCTTTTCTTATTATTATGCATTACATTCATGTGTGCTAACGGTGTTCTGTCTTCGCACGCCGGTTCATTTGTAGCTGCAATGGTATGCTTTGGATGGATTCAGGTATTTTTTGGTTACACCACATTTGGCGCTGTTTCTCCTTCTAATAACTAATGGAGGATAGCTGAGAGAAGGTGAATAAATTAACTACCTTTTAACACAAGTACATAATCTAAAACTGATATGAAATTTTAGAAGAACCAATATTCATGAACACAGTTTAATTCCAAGTGTTGTCTCACCGGCTGACAGTAATGATATTCTAACTTAATAGATATTTCTTTCAACTAACGCCTTAACATACAAAATCAGAAAGACAAACGGCTACAAAAAGGACAATTTTCCGACAGACTATAATTTATGAACGAACCAATGAAATTAATGATAACAAGTTTAGGGTCTTGGCGGGGGTGTTGTTTACGAAATTGAGAGGATGAAAAGCGAATGTCCGGTGCTTTAACCGGGTTGGTGGGCATGAAAATTTCGCCTAGAGAAGTTGGAAAACCCTGATTCCAAATCAATGGTGCACATGGGCTCCAGTATACTAAGGGAACACTGAGTTAACATCCAATTGTCTAACTTCAATCCCTTGAGCGGGATCGTGGACGCGCACTGCCAAGGAGTCCTATACTGGAACGAAGCGGCTATCCAGTGCTTCTAAGTTTTCCACGGTTGTCTAGCTTCAATTGACTCATAATTTCAACTATGAAAATACTAAAATCTCCACAAATCACCTCATTTAGTTAAAGGTCAATAATTCAAATGTTCAAGTCTCATCAATTCGAAATTGACAGCAGCTGTCTAATTACAGAGCTGATAAATAAATGAACTACTGACATGATTGATTCTACTATTTATGACCTCATATCAGAAAAATATCAAACGAAAATCTAAATTATCACTTTGAAAGTATGAATATTATTTAATCAGATGATTTAAAGAAATTGGTTTTAACTTGAAGAGGGTTATCATTTTAAGCCGAAACCAAATGATTAATCATAGCGTATTAGATTTTCTAACGTTATGATACATACATGTATTCTGATTCGATGTATAGATTTAAAAATTCAGTTTAATTATTGAAAATAATTCAATATTTTCAGAAGAGGGTTTTGTGAAGATTTTAGTAATTGAATAGTTGAATTTATGAGTCAATTAAAGCTAGAATACTATGGATAACCTAGAAGCATTGGATGGCCGCTTCGTCCTAGTATAAGACTCTTCAGTTGTGCGTATCGACGATTCTGCTGGCCGGATTGAAGGTAGACATTAGC